GGAGAAAGTTGGCCTATCTCGGGTTTGGAGGAAACGATACGATGCAATTTGTATCAGTGCAGAAAATTGGAGCTCAAGATAACACAAATTATTGGAAAAGATGGGACGACAGGGTATGCTTATTTATTGGGATTTTCGAGTGATTTAAATTATTTAATGAATTTTTATTAATCGTTTGTGCGTATACATAGTTTGCCATTGGGTACATACAAAGTTGTCCGTTAACGATCGAGACATCAATTTTTGACGTGAATCTCAAATTACTGTTGTCGGTAAGAAAATATATTTGACATGTTAGCTGAATCTGTAAATATATTAAGACGTTGGGAATGTTTTTTTTAGATTTTCGCAGCAATCTCAACGTATCTCGTGATCATTGTACAGTTTCAGTCCGTGGATCGATCATAATCATATTTACATACATGAGTATTTAGTTTGCGCATTACTGGGCAGAATTTTGTATACATAGTCAGCATAAAATCTACGTAAACTTACAGACGAATTTTCGTTTGAGTGAAAATCCACCTTTGCAAGAAATTCTTAGATTCCGGCTCGTGTCATCCGTAAACAAGATTTTTTGATGAAATCTGTTATAAGGTTCCTTAACCTATATGAAATTACATGTAAGATGAGTTATCTGTGACCAATTTTTTCCCTCCCGTACCCTTAAAATCAATGGCTGACCGAGCTGCCCTTTGCATATGGGATGTCCTTTGTTTAACATTTCGAGTTGAGCGATGAAACAAGCTTGAATAGATTCTATGAATTTAATTTTCTTAAATTGACACCTCTGTGCATTAACTAAGAATAACTACATTTCAAAATTTTAGTAGAAAGGACTTTTTTAATACAAAATAAATTCCACCTTGAGTATTACTTTTTGATTTTTTTAATTATTTCACTGAATAAATTCAGTTTTTCATTCATACGATACATTATTATGATATGGTGAAATAGTTATTGATTGCCAGATTGAATTTAGGGTGAATTCGGGAAACTATGGGGTACAGCTCACTACGAATCAAACATAAACGACCTCCGACCCCAAATTAAATTTTACTATCTATGCATGTACATATGCATGATGTAAAATAAAACTCGAGCATTTCCCTACAACTAGGTAAGATAAAAATTGAAAAATATCGTAATTATGTAAGTTTCAAGTTCAAAAGTGAGGGCAACCCATTGTGAAAATTTAGCCTGTAAGTATCTGTTAATTCGAAGACATTAGTCAAATGAAAACACATTACCTATTGCATAGTAAGTGCATAGTAAAAGAAGATATTCATCTTCCTATTTATATACATACACATATAAATATATACATTCAGCAATTTGCGACTTCAATCAAACTGTTGCATATAAATATATGATTAAGCAGGAGAATATTTCTAATCGTCCTGGTCAATACCAATGGTATGATTATACGATTGTGTGTATTGTTAAACTAGTTTCTACCGTTAATTTATGGTCAAATAAAAGTTTAGGACATTGATAGCTTCGGATCAAACTCACGGTTGGAAATATGTACATACGTAGAGGCAATACGTATGTAATAACAATAACCTATTTACTTAGTACAGAGCATATGTACATATTTACATATCTACATTGTCATCTTTAGCTAGTCTAGTTTGCTGTCAATATGTATAATTTACCCCAGTTAAACACATAACAAGCTTTCGCAGAATTTGGCTTTAAATACAGATAATTTTGGGTCAAAACTCTTCCCATAATGTATCTACATATGTACATAACTTACAAATTATAAGGGAACTACATAGTTATCTACATAGTTTTGCAACTGAAGATATCCACCATTGAAACATGACACTGGAAAATTAGGATGACCTGACATATATATCAAAGTCAAGTAAAAGTTGTGTTTTGTCCGCAATGAATAGTCGTTTTCGTCATTGTTTGTCTCCCGTAATCCGAGAGCTTCAAAAATGTATTCTGACTTTATGTACAAACTGTTACGCATTATGGCAAACTCGACGGCATTCGTGGGGGTCTTTAGTGCCCATTATGACGAAAAAACTAAATTAATCCACACATCAAAAAAGTTACGAAAAAAGGTTGGAATTTGTATTTCGATATATTCCGTTTTTGTCATCCTCATCGTGCTGAAGACGGTTAAACTCTGGATGTATGAAGGATTAGAAAGAAACACCCACTTTCCAATTGCCTACTTGGTCAGTTGCTTAACTTTCCTGATCGCCTGGAACTTGATCAATTTGTTCGTTCGCCAACCTGACTTGTTTGGCGTGGTTAATAAGATGTTTTACTACTGCCCGAAATTCATAGGTAATAATTTTGGTAGATTTCAAGATTTCATACGCTAAAAAAATAAGGCATTTGAGTGTTTTATGACTATTTTTTTAAACAAGGAACGTTCCTAAAAAATCCCATATTTTTGCATTGCGTATTTCATGAACGTTCCCAAAGTTCAAAAAATACTTTTGATATGCATAGATCAGCAAATATATTTTTTTAAAGTCCCCATTTCTGGTAAAATTTTCTTAAAGGTTATTTGGCTTTTGGAAAATAATATAAACCAATATGCCAGAAAACCTGTGACATATTTTCAGACGATTAATATTTTATGAATAGTGCTTATTTAAATGTTTCATAATTCAAATGTATTCTATTTATCTTGCAGAAAATTGGGTTCCCAAATCTGCAAGATGCAAAATGAGAAAATATTCTAGAATAATGGATGCTCTGGCATTGCTGGAAATCTGGTCTGGTTTCACATTTCATCATTTATCTACCCCAGTATTTTAATGCTGTCCCCAGGCCATGAAATCCATCCGCGACAAGTGCTGCCAAAATTGTTCGGGTTAAATGAGAATATTTTTTGCATTGGGGCCTACATGATTTTTATGACGTGGCTGACATTCGTGGGGAATCTTGCTCTAATGCTTCTCGCCGTGTTTGGAACGATTTACATAAGTAAGAAGAGTAACAACATCTCGTTTTAAAAACTAAATAAATATTTGTCCATTTCGCGTAATTTATTTATTTCGATAGTTCCGCTGGCAGTTGTAATGCAGGAATTGAAGATTAATTCCACCCTCCACTATGCCTCTGATCGTTTAAGGCGGCCAGCTAATGTATTGCGGGAATATTTGAAACTACACTTAATCAATACACAAATGATGCAAAATGTTGGATTAACATTTGTCTTTATGCACGGTCTTTTTTCGCATCTCGTTTTATTCTGCAATTTTACACTGTTAGTACACTGGGATACGCTGGATAGAGTAACAATGGTAAGGGAAATAATAAGTTCATTACGACTGCATATTAAATTAGTAACTTACTAAAAATTTAAGGACGCAGTTAAACTTTAACTGCGTCCTTAAATTTTTGCTGTGATAATTCACAATTAACATGTTTTTTGCTTTGTTTGGACCGCATTACTATGGTGTCGTTGCACTTCGGGAACAACCACTTTTAAAAATTGTTACATATCTTGTAAAACTTATATAACTTGGATATTTTTTTTGCAGTACGGTTTGCCCGTTGTTTCCATTTGTGTGCAGACGATTTGGTCCCTAATGCTGCAAGCCTCCGGAGCATTTCGTTCGTACACGGTGAAGACGTTGAAATCGTGGGACAGCGTGAAATTCGAGTCCAAAGAGGAGAGAGAATTCTTTAACAAGTTTCGAAAGACGGTGAAACCAATTGCCGTTGGGGTCGAGGGGGTCATGACGTTCAAGCGTTTGACAGGAATTTCCTTCCTTCGTGCCCTTATCACAGGGACGATCCGAGCTCGCCTCACGATTGGGGAAGGTGTCCTGCTAGAATCGTTTTCTGAAGCAGCTGGCTAATTGAACGGGTAATTTGAAGGATTTAAACGATATGAATGTAATAGTATTACAATACCGAAGAGCAAACATCAGATGTATGTACCCGTATGTATGCGTGCACGATACATTATAATAGAGATGAGTGTCTTCAATCTTCTCGTGACATGTCACCAATCATATGTAAATATCTATTTATTAAAATGGTAGTTACTTGAAAAAATGCGTAAACGTGAAACACTAATATTTCGAGATAAGTATTAAAACTTCTATTGAAACTGTCGCATTTATCTATGTGCATACATTGCTTGAGTAAATAATAAATAGAAATATGGAATTTGTTTAACCATGATTAACTAAATATGTACAAGAAAATTCATTAATTTGAGAAAGCTATAAGTACGTATGTTGTGTTCATGGTGCAGGAGGAAGAATTCAGGAATTTTAATAAAACTCGATCAAAAATTTAATATTGCGTTATATTGGAAAATATGTAAATGTCATACATATTATGTATCCAAATTTTCGGTAAGAAAATGTTCAAATTTAACATTTGCGTGGCATAGGAGAAATCTTTGAAAATTCCGACAGATTCTAGCCCACGGAGAGAAAATGATGAAAATTAATGACCCTCCATAAACGACAATTGTCTTCCTTCCGCATCATGACCACGATTATTCAAAACAGCTTTCGTCTTCCTCCCGAATTAAACCATTCCTCATAAAACGACAATTGCCTTCGCCACGAATGAAAGGATAAATAAAAAAGAAATACCTAATGTCAACTAATCCCAAATAATTAATGATATAACCGCATTTGCTTTTCCTTCATGGAGTATGGAGTACTAATCTATTCACAAATGTATGGACAATGTGTAGCACGGCTACTTTCCCCACATTATATTTATTCAGGAATGTCAACTTTCTTGAACTGACTGTTCAGTAATTCATTACATTAGCTAATTATTATCTAAGTACATTAGTGTGTATGTACGTAGCTAATTACTTGATTCTTTTCCCATGTCTTCACTCATTTGAATAATACATGCATACATTACATAGGTGTGCTAAAATAATATTGACGGAATTCATCCAAGCAAAAAATACGATTTTGATGTTCATGGGGTCCGATAATTTGGGAATGCCTTCAATTTATCGTCGTTAGTCTGAAGGTCAGCATTCATTCGTCATGATTTCCCTGAAAGAGTCAGAAATAAACTTCGATAAATACTACACCGCGTACGAGGTAGAAATTCCTGGTGGAAAAATACCAGAAAATGCCCCCACAAAAACAGGAACTTCAGAGAACCAATCACTGCTCGCTGCTGTGACCCGGGAGTCACTCTGGCCTCTACGGATATCCCAGATCTCGGGATTTTTTCCAATTCCCATTCACCCCAGGAAAAATTGCGCCAATTTATCAGCAGAAATTTACCTTCCCGCCACTTTCTCCCTCCTCAAGACCCCTTCCGTATGGTGGACCTTGTTTCTAATCGCGCTCACATTTTTCCCCATTATTTCCTATCAAGCTGATGCTGAGCGATTTGACGATTATTCCGTAGCTTTCGAGTCCATGGGACGCAACACTTTTCGGACGATTAACCTCTTGTGGATACTGCTTGGCAATGGGTGTCCATTTTTAGCCAGGGTTGATGTCATCCTTCAACGCAAAAGATTCATAGCGTTCTGGACCAATTTCCTCGATATGTTGAGACAATTTGATACCACATTGGACAAAAATAATATACTATCACCAACAAAATTTGGATCATCCTTACGGAAAAAGTTCTTTGTGCATGTCATCCTTAACTTCGCCGCTGTCTTAATCGGAATGTACGGAGGTCTCATGTTTGCGTTTCAGTACGAAGGAAAAATTTTCACTTATATAATGGGCATTTTACAAGATGGGTTTTCAATGATGCTCGCAGTCATGCAAGTATTTGGGTTCACTCTGATGATATTTTTCCTCATGGTGTACAATCATTGCTTGGCTGTCATCTTGAATATGTTGGAGAAGAAGGGTGAACAAAATCGGGACAACGGGGTTGAAAAGTTAATCAAATTGTATAAACTGGTGGACGACCAGGTGCACGAATTTAATGGGATTTTCAACTACAAAATGGTACTGGAAGTATTGTACAATTTCATGTCCATCCTATTCTATGGATACTTCTTGATATTATTTACTAAAATGGGGGAAATATTCGTATTTTTAATAAATGTTGTGAATTGTCTTTTTCTGCTGATATGGTTCGTATGGTTTGGGAAAGAGTGTTCTGAGGTAGCAGGAAAAAGTAGGGAGATTGGGAGAAAGTTGGCCTATCTCGGGTTTGGAGGAAATGATACGATGCAATTTGTATCAGTGCAGAAAATTGGGGCTCAGGATAGCACAAACTATCAAAAAAGAGGGGTCTGCAAGGTTTGCTTAATTTATGAGCATTTTTTGAATGATTTTACAATATTCAAATGGATTGTAAATATATTTATAGACGGCGATTGGTTACATACAAAGTTGTCCCTTGACCATCGAGACTTCAATTTTTGACCTCAATCTCAAATTACTGTTGTCGGTAAGAAAATATGTATATTTGACATTTTGACTGAAGTTATATTTTTGTGATGGTTATTAAGACGCTATTAATACCGTTTTTTTAGATTTTTGCTGCAATCTTAACATATGTTGTCATCATTGTACAGTTTCAATCCGTAGATCGTTCGTAATCGTACATGAGTAGTTTACGCATTACTTGGCATGATTTTGTACACAGTCAACATAAAATCAATGTTTGTATGAATGTAAGATATAATTTTTAAAAAAGTTGACGATTGGTTCTTTAAGCTTCTGTCATCAATCATAAGTTTGTAAGTAATTATTTATTTCTGCATGTAAAATGGACACTCAAGAAAAAGTGTGGGACATAAGAAACGCATTCTTGACATGACTGTCCATGATGGAATTAGCTAATTAGTTTCATATTATTTATGTAGATATGTATTCATATATTGGGAAGTAGTTAGCTAATTATGTACTTGATCTTTCACTCATTTGCACAATATGCTAAAATACTATTGGTAACATTCATCCAAGCAACAAAAAAGGGTTTGCAGCTAATGGTCTCTCGATAATGAGGGAGTGACTCGAGTTTGGCTACGTCAGTCTGTAAATGGGAATTATCCTTTCAACATGACGTCGTTCAAGCATGTGCATACTAAATTCGATAAATATTACAATGCAGCACAGGTCAAAATTCCTGGTGGAAATTCATCAAAAAAGTCCCTCAAAAACTAGGGACTTTATCGCAGAATGACTCACGTTTTGCTGCCGTGACCAGGGCGTCATTCTTGCCTATACGGATATCACAGTTCGCGGGATTTTTTCCAATCCCCATTCATCAACGAAGGAATGACGCTAATTCGTCGGCACAACTTGAACTTCCCACCACCGTGGAAAATAAAACATTATTTCTGAATCGGTTTATTACTTCACTGAATAAAGGATTTTGTTCTTTAATGGTAAAATTATGTATTGATATCGATACATACATTTGGGAAGCAATGGAGCGAATAGAAATTCAGGATAACCAATAAGAATTAATAACAAAATTTAACATATGTAGCTCACAATATTGGAACAAACTAGACTAACTAAATATATATTCTCTGGTCACATTAGCTAAGTATGTATATACATGTACTTTAAATATGTACAATTTTGCTGAAATTTATTCAATTCGGCACATCAAGGTAATTAAGTAGGTTCATATTGATTGTGTAAATCGGCTTTAGAGAACATGACATTTGAGACATACATTTATTTGTGCAAGCTTTCGGTACATATGTATTCCTACATCAGGCGATTATGTAAATGTACATATTTCCGAAATATTAAATAGTTTTACAGTATGTGTGCACGGCTAATAATAAAAATTTTCAGTAGGCATTGAGGTCTAATCTGGATTGCATATACATACACAAATTAAGTACGTCTTATGTATAAACACAGAACGATACATACATACCCATACGTCAAATGAGTTAAATTGAAGCAGAATTATCGTTATCCGCCCATCTTCCCGTGCTTGATCAGGGTTAGCGATACGGTTTGATTAATGCAAAACGTTTCAATAACGAGAGGCGTTCCACGGTCGATGAAGTTCGATCCGAATTTGATTTTGAGCAAGGATAACGATTTTATCTCCTTTTTCAAGTGGGCCTTATTCCCACTTCCCTTTCGTATCCCATCCTTCAGAAATTTCACCATCGTTTCCGAAGAATTATTAATCTTGGAGGCCAGCGTGAAGACGAAAATGATTGTTCCTGCGGCCTCCATGAGGAGCAGAGGAAACACCAAGAATCCTGGCATGTCGATGTCCTGATTGTGATTGAGGCAGACGTACAGGGAGATTATTTGAAGGATAGGAACACCTGTGATTAGGACGGGAATGACGCGTGGGAGGAGGAAAGCGTTGAAGTATTTCTCCAAGATTTGAATCGACTTGTAAAGTTTGATGCAGGAATGTAAATCCGATGGGGTTTTGACGATGGAGATTTGTCTGAAATAATTTACATGAAACTTGTGTAATCTCAGATCTTATGTATTTTATCAGGGAAAAACTTGATTTAATTGAAAGTATAAAATTATGTTACATAATTTTATATTTTTAATTTTTAGTCCAGATTAAATCTGGACTCAATATCTCAAACTTGACTAAGTATTCTCCTATCGATAAAACAATGAGGAAGTTTGTAACTTTGTAAAACCTGTAAACTTGCAAAATTTTCCAACGAAAATTAGCTGTTGTGCAAAATTAGCTTAAAATTGTGTAAGTTTACTCAGATCAAGGGCGTCTTTTAACTTTGTAAAAGTTTGTACAATTATTTTACAAAATTTACGGATTTTACGAAGTTATGAAGGACCGCGTGAGTTTCTTACTAATTTATAAACTTACGACAGCAAAACCCTGAAGTACGTAAGAATACTCATAATTCCAGAAAAGAAAACGTAAATTATCCAAAGAGCTGACGAATTCATGATATTGAACCATAACCAAGTTTCGAACAAGTGGATGCCCAGGAAGGGGAGATGGACTCCCTTTTTCGAGGCTATCATGGCCTTACAGTTAGGATCCATGGACAGGATGAATGGCAGTGTACATGGCGCGTAGGTGAGCATGATCAGTTGTAAAAGTGGGACTACGCATAAAGCCGTCTCGCTCAATAGCATGAATATGATCATCAATTTGGCGGCAAGTGAGCGTCCCTCTTGTGGATATTCTGGAATAAATTATAGTGTAATTAATTGGTGCTGGTGGGTAACTAGTTCAACTTATAAGGGAACGTGCCGAGTTGTCACACAAGTTGAAGGTTGACACCTGTACCGAAATGTGCACAATACACGACTTGAAGGAAGTTTTGTGTCTGTGTAATTACTTTTCGTCAAGTTGTGACGATTCTATTGGTGATCGGTCGTGTAAATCTTAATCTTAAGTTTACGTGCTTGATAAATCATGTATTGTGCACAGTTTGGTGCAGATGTCAAACAATAACTGGTTTGACACCTCGATATGTTCCCATGTTAGATGTTTAATAAAATAAGATGTGACGAAAAACAGGACAACTTTCTAAGTAGATTTAGCTATAAATTATACATGTGAATTTGATACAAACATAAGTACTTTAGCATCTTCATCTAATTAATTACCTTGGACAACTTTTCTCTCAAATGAGGCAAAAGTGTTAAGTATCTGAACCCCCGAATTGTCATAGACCAATCGAGTCGCTGTACCGATAAGTGCAATCATAAAAAGGGCAGCCCCTTGGAATTTACTCGTCTGTGGTAGTGGTCCAAAAATTAAGTTCAGAATCATTGCTGTACAGTACGTAACAGAAATGATGCATTGAAATTTGAAATGTCGAAATTTCTGGGAGGATCTCGTTTTTATGAATGTTCCCTGTTTTTCGTCCCATTCGAGAGAAACGCATCTCAGAAATTGACAAATTTTTACGCGAAATTTCAGCAAGGGTAGAAAATCAGCTTGCGACATAGTCAAGCTGGAAGATAGGAGATGACTAAAGGTCACAAACGTACGTGTGATAACTAGATATAAGTGGATTTACTGCGTAGTTACCCTGATTAATTTTTAGCCAGGGTTCTGAATCAAACTTGATACTTAATTAATTGAGTATCAACAATACTATGTAATACATAAATGATAAATATATGCAAATAATTAGGCGCCATTTACAGTTAACAATACCGTAAAATTAAATTCATTCATTGTTTCCCAAGGATTTAAATATTCTTATCTGCAAAAAGTCACGAGTGAACAGGATTTGTAATTTTGTAAACCCTTGAAGACACACCTTATTTCATTAAGATACAGAGATTGTGATTCAGATTATCTGCCTCCTCACCTTATAATACATTCTTATGTAAATATTTGCCAATACAAAGTTTATATGTATGTATACATTCATATATCTACACATTTAAATATTTATCACCTCTGTGTAACACTTTAATGAGAAGGCTTGATTAAGAAATTCATTCATAAAGGCTAGGAATGGTGGAATACATGTTGAGTGGATTATTTCATTTATTGCGATTCAATTTCAGGTCGGAAAAGCGTGGGTTGTATGACAAGCATTAATTTAGAATAAACGTTTCTGCAATTAAGAAATGTTCAATTCTAATCAAGAATTATCAGTAATGTAATTACACTATGTGTAAGTAAAATCTGATACATAATTGAAAATACGTATGTATGTATCTATGTAGAATATGCAACAATATGCCTTCTCCATTTTATGTCAATTGACATAAAATGGAGAAGGCCCTTTTGGCAGCTTCAACGACGATATTGTAAATGAGCACTGAGAAGCTATGTATGTATGTATGCATGTATTTAATTTTGATTTTTTCGAAGGCATACCCCTGGTCAGGAAAGTTTCGAAAATACTCAAAAAATTAAAAAAATTGAGTTAGCTATTGGATATGATAAAGCAACTATCTAGGATCACAAAAATGCTTAAATTATGAAAATCCGATCAAAATTGGATTTTTGGTGATTTTTTGAATGAACGAAAACAAGGTATTTTTCGTGTTTTTCGCACCTTTGAGTGGGTGTGGCGGGTGCAAATGCGGCCATTGAATGAAATCCTTCTTCACTTTTGCTAGACTCGCCTAGGACTACAACATATCCAAAGGACGTTAAGATCGGTGATTCTGTCGGTGAAGGGTTGTCCTCCTAAGAACCAATCAACGCAAATCTTCCTTCACAGAATTTGGTATATACATAAATCGTATGTATATGTAACAAATATTTGCATATTTACGCTTTAAGAAAATCCAGGAAATTCACTGAAATGTTTACTTATTTCTTCGAAAAATTGATGCCTGAATCATCATAGCTTATCTACCTAGTCCGCCACGAATTCTTTTGACAAACGTTTTTTAGTATATAAAAAGAACGGGTAATAATTTTTATTTAAAATTTTCCACAGGGATGCATAACATACCTGTATATATTACAAAAATACTAAGTTTCAAAATTTCCTCTTCTGGAGTACACAAACTTAAAAAATCTGACGGCAAATTAGTCGCTCGGATTACGCACGGTTTCCAGTGGAAATTTGTCACACGCGTCGAGAAAAATTTTTTTGAGAACTTCTGCACCACTGGAAGTTTTAGTCCAGGCCTTGGTCTCAGTTTTAAGCCACAAGTCGTAATTCAGATGATTAAGATCTTCCATTGCCGATAAAATTCTTGTGACCAAATAAAATCGATGAAATGAGCTCATAGCCAATTTTTGACAACTTTTGCACCTTATGACGCAGCCGTGACCTGTTTTGAAATCCAAGTTCTATTTTTGAATAGGTCGGACTTCAAAGGGTTTTCAGTGGGTTTTTCAGCTTTGTCCGTATAACTCTTGTCCTCCACTGTAACCCTTTCTGGAACAAAATAGCGTCTCGCGTTCTCCTGCCGACTTGTTCGAATCCAAGTCATCTCAGAGCTAGGGGATGAGATCTTCGACATTTTCTTACTCCCAGGGGTATGTATGATTTTTGCCATGTGCAAATTCTGCTATTTTCCTTGCTAAATTTACGCAGAGCTCTCGATAAATCTGCAATGGAAATCGTGCGTAATCCGAGCGACTAATTTGCCGTCAGGTTTTATAAGTTTGTGCACTCCAGAAGAGGAAATTTTGAAACTTAGTATTTTTATAATATATGCAGATATATTATGCATCCATGTGGAAAATTTTAAATAAAAATTATTACCCGTTCTTTTTATATACTAAAAAATGTTTGTCAAAAGAATTCGTAGCAGACTAGGTATTATGACTCATAGCCATAGTTATATTTGATCTGTCTCAAATTTATACGCAAGATAAGATAACAATATGATGAAACGGTTATAAAGGCTGTTGATTTTACGAGGTCAGTTACACTTACATATATACGCAGCTTGTCGGTTTATTTATTTCGCTACTTCGCAATTTTGTGTAGTTATGTATGCGAACTTTCTAATCGTCTTCAGAAAATCTAAGATTCATGCACGAAACGATACTGAAATTCCACGTATTTACAAACTAGTTATTACCACTTATAAAGCACATCTATTAAAAAGTATACTTTCTTTTGCCATTTACCCGTCTTTGGGTGTATTTTTGTGTTTGTTTGGGTGTTTAGGTGTACCTACCGTTAACGCGATTTATATTTCATTCGATGGGAAGGTTACTAACGCGGTCGTAAAGAGGCTCGATATTTGGATAAAGAATGCATTAAGTGCGGCATAACCGATTGATTTAATTGGGCCCACACGAATGCCAAAAGGTCGCATCGACCTTACTTCCTTCGCTCGTAGCTTTCTATTTCTCGGAGAAAGTGAAAGTTCCACTATGTTGCTGAATTTAGCACAAAGTTCGGCACTGTTGTGTAACACCATGCCGGAAATGTGCAAATAGAGGAACGACGAGGTTATTACGACCACAAACATGCCCACGATAATGATCTGTTCTGGAATGGAGATTTTGTCAAGCAGTCGCGTCATGACGTATCCCATGGTAACGAGGCCACCTCCGTTGAAGGCGTATCTCACAGGGGCAAAGGTTATCGGGTAGCACGTGTTATGTTGCGAGTTAATGAGGTAGAGACAACGGTAGTGGGAGAGACGTATGTTGACAGGGTTCGTGGCACTACTGAAAATTTTAAAAATTTCATTAACCCTTAAATCCTACCTGTTCAAAAAAATATTTCTTCATTCAAAATTCATTTAATTAAAAAAAATTATTTATTGGTAATTCATTTATTCGAAATTTAAAAAAAATTATTCATTATGTATTAATTTTATCTCAAATTCGTCTTATGTATTTGATAGATTTCTCACGTTGCCCCAATAAATTTCTCACCCGATTAAGCATAAATGAATAATAAATAAACTTTCATTCATTCTTAATGAGTATTAAATGAATAAATATTTATTCATGTTCATTCATTCTAAAATTGTAAAAAAATTAATGACTCATTATTCTTGGAGTTACTGAATAATGAATGAATAATTTATCCATGCTCTATTTAAAAAATCAATGTTATGCCTTAAATAAATAATATTAATCAGCCAATGTGATAATAAATTATTACCACATTTGGCAATGTTTGGTGGTCGTTAGTTCCTAATAAATCTGTTACGATATAAAATTCGATTTCAATTAAGTTAGTACGAACCTCAAAGTAGAAATTCCAATGGTTGTGTACGCCACGGAAAATAGGAACCACGTCTGTGAAATCAAGTAGGACAGGACATTGACAGTCTTTGTGAACGCTTCAAAAATGAAGAACACGATGAAAGCGGTGAGGTTGACCAGGTTGCATTTTATTTGGTTCGACCAAGAACTATAGGCATACTCGACGGAGTCCGGTTTCATCAAGTAGACCAAAACAAATAGAATGCTGAACAAGATAGTGTTGGAAATTCCAAATTGAATGAGGAAAACAGAAATTTTGTCATGAAGAAATTTCCGCTTTGGGGAGAGTCGAGACGGCATTTCTGAAAAATTTTATATTATTTATGTAATGTTCATTTTATTTATTTCACGTAGTTATTATTAGGTTCTATAAACATAAAGACGAATTTAATGAGACCCAACAAATTAAATTTCTTAAAAAATTGAATATTTAAAATTTCAACTAAATCGCTTCCAAATTGTGAAAATTTGAAAAAATATATATTTATAAACATTAAGCATGATTTTTTGCGATGTGCAAGCTTTTCAAATTACTATAGTAATTTGATAATGTCTATAGACATCATATGAACAAGTCTGCTTAGGAATTTTTGCAATCCTCCTGGCTTTCTGAAAATTCCTGAAATTTTGAATGTCGAATTTCGACAATCGAATTTGAACATTTTATCATCGATACCGATACATTATTATAAACATTCGAACAAGTTAAACCAGATCAAATAAATTGTAAAAAAACAATGTTTAAACAAAGAATGTACATAACGTCTTACGTTTTAGTTGAGTGTCAAATTCGGTCATCCATCTGAAAAAGGTGACCATCTCTTCCTTCTTCAAATACCAGGTCAAAACCCCTTCGAAACTGACGTAATATCCTGCGGGAAGATATCCCACCCAAAAAATTGTCATGATTTTTCCACCCCCACGTTCAACCAACTCATTCAAACGGTACAAATTGTATCCAATGTAAACAAAATAATGGACAAACAAAACTTTTGTGAGTATTTCATTTTTCTGAGATTTCGTTACTTTTAAAATATTCCTGTTAGCGTCCCACGAAAATGGAAACACCTTCGTCCACCCACAAATTTTTATAGAGGGGGAAAGCATTTTGAAAATCTTTGGGGAAAACATCGTTCCTCACTCGGATAGTGATGGGTTCGTTATGTCATCGAGAGCCGATTAGATCAAAGTGTTGGAGTAACAGTCAAACCGAATTACGTAAGAGAAGGGATGTACTAAATCCGATACACAAATTCAATACGTACTAAAATTCGAGGACATGGTTATTCAATTACGGTAGATTTAGTACTGTAGCGTTAGCGTTAAAATCTAAATTATGTATTGTAAATTTGATCCAACCTTCAGTGATTTGACAAAGTGAAGAAGTTATTTTAATGCTTTGTCGCCAGCTTTTTAGACATGTTTCTTGTATTTGATAAGCATGCAAAACGTGATGTTTATGGTCATAAACTTCCTCAAATATGACTCTGAAATTTTGTTAAGTATAGAATTTTTTAAAGTAACAGGATTAAAATTTCATTGAATATTAACAACGAGGGGTTAATTATAAGTTCTCCATGTCCATAAGGTAACAATTCACGTGGAGCGGAATGAGACGCGAGAGGATGACTCATCGAAGCTCACCTTAACCTTCTACTAAATACATGAGAAGTTTGAAAGGTCTGTGAAAAAGTTATGTAATTATGTAATTATTTGATATTCAAGGCAGTTATCAGTTATGGACGCAAAACTCATAACTTAAAATTATGACGTAACTTATTAATTATGATGTAACTTAACTTCTACTTATTATAAGTATACGTCGGGAGTTTCTATGACATAACTTCTGTATAACATAAATCATACGTCATAATTTTAATTCATACGTCCGTGGTTGCCCTAATTGTAAGTGTCGATTAACATTCACAGTATCGTATATCTAAAGTACTTTATTATTAAGATTAACATGGAGAAGGTGTTGAATTTAAATGTCAATAACACCTCCTTCGGGAGGACATATACTAACTTCTTACAGAAATGAGGGCGAGCTTATTTTAGATGAAGGCTAGCTAATTTTTTATTTCTGTTTGGCCCACCGCCCTACCTGGACCGGGGGAATAATTTTATACCGAGAAATCGTGTCCAATTACATGATGGAGTTGGCCCAAATGCGGACTGGCGAAAGTTGTTACACAATGTTGGAATTTTCTAACAATGCAAGTCTTTTACGTGTACAACTCAGATCTGGTTGGGACCAATTTTATTTTGTTCACCACAAAAAATAAGCATACCTATATTTTTTAATTTTTCATAATACGCTAATTTGAGCGCGTGGCGCGAATTTTAAAACATTTTTCAGCCAAAACCTCGGTTTTTAAAAATTGTGTAAATTTTTGAATTTTAGCGCGAATCCAAAAATTCGAAGACATGTCTCTTCAGAATGACTTACCTGACTTATAATTTTTTGTTATCTTTCCAAATTACTTGAAATCTTATGAACAAGTCTGTTTAGTAATGTAGCAAATCTTCACGGGTTTCTGAAATTTTGACAGGTAAGATTTGAGAATTCACCACCAGTTAAAAATATGGGCACACTAATCACAATCATTTTGAATAATTAAAGTTGACTCAATTATAAATTACAAGTTTAAAATATTTAAATATGGAATTGTATAGAGACTTACGTTTTAGGTGAGTGTCAAATTCGGTCATCCATCTGAAAAAAGTGACCATCTCTTCTTTCTTCAAATACCAGGCCAAGACCCCTTCGAAACTGACGTAATACCCCGCAGGAAAATATCCCAGCCAAAAAATTGTCATGATTTTCCCACCCCCACTTTCAACCAACTCATTCAAACGGTACAAATTGTACCCAATGTAAACAAAATAATGGACAAAGAAAACTTTAGTGAATAATTCGTTTTGTTGAGATTTTGCTACACTCAAGATATTCCAGTTAGCGTCCCACGAAAATGGGAACACCTTCGTCCAACCACAAACTTTTATGGCGGGAGAAAGTATTTTGAAAAATCTAGGGGAAAACATTGTCTTTAATCGAATAGCGATGGGTTCGTTATGTCATCGCGAGCACGATTTGATCAAACTGTTGGCATATGTAACAGGCTATCCGAATTACATAAGTGCACGGATGTAGTTAATCCGATACGTGAATTCGATACATAAAATCGAAGACATGGTTATTCAATTACCGTAGATTTAGTACTGCAGCGTTAAAATCGAAGTTATGCATTGTAAATTTGGACCAAATTCCATTGATTTGACAAAGTGGATGAAAACTAGAGGTTTTTTAATATTTTGTGGCCAGCTTTTCCGACTTGTTTCTTGTATTTGAAAAGCATGCAAAACGTGAGGTGTATAATCATAAAGTTTATGATATGCACTGTTAGAAATTTGATATGGTCCGGCAGGTATTGATTTCTCGGTATTAACGTGGTTATTGTTCGGTATTAAAATTATACCAGTTCGTAAAAATTTCCTATTAACATGGTAAAACTTTAATACGCCGCAATTACTACACGGTATTACTTATCAATACTACTTTGGTACAGGCATATATGAATGCCGCTTGGAGTCATTCTAATACTGGATTTGTTAGAGTGAGCATACATATAAGTGAATACTAAAAGTAGCATAAACCTCGGTGATTGGTTTATATAACTCGTTATAATATCACGTTTCAGTATGCACTTATATATGTAACACGGCATGCATTTAATTGCCGTAAATATTAAAATAACCCAACCAGGAAATGCAGTTTATCATTAGACAAACCATTTAAATATAGTATAACTGCACGTTGGGACATGACCAAAAGTGTGCGGACGCGGCTTAAGAATTGGAAAAGTCACTTAAGTACATGAGAAGTTTGAAAAGTCTGTAAAAAATTAGATACAGAGATCGACCTCATTTGAAGTGCGGAAATAAAAGTTATATGTAACTGTTAACATTCACAGAATCGTATAAAGGACTTTATTGTTAAGATTAACTTGAAGAAAGTGTTGTATTTAAGTGTCAATAACTTCTGTTCCGGCAATAGAAATGAGGTCGGGCTTGTTTTGCTTGAAAGCTACTTAATTTTTTATTGCTGTTTATCACAACCTACTTGTGCGGAAACTGGCCAATATTCTACTGGGAAATCGCGTCCAGTTACACAATGGAGTTGGTCCCACTGGCGAAAATTGTTACACAAATTGCAATTTTCTAAGTTGATATCGATTTCCAGAACCATTTAGTAAATAGTTAAAATTTTGATTGTGGAGATGTTTATAAATATATGCGCTTTCTTATTGGACAATTACATAAATTGGTATGCTGGGTTCATTAATGTGGTATCAAATATAACCTTGGTTATATTTGGAAATCTTAATTAAAATATATATTTAGAAAAAACAAGCTTCCGTCCTCTGTTAATTGTATACAAATATAACATAGCTTATGTTCACACATGCTTACTACATATTTACAACATATTTATTTCTAATCTGTAGGGTGTACATAAATATTAGGAAAATTTAACGTTTATGTAAATCTTGCATACTTAATATCATCCATAATCATCCATAATTAAAACGACATATCCAATCTGTTGTGGTTCTTATGAATAACTGGCCTTTCTTTTATCCAAGCGAATAGGTAGAGCTGCATATGTAGCTATTGGCAAATATGCCTTTTTTCATGTATAATGATTTCAAAGTCGTCAACTTTCAATGGGGTCGGCGTTCTTTACTTATTTATGAGAGCTGGGAAAGTCATAAATGTAATGCTGAGTTAAATTTTGGACACTACTTGTCATATATGTATTTGAGGAACAATTAATTCAGTCTGAATAGTATTTGGTGTAATAAATAATTGGTTCTTGTTCGTCTGGACAAACCAGACATGACTTATGTACCAGCTTATCACTCTGCCATTGTGTAGGTCAGTGATAAGCTTAATTAACTTTTGCCCAGTATCAAGCCAATTTATAAGTCATGCAAAATCTAATTAAATCATTCTGCTGTAAAATATTTCTTTTTAAATTTCGCAAATTTGCATATATTAAATTTCTGCTCTTTAAGAATAATTCTTTCTTAAAATGTGCTCCTCCTCAACAACTCGCGTATTTCGGTCAAACTTGATACTATTTTTTGCCACTAGCGTCATAATTTTCACGTCAGCTACCTCTTTAGTTGCCGAGTACTCCTCTGTCACCCTTCCCGTCACATTGTACGGCTCGACCATACATTACGACGGACTCGACACGGTTTACCTCGTCGGAGGGACGCACAACGAAGAGCTGTCTGGTGACGTGATTGCCTACTCAATTTCCGCCGATACCGTCCAGATTGTCGGGGCGATGCCCAACATCGGATTTTTTGGTAGTGTCCAACAATTCGAAGAAGATGGCAACGAGTTCTACTACTTTGGCGGATACAGTGATACAACGGGAGATTTTTCTGTGGTGTACAAAATCGAAAAGATGGGGGAAGAGGAGTTGGAAATTACGGAACTTGCCCAACTTCCGGTTGATGTCATGTACTCGACAAGCGTTGCGATTAATACGTCGACAGTTTTAATCGTTGGGGGACAGGGGATGGAAAACGGGCTACTTTTCTTTAATTTGGACACGGAAACGGGAACTGTTGTGGATGCAACGTTGCCAATGGAACTGCCATACGTTACCTCGACCCAGGTGGGAGATGACTTCTATATTTTCGGAGATACCCGACAATCCTCGGACGGAGGAGATGCAATCCTGATCTTGAACCTGGCCAGTATGGAAACTTCCCTTCGGGACGTTCTGGGCTTCCCGGATGTCGGATATTTTTGACCGAAAGTAGTACATGACAAGATAAATGGGCAACTTTACGTGATTGGTGGGTTCTCGGATAATGTGGGACATGGGATCGTTACCGTTCACCCGGAAACTTTTGAGGCAGAATTTTTGGAAATTGAGGGATTTCCAATTGCAGGGAATACTTTCTTTTACGACGCCCCCGCCGCGGTGTAGATAGGTAAATTGGGGAGGATTTACTTCTTTGGAGGGTTCTCACTCGATATGAGCACGGGGGATGTTAAGTATCATGATGAAATTTGGTGGATTGATGTTGGGTCTGAGGGTGGGTCAACTACAACTGAGGTGTCAACTACAACTGAGACGTCAACTACAACTGAGGCGTCAACTACAAATGAGGCGTCGACTACAAGTGAGGTGTCAACCATGCTAACTAGTACAACATCAACGACCACTGACACAACTTCAAATCGTACAACAACTCGTGTAACTTCCAGTACGTCGGATAGCTCGAGCACCGTTCTATCCACGCCCACTACTACTGATGCCCCTTCTTCCGCTATGGGTAGCTTAATATTTAAATTTTAATTTGCATAAAAAGTTTTCAACCAAGACAATTACAGTATTCTTTTGTCTTTCCAGGATTATTAGGACACGTTCAAATGGTTATCTTAGCATTTACCGTCGTCATTGTAAAACTATAGATTTGACTAAAAAGTTTGTATAGATAGTTGTCCAAAAAAATAAAAAAGCTTGGAAAATATGTACAATAATTTTTTGAATTGACCTTCATTGCTTGCTTGAGCTTGTATTTCTTGTAATTAATACTTCTAAACGCTATAAAGTACACGTGGTTGTTGAAGAATAAGGATATTGAAAATTATACCACTGTATAACGTATGTAATATGCAGGCCCGTACTGACGATGCTTCTAGGTGGAGCGCTGGCTCCAGGCCGTACGGCCCGAAGGGCCGTACCGGCACGCCCTATACACTAGATATAATTGTCCTATCACACGCCGCAAGATAAATGCATATTAAGTGTGGGAAAATGTAAGGCAGACGTGCTTCATTTGCGAGGCCGGATGTTCCTAGTCAACAATTTAACAATTTTAAACCCGAATCTGCTCTTTCGGGGATAGACCTTTAGCTAACGATAACTTTGATATTTGTCATAAAAATACAGGATTACAATTTCAGACGTACCTCCACGAATTCATAATCTCAGGTAACATTTGACTTCAAGAAATCACATCGAGGATTGAACTCTGTGATTAGCAAATAAGTCTCGTGGGGTTTGTAAGTAGGGCCAAAATTGTTTTTTCCGATTTCATAGAAATTGTTTTACCCTTTAACGTGTATAAATAACAGCAATAAAATGCATTGATTCGGGGGCGCTATAAGTATGTATGTTGTGGTCATGGCGCGGGAGGATAAATTCAAGAGTTTTTTTACTCGAAGAACTGAAAAATCAAAAATTTAACATTGCGTTGTATAGTGAAATATCCAAATTTTCGGGAGGGAAATCTTCAAATTTAGCATTGTGTTGGCATAGGAGAAATCCCTTAAAATTGCAACAAATTTTATGTCGCGCAGAGAAGATAGTGAAAACCAATGACCTTCTAGAAACGATAATTATCTTCCTTCCGCGCCATGACCAAGATTTTTTAGGACGACTTTTGTCTTACTCCCGAATTAAACCAATTCTTATAAAACGATTATTGTCTTCGCTACGGTTTAAATGGTTAACCCTTTAAATTAGTTTTCAATTTAACGGAAAACTGGTTTAACAATTTTCCAAAAACCGGTTTTGGGAAAAACCGGTTTCACAATTTTCCGAAAACCCGGTTTTTACAAACTCCAAGACCGGTTTTTAATAAAATAAACTTTTTTAAGAGCTAATGTTTTCTGTTTCGAATTGTTGAGATAAGAATTAGTTGTGCTGTAATCCCGTTTTAAGTTAACATTTAATTTTAATTTTGCATTCTTTGATTATTATATTTGCCAACTTTTTACAATTTGCAATAAAACTGATTTTTAACATCGGTTTTAAGGCGGTTTGCGCAAAGAATCGAACACCGGTTTCCTACGATTTTCCAAACTTCGATTAATGTAAAACCGATTTTACCGCAATTTGAAAAATCCGAGTAATCGGGAAACAGGTATTTTAAAAACTTCCGATTTTGGGCGCCCTGTTTGTAGCACATAATTTCTGGTTAATTGGAGGTAATTTAGTTAGAGCTTAAACCTATTTAGTGCCCAGGACGGATTTTTGGCATGAAAAACTTTAAAACTTGGGCAGCGCTTTCAAGTTGCTTTGAAGAAACACTCCCGTTTGGTGCACATTTAGTGAAATTCCGAAGTCATGTGAATTAGTAATTTAATAGAACTCAAAGAATCTGCTGCTTCGCGTCAAAATTCCGTCCTAATTACTAAGCTTTAATTCTTTGATTAGAGCGAAGACAATTGTCGTATTATGCAAAACATTTTAATTCTGGAGGAATACTACTCGTCCTGAAAAATTGTGGTCATGGTGCAAGCCGAAGGTAATTGTAGTTTCTCGAGGGACACTGGTTTTCGCCATTCTCTCTCCGCAACGTGTGTAAAATCTTTTGTGATTTTGAGGGATTCTCTTATGCAATTGCGTGTTAGATTTGAACATTTTTATTCGAAAATTTGGACATATCTAAATCTAATGCAATGTCAGACTCTGCATCTTGTTTCGACAATTACATATTTGAATCAAAGAATTCTTGCTCCCGTACTACGACCATAAAATCTTACTTATGGTATGGTCCAAGAATTAATGCATCTTATTGTGGTTAGTCATACGTACTCACGTTAAACTATGGATCTCCCTCGGTATCGTTTTTTAAGGTTCCAGGATTGATGATAAGGGACTTAGAAAGTGGAATTATCACAAAAAAGTCTAACTTAATAAGCTGCGTTACAGGTTACAATTACAATTATTGCTAAAGAAATTAAAATGAGCCGAGAATTTTCTTCATGCAAAATTAACTCCGCGGTTTGAAGGATGGATATAGAGAGCTAGATGGCACTTAATTTTACGACACACTTTGAAGCAAGATACGTACAATGTCATAATAACTAGATACTTTACACCATTTTTGAATAGGCCGGACTCAATATGTGCTCCAGGCCGTCCCAATCCAAGGAACGCCTCTGGTAATATGTACATATGTGCATATGTACATAGTTCTTGTCGGCATATGTACCGAAGCTAGCTATATATATACATATTTTGAGTACGATTTATGTAAATACATGCATACGTAAATCATTCGTCGTTTATTTGTACAGCCAATTTTCCACAATTTTCCGTAACTAATCTCATTGTGACCATAATTCTTAAAAAATCTCCCTTGAGTACGATATTGATTTCATAACTACATAAATATTTACTATGACCAATCCGGTAGAAAGTTATTACAAAATTAACACCAGTACATGTTTGACTCCACCAGATTTTTAACCGAGTATGCATGTAAAAGTTACAATTTATTCATTAATTATCCCCCGTCTTCAGTTAGTTAAGTACATCTTTGCTCTATCCCAGTCGGACCCGTTACAACGCACTGGCCACAGCAGGCTTTCGTAAATGGTACGAAGCAAAGGCTTCCCGTTGCTAAGCAACTCTGCATATTTTCAGAAATATGAAGACTTGTTTCATTTATGAAGTAAGGATTATCTCAACTTACCGCATCGCTCTCAGGCGGTGTGCACAACCCATTTTTACATTTCGATCTTTTATTACAGCAATCGCTGCTGGAAGTGCACTTGGAAGAATCGTATAAATTGTCGGATCCATAACCACCCGAATCCGGGAGACAAATCTGCATGATGCCCGATGGTATTATACGTGGTGTTATCTTGGGATGAGAAAGCGGTACAACTGACTTACACAATATCGTGTCGTGGTCCCGACATGTTTCCCCCGGGAACAACAATGACGTCGTTGTCCTTGCAGAAGTGGGTATCCATTCTCTACGCAATCCTGCGGAAAATGGGGGGCAAATCTTTAGTGTTTTTTGAAAAAAATCCTCTGGTAAGAAATTACTGCAACAAATTGTTTTATTTGTAGACCTAATTTCTTAAATGACTGCAAGAAATGAGCGGCATCTATCGGGAATCTCCTAAATATAGTTACACGACGAGCCGCTTGATGCGGCTATTTCTTAAATTTCCTAAATTTCTTGCAGTGCAATGCAAGAAATGTGCAAGAGATCAAATAAACATATACCAAGATGCCATAGTGTTTTGCTTTGTTAAGAAAATAAAGTGAATTATTTCCATAAACAATGTTAAAAATCTGATATAGTCACGAAGCTATTGATTTCTCGGTATTAAAGTTGCTACCGCTTAGTACCCATAGTAAAAATATACGGGTCAGTAATTTTTTTTACCGAAATAGTAAAACTTTAATACCGAGGTATTCGTATAAATCCTATAACTCGTCAATACCGCTTTGGTGCAGTCGTACAAATATATATAAATACCGCTTGGTATTACTTTAATACTGGATTTGTAAGAGTGCGTCGTAACAGATTTCGCTTAAGCCTCTATAGTTAGCTAGATAGACACACCCACGGAAAAATTGACCCTCAACTAATTCGAGGATTATTTCGTCGAGCTCAAATTCATAACTTCTTTCTGGACAATTTATCCACGCTTGATTGCTAACATCGCGGACAAAATTAGTTTACTTACCTTTCGGCAGCTACTTCTAATGCAGAGGAGCTTTTTGCAGTTGAGGGTGTTACGGCATTTACCGCCCTGCAAATTAGCAAAAATTAATTTATGCAGGGAAGGGACTAAGGGACAGATAATTAATAATGATTATATTTGTAATTGAATACATATTCTTGCAATCTGTCCTCATGGTTCGGTGGTTGGTTTGGTGGTTGGTTAGGCCTTCCCAAATTCCAAAACTGTACATTGCAGCTATAGCAAAAAATGTCGGTTTGTTTTGCACTCCGGTTTCCTGGAGTAAATATTTGCATAATCAAGGAGCTCGTTAAATTTTTCATAAAAATGTGAAATGAAGGTTTATGAAGTGAAGAGGCTTTAATTCGTTTCTATCAGATTTAATTATGAAATCGATATCGTTCCCAGAAAAAATTACAGATTTATTAAAAAATCAATAATACGAAACAGGTATTGAATTTACAATGAACTTACAGATATTTACCTGCGGTTTGGTTTGTGATTCCATGTGCAGCGAAACCATGCGCGAGGATCATGTACCAATTTGTCAATTGTACACAGACTTGAATTAAAGACATTGTGCCTCGAATATGTCAGACATGGAACTGAGGATTTTTATTTCCGATGTGCGAAATGCAATTTTTTCAAAGATACGTAGGTATTTTAGTTTCGCGTTGCAATTGATAAGGATATGAGACTTTCTGCAAGATTTGCATTCGCTTTGATAAGGGAGGCATTTTATCACGTTAAGAACTTGTTTTTCTTATCTCCGACTAGTCCGACATGTTGTTGGGAATAGTCAAAATTAAAATATACATACATAATAAAAAAAGACTGGTTTTTGTACGACGATTTTAATTATATGTATGAGTTTTATTGAAACTTGATTTTCAAGACATTGTACGCACGACAAGTTTGCAAATTGTTTACTAAGTTATAAGTACATGGTTTTTTATAGGGTCATTGGTTTCGTTCCGGTAATAAATATTTAATTGTTCTAAAACAAGTTTTGTTCCTGGTGCGTCAAAGAGTGGGATCTTCTTCAAAGATAATAGTATTTAGTGTACAGGGTACCTTAGAAATTGAAGGATGAATTAAAGAGAATCGGCGTGGACAAAATATACGCATGATAACCAAGTTTTGCCAATGGCTAAAGTCCGTTGACAAGATGACGTGCAATTTTTGGTGTCGGCAACTTTTTAGCGAAATAATATTTGCGTTAAGTGTCATAATCATAGCTGGAAGTGGTGAGCATGTTGAGCCGGAAATTTTGGGATATGCTAATTCATCTAGGCAAGCCCTGCATGGTGAGAAAAGTGACATTTGTGTGCAAGGTTTTAAATGACAATTTGGCTGTTTTCTTACTTAAAGGTGGCGAAAAAGAAGGGCGAGATGGCCGATATTTTAACGTAGAGCCGTACAGTTGGACAGGCTATAATAGTTTTGAGCGTGCTGAAAGTGAGATTTATAGGCTGCCTTATCCTGGAGTTTGGACGGTATTTCTAAGATTAGACCGATAACTAAAGGGTGTAAAAAAAAGCTTGTTAACATCGATTTTTGTGTTGAGACAAACTTAACTCAACTGTAGCTTTGAGCAAATTAGTATTTGTCTTTCAAATTTTTATCGTTTATGAGCCGAGATCAAGTGTCAATTGCGAACATCACAGAATTCAGATACAAATCTTAGGTGAGGCGAAATTTAGAATGAAAGAAATTTCAGAAAAAGTATCAGAAATAGTGATGCAACGAGTTCTACATTTCGAGTTCGAGCCGAGTTCGAGTACTCTGCAAAGCTCGGTGCCGAGTGCTCGAACTCGAACGAGTTCGAGCACTCGGTGAAACTCTGCAACCGAGCACTCGAAAAACCGAGTGCACTCGGCTTTTCGAGTGCTGCGGCAATCGTTCTTCACTTATTTACATATCTCAACATACATATGTATGTGTACACATGAAAAAAAGTAGTAGTTTTACATTTCTAAAATTCAAATTTTGAAAAATTAATGCTATAATTTGGAAATATTAATGTTGAATAAATAAAAATTGTGCTTCTGTAATTCAATGCCTAATTAAAAAATTAAAATGCGTTTCATTATGATATTAAATACATATTACCACATATTTATCTACTACTGTGTTAAATTTTTGGCAACTAGAAACATAAAATTCATAAAAATTAGAGACCGTGAGTACTTGAGCTTGTGAAGCTAGCGGCTAGCTGGTAAATTTTTTTTACACAACTTCTAACAAATTCAATTCAATAAAGAATTCCCCATGAAACTGAAAATACAACTCACTCAGGTCATTTTTAAACAAAAAGAAAGAAAATCGATCTAGGATTGAGTTAAGAAATAAAAACCAGATAAATAAAGTGTTCAAAAACTACGTGACTTTTAAGTGCCACACCCACTGGCCCCACAGATTTTCCCCACAGTCGAAGTTTTTTAAAAACCAAAACATGTCCTTTTACGTTCGGTCATAAACCTGAAATGAGGTCGAAGTTGCTAAAATTCTGCACAAATTCGAGGTCGATAAAACCTAAATAAATGGTGAAAATACCAACTATTTAGTCATGCAAGTGAGAAATTTAATCGAATGTGTGAAATAATGGCAGTGAACATGCGGAAGAAGGTAAGAGTATATATACACAAAATGAAAGGGGCGCTTAGTCTACTTTGGGGCAAAATAATGCTAAAAAAGCTCGGCCGAGTGCAGAAAAAACTCTGCAGAGTTCGAGCTCACAAAAAATTTGCCGAGTTCACCGAGTACCGAGTCTAAACGAGTACTCGTTGCATCCTTAATCAGAAACATTTTATGCTAATGGATAACGAATAAGTTTGTCAAGTACGATAAGCGACCTCGAGTACTTATTAATAGGTACAGAGGTGACATGAAAACAATGAATAAAGGTAATGTTTATACCAAAACTAGAATTTGAGTGTGAAATTGAGCACAAAAATTGGCTTTTGTAAATGTTTACAAGTTTTGCGCAACAAAGTTCCAAAAAAGATGTTAACGAACTTTAATTATGTATGTATGTATATCCTGCAATAAAATGAAAATAAGTAATTAAGTGGTAAAAATTACTTTACAGCCATGCATAAAAGATGGTCAACCGTGTCCGAACCCAATGCGACCAGAGTTTACATGCTGCTCCGGCGTTTGTGGAAACCATGGTCGATGCAACACGGTATGCACTCATATGCATAAAAGATTTGCATGTCTGAACTTGTCTGAACTTGCAGAATTGTTAGAACGAAAAATGTGCATAAGGTCTGATGTGTAAGAAATTGATTTATAATTAGCAAAACATGAAATTTCCAGGCCTGTTTAAAAGAGACTTGGGAATGTCACCCTGAAGGGACGTACCCTTGCTGTCAAACCGGTCTGCTCTGCTATGGTTGGACCAAAAGTGGATATGGTCATTGTCGTCACGGTGGTATTACGAAGGTCAGTTTCACGTAATTTCATGACTTTTGCATTGACGACGAGTTTCCAAACAACAAGGTTCGCAAAAATATGTAATTTTGGCTTGAAAACACATTTCCTAACTTCTACATAAGACTAATATTCATGTAGTTCACAAATTAAAAATATGGGTTGTGATGCGACCTCGTAATGAATAGTCCTCATTAATTTGTCTCATTTAATTACTGCTCTGTTAATCCGGGAATTAATTTCTGCTGCATGCAGGGTTCGGAAAAACCCAGGGTTTTAATCAAAAATTATAAAACCCATGGGTTTTAATGGGTTTTACCATGTTAATTGGGTTTTATTTGGGTTTTAATGGGTTTTAATGGGTTTTATTGGGTTTAAATGGGTTTTATAGGGTTTTATTAGTTTTAAGTAATAACTTAACAAAAATAATTAGGAATTTGTATCTATTCGGAAATTATTTTGTTTTATAACACTTGAAATCTGTGATGCTAAAGGATGGAGTCAATTATTGAATTGTTCCGAATTTTCATATATTAGAATAGTAATGAAATAAACTGCTTTAGAATGAATTGAGATAACGTCTTCTAACGTATAGGAGATGTATTTAACTTTTAGAATGTAGTTTTTAAGTAAAACTCAATTAAAACCCAATAAAACCCATTAAAACCCAAATAAAACCCACTTAACATGGTAAAACCCACTGGGTTTTATTCATTTACAACCCATTAAAACCCATTAAAACCCAATAAAACCCAACCCATTAAAACCCAGGTCGGAATACCCTGGCTGCATGCTTAATTAACTGATTTTATTTATAGACACTGGACATTGGCTCGTATTACTTGATTTATATCGTTACAAGTGACCATGGTCGACTTTGTTGGTATCTGGATCGTGGAAATCAAGGGAATAATTACCAATTTTCATTCCGCCTCGACCCACGTTGCAATCCGAATGATCTCAGCTTCATGTGGAAAGTATTAGTAAGTTTTTAGTTGGAGATTTTAATTATCCTGGATAATGGAAAATGATTTAATGTAACTGAAGAAAATTGAAACGTATTTACATACTTCCATTTAAATAAGACAGATTTTAAAAAAGCGTACTGTTTGTAGCAAAATTTCCAAGTTAAAAAAAATTGTTCCGTGAGGAGATTCACAAACTAAATATTTATGATTTCGCAAATTTAGCAAATCTTCACAAATGCAATTGTGTTATCCTGTTTTTAAATATTCCATGGATTGTTCGTAATTCCTAAAGTACTTATGTAATGAAGACGACAAGTTTGCGAAGTTCCATTTGCCCAATTGGTGGGCAAATTTGCCAAAAAAACTCATAAGTATGTTTTTCCGTAAAAGTTTTTCCAAATCTCGCAAATTTTGCACAACTTCGCAAGGTATGTTGCTCAATTTACGAGATATGTACATATGCGAATGTTGGCGTGAGTATACATAGGTATACACTTAACGTTTCCAATATCGTTTTTAAATAATGAGTTGTTTTATACACTTACATATTTATTTATAGCCGGGCGGATACCCTAACACGGTGATTTTTGAAAACAATCAATTCCAGTCTAACTGCGTGTCGGCAGTATTTTACGACGTGACATGTTACGGTGAAGAAGAGCCCGAAAGAGATCGAGAAGTAGTCTGTTCGACACATGTCGACCCCAACCGCCTGGGCCCTTTTCTTGGTGGCTGTGACAACAAAGGAGGCGTCGACACCCCGTACAACAGTTGGACTATTTCTGGCCCTAAAATTTTCAATAGGCAGACTGGCAGATACATAACGGGAACAGCGTCAAGATCTCTGACGATGGAACAGCTAGGCGTCGGTGGTGGTATACAGGACTGGGTGTACTACAAGATACCGTGGGTTAAAGAGATTGGACCAGTAGGGTATAAACCGGGGTTGGGTTGAGTTAGGCTAGGTTAACATTTTAATTTAATTTTTAATTTAGTTAATTTTAATTTTTTGAACCTGTACAATTGTACGAATTGTAATTGTCTATATCCAATTGTTCTTCCGCGAGAATAATAATAAGAATAATAAGAATAATAATCGAAGAAAGTGATTTTGTGTTTTAAAGGTGGAAGTCCAAGTTCATATTTTAATATTTCATTGAGAATAAATTTGGAATAAAGAGTTGCTCTTGGAAACGGAATTTCGTTGATTATTGAATTTTTAAAAAATATCTCATACACAAGTTTTTTATTTATATAAATATCTACGTAATACATACATAGGAACCGGATGGATCAGAAAATGAGGCAAATAACCAACAATTTATGTTATCACTGTACAAAGCAAGTTCATTTCCTCTTCTTCCTCTCAACTAAAATGGCAACAATTGTAGGAACCAATATCCATACCAAGGATGAGAGAAATGCTTCCACAACGTGCCTATTACTGATGCCCCATCCTCTCAAACACACCGATCTGAACGCCTCGACTAGTTTTGTAAGGGGTAATAGTTCACAGAAATTTCTATAAAGTGGTTCACTTTCATCGAGCGAGGTTAATATACCTGGAAATAATTAAATCGCTGAAATTAGCGATAATTACTTAGCTATATACGATACATACATACATTTATAAATATTAATATACCGGCAGAAAATGCTTGTGTTAACACTAGTCCAAGAACACGGAAGGCATTGCTCACAACTTTATTTCCCAACGTCCCAATAATCCAACCTGTCAGACAATTTAAAGAGTTTAGATAAAGACAGGTATAGATCCTCTTTGATAGGCAAAGTTGCCAAAGTTGCCAAAAATAAAGTTTGTAAATTCGCAAAAATTTGGTAAAACGATCCGCGAACTTGACATCACCACGAGCAATACATTAATTACTCAGGATTAGTTCGCAAGTCATTTTGCAAATATACGTAATGCGAATTTTTAATGAATCGGTACTTTGCTTTTGGGGTTACTCACCAATTGACAAACCCACCAGTGACGTTAGATATATCAGTCCAACTCCCAAACCCAATGACCCCTTAATTTCGAAGTTGTAGAAGGCGCACAGCATTCCGAGAATTAATGCTGAATTAATTCCCGTAATTACGAACCGTTCAATAATGCTGGATCCAATTTTATGCCATAAATTGACCCCAGCGACATAATCGCGATCTTCCAACCCTTCACTTCTATCCATCGCCCAGAGGATAGCAATCGCACTGCAGAGCATGAAGATTAATCTGCAAAGTTTAGTAACAATTAGGGTTAAGTTAAGTTTAATTATGTATCTATAAATAATTAACGGATAGATTAACACGAACAGAATTATTAAACCTGGCTGGATAAAGGAGGTATAGCTTGATAACGATAAACTACCATGGATGGCGCGGAACTTGAAACCACATAACAAAATTCTAACGCAATGATTAAATACTTGTTACTTTATCAATAGTTTTCTTAGCTTACCTTCATCGCTGGCATGGAAATATTTGCATTGGCCGAACAAGAAATCATAATTCTTTGCAAAAATGTAAAATATTTGTCAATCAGAGTTTTCTTAAACCAGGTGGATGAGATTGTATCTGCAGAATTGAGAAGGGTTAGCCAAGATTAAAAGATTTTCTGTGGGAAGAATGCTAAATATGTACATAGGAACGTCAGAAAGTTAACGTTGTGAGTAAATATTAATAGCAAAATGCTAATGCAAAAAAAACATGCAAAAAATGCGAATGGAATTACTCGAGTTGTCTGTTTCCACAGTTATCGTGGACCCACGCAATGTTTCGGTATCCACCCAATTTCTGTAAATAATTCGATTCACGACATGCATTCCGAAATGGGGTGGAAATTCTAAAAAAGCGATTGTATTTCCGAGCTTTATATCCCGAATTGCATTCTCATACGAATTTGCCACCTTCTGAAAATTGTGTCGTTTCAAATATCTGTAATACATGCTTATCTGTTCTATTTTTTCGTACCCAATCAAATTCACGATTTTCAAAGGTATCGATAAAACTGCAAATCCCAACATTTTCTAGACATTCAGATCCCGACGAATTCAATTGGTTGCAAAATTTACCGAGTTGTTTTGTAGTTGTCACATTTTGCATATTTGTTACCAACCCGACAGGTAAAGTTCGTGGTGGGAGACCAATTATGTTTTGCAGGAGACCAATCATCATAACTGGTATGACAAAGTCAGGCATAACTCGTCTAAAAGAAATTAGTATTTAGTATAACGTACATAAATATAACGAAATTTAAACAAATTACCTTAAATCTCTACTAGTTTGGTAGAACGATTTGCGGAGGAGGGCAAAAATTATGCGAAAATGGTTCCCTCTAGATTTCCCAGACTTCTGGATTTGGCAAAAGTCACTTTCTAAAGAGGAGGATAATTTTCGATATGTCGTTCCAATCACGTTGGAATTTGCATCTTGCATTTTGTCGTTTTCTTTTTTCCAAAGGAATATGTCTCTCGTTTTTTCATGTTCCAGTTCATCCTGAAGGCATATCTTTAGTGCAAAATTTTCTAAATTATGGGAGCCATACGAGGATAGGAGTGCTTCTGGGTTATCTTCAGCAATTAGGCGGCCACCCCTCATGAAACCAATCTGCAAATAAGGGAAACATTTCAGGTGAAAAAACTCGTTCATCATTTCGAAAATATATCCTCTGTTAAAATTGATTAGTAATTTGTGAGAACACCCGGAAAAAAATTAATGCTGTTTCCTACGAAGAATAACGACGGGAGAACATAATGTAATTTCTAAACCCCGCTGTACCTACTTTGTCACATAGCTTGGCTTCGTTGACGTAATGCGTCGATATGATTATAGTTGTCCCACGTGTTCTCGATATTTCTTTCAAGTATGCCCAAATCCTGGCAAATTTGACACAATTTGTAATTTTGGTCATATGAGAACATACTAGCTGTGATATTTACCTTTCCCGTAATAATGGGCCAAGCCCTACGATTGGCTCATCCATGATAAGCAGTTTTGGATTGTGTATCATGGCGATCGCAATGGATACCCGACGTTTTTGACCACCGCTTAAAAAAATATTCAATGTTGATCAATTTGTTTATTTGTCTTAACTCATCTCAGAACTAATTATGCATCATGCATGTAATCACACCTTAAACAACTAATCTTCACCCTTGATGACTTCAGGTCAAGAAATGTGGTAAGAAAATTTGTCATATTTTCTATTTCCTGATTTGTCAGTCCATAAATCATCCCATAGTATGTAAGGGATTCTTCAGCCGTTAAAAAATTTTGGAGGGCAGTATCCTAAAATTTAAGTAAATCAAAAAGTATCCACATTTCGAAATTGTATGGAAAATTCCTTAAACTAATTTTTACTTGTGGTACGTATCCGCACAACGTATCAGTCACTCCACCCCCTTTTCTCCCAAATAGGGAAAATCGTCCCCTGTCAAACTGACGTAATCCGACAAGACACGAGAGCAGCGTTGTTTTTCTAAATTTGTAAAAAAATCGTACAAAATTTTTTTATGAATTTTAGAAATTTTGAACTCGTATTTATTTATCTGCATGTACATACCCACATCCACTTGCTCCAAGTAATCCATAACTAAAATCAAGTTATGCAATTTTACTAATAAGTTTTTAGTAAAAACTGTTTACACTCCTTTAAAAAATATTTCCTCACATTTCTCCTCGATTTATGTCCATGTCCAAATTTCTGAGAACGTATCCCTCCTTTCCGTTGTACGACTTGTAGCCGTTTCTTATTTGAACAACAGCCATGTTTTTATCGGATTTACTGACAATTCGAGGAAAAATTAGGATTCTAGATATTTCACTACGAACGAACTAACCACACTGCGCAAATTTAGAGAGACGTACATATCAACACGGAAAGATTGTGGAAGAAAATGGTGCAAAATGAACAGTTCATTCAGTGAATTTAATAAAATTGTATGCACTGTTCGTTAAATTTTATATAATTGTCTGGAGAAAAACAACCTTGACTTAAATTAGAACTATTACTCATGCTCGAATACTTTAATCTTGCCATGTACAAAACTACCTATACGCACGCGAATGAAATATGTGCATACAATTGTCATTAGTAAAACTAGACTGACAAGAAGGGAGGCGATTCATGATCGAGTAAACTCACCGTAAGTCGCACTTTACCTATACTTATCCATTAATACTTGCTTCGTAAATATTTAATTACCCGTCTTCTTTTTGTTTTGCAAAAACTTTACGTGAGGATAATTAAAAAAGGTGAATAATTCTGATAACTTTATAGATAAGTGTGTTGGAAGAAATAAAACTGAATTTAATTGAGCTCCGTGGATAAATAAATATGAAATATGATATGTAAATGAGCAATTACTTTATTGTGTCGGTGTAACGCGTATTATTTTTTTAATTATCGTCTCACAAATACTGGACTGAATGCATCCTTGATACTGACCTGATTTTGTGCATATGTACATAAAAATACATAGGTAGGTACTTTGTTTGCACTAGCATCTTAGGTATGTAGCAAGTTGCTACTTGCATCGTGGGAACAAAGACGAAGAGTCGCTACTCTGAATATCGGTAGGTTAGTATTTAAATATGTGCATAAAATGTCTTGAGAATTTCTGGGAAATTGTGATGAAGGATAAATACATGTTGTTATTATTTCAAGTTATATGTATTTACATAGTCTTACCATAAGAAGTGATAGTAGAGCGTAGTTTTTGAACCGGTCAACATAAAATTAAAAGGTCAGTTGCGGTTTGTGCATGCATTCAGTGCCTATCATTGGTATTAACCGTTTTTACTTGACGTCACCAGGTCAAAAGTAGGAGAAGCTTATCTACACGCGTGCGGCAATAATTTTTCACTTTTTGCACGAGAAAAAAATGCACAATGTTTGATGTAATGTAGCAGTCCAAGTACAACTACGATCTGGTGTATTTTTGATGGAGCTTTCTCCTCTCGTGACCAATTTTTCATGGCATAGGAGGAATATGTTTTCAAGTTTAATACATGTTTTCTACTTGAAATTTAACTGGCTTTTCAATGGAATAAAAATAAATTTGAAATTCCTCAAACACAACCTAATATAGTCGTCTACTGTACTATCACTTTTTAAGTTGAGACTATGTATGTATGAGTAAGGTTTGTAAAGGTAAACATGTGTACATGCATACTTGTGTGGTTGATATTCTAGGAATACAAAATAAGTTGCCACCTCAGGAAAAGATCTTGGCTAATAAACAGTTTTTTTAATGACTAGGCGATGCAAATAACATATGCAGATATTTATGTGCATATATACGTAACATACATATATGTAATCAATGACTCAATGACGAGGAAAACTAATCCTAAGAACAAAACCGGTCATTATTTCAATAGTAGTGTGGTTTGGATAGAGGAATATGCAATTTGTACTGAAAAAGTCTGACCATCATTTGAAAGAGTTTGTCCTTGATTTGTTTATCAAATATGTAGATAGTTGTGTCATAAACATTTTACGATCGATTTTTTTCAACAATCAGCTAGATATATACTTTTTAGTAAGTGTTGCTACTTTAGCAAATAAATTTGCCGTACCGAAGCAAATCTTGCAAGACTGGATTTAATTACTCCGATTTAATGATGGAATAGTCGCTAGAGTCGTGTATAGTTGATAATAATTAAGTACAGTCGGTTTTCATAAATATATATACATTTTAGGATTAGTAAATAATATAAGTGGAGAAATATTACGATCCAAAATAAAATATTTGTACAGAAAATTGTTGGCATCCAACAAAGCTAGTCAAAAACTTGACATTATATAGAGGCGAATGCGATTCATAAATAATATTAACGACGTCTTTCCTAGTACAAAACTCGAATTTGCACCTGCAAATTTACAACCTGTCCCGACACGTCAATCCCCCTTGAAAAATCTTGAATTTCGTCACGGACATTCCATTTGACACCATGAAATTCAATATCTTCCACCGAGATTTTTTACTAACCTGGACACAAAATCAGTACAAATGTAAATAACTATTTTTGAATAATATTAACCAGACACGTTGATTAAAATGTACATCAGCAGCAACTTACAAAAATATTATGAATGGAGACCCGGTTCATCACATCCATCGCGACGAGCAGTTTCTTGAACTGCTGCATTTCATTCTTCGTTAAATCTCTTCTTTCATAATTCCCCCGGTATATCAAAATTTCCAAAGTTTTCAACTCTGGAGGTTCACATAGAAATAAGAGAAATTTCATTAATAAAAAATATGGGTTGCTCCACGAGATATGGTAATGAAGGCGATTCGAAAAATCGAGTTTTTTGAAATCCTTCTAGTATGTGTTGGGGGACCCTAAAAGATGGTCAAAAACCGTTGTCCGCGATTTTTGAAAATTTCGGTGGGGGCGGTAGGAGGGGGAGTGGCTTTTGTTGAGATCCCACTTTTACGCGCCCGGTTTTGCACGTAGGGACTTCAAATTTTGCACACACATACCTTGGGAAAATCAAATTGCGGACCTTTTTTTCTTTTTTTGAAATAAGGTCTTGGTGACCGTGTGCAGGTCAAAATGCGCGATTCGTTAGATTGGTCTTAAAATGGTCATGTGGGGTGTCGTTGGAAAGCTAAGGACTGTACGAATGCTTCTGAATCAGTTACGCACCCCTCTGACCTCAGCGGAAGGTCATAGCCCCGTTTTAAGGTCACAATAAAGAATTATTTATTTTGACTTTGTCATATTTGAATGTGTAGCGTTTACGTACATACAAAATCTTTAAAATACGAAACATCGAGTCTACGATCTGTGGAATTTATGCACTGCAGTGTTATGAATCATTGTCATTTGTAGTTGTCGCGATTTCAGTTTGACATGTTATTTTTTTGCCTGCATGAATTGTTTTATGCGAAATACTTGCATAACTATACTCTACTCGTACACATCATTCAAATTCAAGCGTTTTGTACTCAACAAATTCATGACAAATTTATTTTTTATGCATTGTAAGTTTTCTTGTATTTGTTTTTACGTAATTATTAATTGGGAAACGTCTAAAAAGTATCAATTGTGTTTTCTGTGTGAGTAAGAAACGAAAATTATTGTACATGCACTAAGTTCGACAGGTAATCTATGGACATGGTTAAGAAACATGACAAAATATTTTGCCAGGTGCCGAGGATATAAGAGACAGCATTGAAACAGCTGAAAGTTATGTCGTCGAAATATCGGTCAGCCTGGAGTTCTGAAAAAAATGCGGCGAAAGCTGTGGAGTTTGGTGAAGACTTCAAGCAATACACTGTAAACGCGCGCAGCGTTATGTGTTCCCAAGTATAGAAAATAAACAATTAATCTATTTATGTAAATAATGTATACTTAACAAATTTAATTCAAGTTGATTATAGAAATTAGTACTTGACACTACTACTCGTCAGAAGCAAAAATCGCTTCGAGAAATTTTATGCCTAAGTCAATGGAGTGTAAGTTCAATATATGTCGTCATCGGTATCCTAGTAGGTTTTATATTGCGGGAAAAAGATTGATCACGACAACACTGAAATGGCGTAAATTCGAACGCAGTAGAAGCCGTTTTCCAAAAGGTCATAAACGTAAACATCAATTTGTGCAGCATATATTAATAAAAATTTGATACTTAACATTTCGTAATTAATAAATGCGTAAAAACAAATACAAGATATAATAAAAACTTAAAATTGTATGCATCAAAAATAAATTTATAGAGTACAAAACGCTTGAATGATGTGTACAAGTAGAGTATAGTTATGCAAGTATTTCACACAAAACAATTCCATGAAGCAAAAAAATTCATGTCGAAAATGACGAACTGAAATCGCGACAACTACAAATGACAATGATTCATAACACTGCAGTGCATAAATTCCACAGATCGTAGACTCGATGTTTCGTATTTTAAAGATTTTGTATGTACGTAAACGCTACACATTCAAATATGACAAAGTCAAAATAAATAATTCTTTATTGTGACCTTAAAACGGGGCTATGACCTTCCGCTGAGGTCAGAGGGGTGCGTAACTGATTCAGAAGCATTCGTACAGTCCTTAGCTTTCCAACGACACCCCACATGACCATTTTAAGACCAATCTAACGAATCGCGCATTTTGACCTGCACACGGTCACCAAGACCTTATTTCAAAAAAAAAAAAAAAGGTCCGCAATTTGATTTTCCCAAGGTATGTGTGTGCAAAATTTGAAGTCCCTACGTGCAAAACCGGGCGCGTAAAAGTGGGATCTCAACAAAAGCCACTCCCCCTCCTACCGCCCCCACCGAAATTTTCAAAAATCGCGGACAACGGTTTTTGACCATCTTTTAGGGTCCCCTAACACATACTAGAAGGATTTCAAAAAACTCGATTTTTCGAATCACCTTCATTACCATATCTCGTGGAGCAACCCATATGTAAACGGAAATCATATTCAACACAAATTTAAAATTTAATCTTTAAATTATTAAAAACTTGACTTACCTTTATACAAATCCGAGCGATCCAACAAACTCTGAATGACGTGCTGGTTTGGTGAAAAATTGGGCAGCCTTAAATTTAAGTATTTCAATCCCTCCCAACCCTTGCACGCATTTAGAACCACGTCCAAGTTCATCGTGGTCACCTCTCCCTTGAAATCTATTTCGCAACGCGTGTTCAACTCCAAACTTTCCAAGTTCGGAAACGTCGTTTTCAATCCTTCCAGAAGTTTGGGATTGTGCATCTCGTTAATCGTCAAATTTCGCATGCTCTGCAAGACCATTTTCTCTTGATTAATATTTTCAAAAAGTTCATCCACATCTCTCGACTTTTTCAATATTTTCCCAATCTTTAGCGTTTTCAGAGCGGGCAGTCCTCCGATGTCGAGGCGCTGATGCTGAAATACGTCGAGCAAATTGTTCTCAAACTTTTGCAGCTTCGACATCTTTCTCGGTAACTTGAATTTGGTTCGGTTCGAGTTATTCAAATTGTAGGCCTCGTTCCTTTTTGGCAGTAAATAATTGTCGGGACCAGAAAAGGTAAGGTTGATTAGCTGGTCACCAACTTGACTCAACGAGCGTGAGAGTTCGGAAGGTTTTAAATCCACCAGAGCATCTTCTATTGTCCGACGGGCGTCCAATTCGACCCTTAAGGAGGAAAGATGTTTAGAACTTGCAAAATCTGGATAGAATCCCCATGGAATGGTGACCTCTCTTAAATTTGGCGAGGCATTGACAACCAGCTGAAGAAGATTAGCAAGCGGAGGGGTCACCTGGACGTCAGACCGGACCGTGAGCAATGTCAACTTTGGTCTTAGCAGGAGGGGCCCTGACAGATTTGGCAGAATTTCTTGCCTGAAATCTAAATCTGAATCATCATCATCGAAGAACTCGTAAGCGATTCGAAACTGTTTCAAATTGGGACAGTAATTTTTCAAAATTTGGAAGATGGAAGGTAAACAGGGTGCGTAGTCGAAGGAAATCTCAAAAATTTGCACAATGTCGCTAAACTTGTAGCAAAAATGGGTAAGCCTGTAGGCGAAGGGATCGATCCAGAGAATGGGGTGAACGCCGTAAGGAGCAGATATACACGTGGCGCTAATTCGCTTCGCAAGTCGGTCATCCAATGTGAAGCACAATTCGGAAAATTTATTGGCGTTGCCGTTATAGTCAGCTTGAGATTTGGCCTCGTATTCCAGGTTTAACGCAAGTTTCGTATTTGGAAGGGTGAGGACCAGTTCATTCCAGAATTGACAAACTAGTCGACATTTTTTCAATGGGGACCGTTTTAATATTTCTATCAAAATCTAAAAATTGACAAAATATTTATATATTTTATTTGAAATACTTCATAATGTCAACGGTTTTAAAATTATTGGCTTACAATTGGATTATTCAGTGCCCTGTCCACCACACTTATTTCCCCCTGAGGCTTCATTGAGTCAAGTTTTTTAATCCTATTCTGAAATGTACATTAATTAAAGCTCTCAATTAAATAGGAATTATGCTTTGTACTTCATGTTTTGAAACAATTTTCAATACATAAGGGAACGTTCATAAAATACGTATCACAGTGGAGGGGAAGGGCTGTTGCGCTTTCGGTCAACTTGTGCCACATGTTAGAAGGGGGTGTAACTCGTTATGAGGGGAGGGAAGGATAACAAATTGCCTATTTTGCGTTATGTATTTTATAAACGTTCCATAATTAGAGTGCAAATATTCTGTTCAAGTTAGGGCCGTTCATATATTACGAACACAAGAGGGGGGAGTCAAAGCTCCAATGATATCGTGCCCTCGTTGCCCATGTTAAAAGGGGGTGGAGGTCGAAAAATCGTTTTTTATGACATAATATATGAACGGGCCCTAACACCTTACCAAAAACAGTTGACAAATGTTAAGGTTGATGCAACCAAGTTGTTTTGACTTAATTTAAATAATTGAAAACAAATGTGTAAAATATTTACACTTTTTAATTAAAAATCGCAATTCTTATCAGGAGTAGATGTTCAATGTAAGATGTGTGCAATTGAATCGCCCGCTTTCGCCTTGAACCGCATCACACCGGGAAGTAAACCAAAGTTGCGAGTCAATCGCACATCTGCTCCTGACAAGAATTGAGATTTTTAATAAAAAGTGTAAATATTTTACAAATTTGTTTCCAATTATTTATATTAAGTCAAAACAACTTGGTTGCATCAACCTGAACATTCGTCACCTGTTTACACATTGGTAAGGTATTCCTTATGGAACGTTCGTAACATACGCAACACAAAATATGCAATGTGTGTACCCCTTCCTCCCCCTCTTAACGGGTTACGCCCCCTTTTTAATATGTGGCGCAAGTTGACCGGAAACGCAACAACCTTCCCTCCCCTTCCGCCGTGATGCGTATTTTATGAACGTTCCCTTAGGTATATACATATGTACACGTTATAAATTGTTTCAAAACATGAAATATAATTTATAATTCATGTTTAATTAAAAGCTTTAATTAATGTACATTTCAGTCTACGATTTAAAAACCTCATGGAGCCCCAGGGGGAAATAAGTGTGATGGATAGGGCAATGAATAATCCAATTGTGAGCCAAATAATTTTAACATTTTTAAAACTATGAATTTGTTAAATAAAATTGAAACGTTTGGTAAATTTGCAGATTTTGAAACAAATATTTAAACAGGACTCCACCCCACTGAAAAATTGTCGACTTGTTTGTAAATTTTGGAATGAGATGGTCCTCTCCCTTCCAAATACGAGACTTGCATTAAATCTGAACTACATTGAAGACGTCGATGACCACAACGCCGTTAAATTTTTCGAATTGTGCTACACATTAGATGCCCGACTTTCGAAACGGATTAACGCTCCATTTTTCTCAGATGATGACATGGACCCCGCCCACTGGATTGATACCTTCGGCTACAGGCTTACCCATATTTGCGACAAGTTTAGCGACATTGTGCAAATTTTGGAGATTTCCCTCGAGTATGAACCCTGTTTACAATCTGTCTACCAAGTTTTGAAAAATTGCTGTCCCAATTTGAAAAAGTTACGAATTAATTTCGAGGACAACGAGTATGAACCAGATTTAGGTATCGAAATTCTGCCAGGGCCGCTCCTACGAAGACCAAATTTGACATTACTCAAGGTCACTTGTGAAGTCCAGGTGACCCCGTCGCTCACCAGCCTTCTTCAACTGATTGTCAATGCCTCGCCAAATTTAAGAAAGGCCACCATTCCATGGGGATTCTATCCAAATTTTGCAAATTCTAAACGTCTTGACTCCTTAAGGGTCGAATTGGACTTCCCTTGGCCAATAGAATACGCTATGGAAGATTTTAAGCCTGTGGAACTCTCACGTTTGTTGAAGAAAGTTGGTGACCAACTAGTCAACCTTACCTTTTCTCGTCCCGGCAATTATTTAATGCCACCATGCGACAAGGCATACAATTTTAAGAACTCGAGCAAAACCAGATTCAAGTTACCGAGAACGATGTCGAAATTGCAAAAGTTTGAAAACGAGATGGTCGACATATTTCAGCATCAGCGTCTGGATATCGAAAGACTGCCCGCTCTGAAAACGCTTAGAATTGGAAAGATATTGGAAAAGTCGAGACGTGTGGACAAACTTTTGGAAAATCTGTATAAAGCGGAAAAGGTTTTCACAAGCGTGGAAAATTTGGCGATTCTCGAGATACAGGATCCCAAACTTCTTGACGGATTGAAGACGGCGTTTCCCAACTTGAAGAGGTTGGAGTTGGATACACGTTGCAAAAAATATTTCAAGGGGGAGTTGGGCGAGATGCTCAATACGTGCAAGGGTTTGGAGGGACTGAAATATTTGCATTTGATGGTGTCTACTTTTTCAGAACCAAGGCTGAATATTATTCTGACTTTGTTGGACAGCGCGGAGTTGTATAAAGGTGCGGGTCAACTTTTCAGATTAACTTATAAAAAAAGTTTTAAATTTCATTTCAGTGTGCAATATGACTTAATTTATCCGTTCACATAATTTAAAAATAATAATAATGTCCTAATTCTCTTATTTTTATATGAACCGGATCTCCAGAGCTGAAAGTTTTTGAAATTTTGATATTCCGGGGGACCGTGAGAGGGGATTTAACAGAGGAGGAGATGGACTTATTCAAGAAACTGCTCGTCGCGATGAATGGGATGGATAGGGTCACCATTCACAATTTTCATGTGAGTGGCAAATGACATTTAATGGCTGTTTGTTTATTTTAACCGACATGGTATTAACATTTGTAATTTTGTGTTCAGGTTGGTGAAGAATCTCGGAAAAAGATATTGGATTTCATGGTATCTAACACAATGTCAGTGTCCAAGTTTGAGCTGTTTCGAGGGGGATAGAGTAACGATTAGTTGCAAATTCGAATTTTTACTAAGATTTTAATAGCCAACGACTTTGGTGATAGCATTTATGAATCACCTCTAGCAGCAAGCTTTTACATAACTTTGTTAATTTTAAATGATGAAAGATTTGTCTCCGCTAGAAAATGCGGTTTTTCTAATAAAAATGCGTTTATGTATTAATAAACATGAGAATGTTCGTTCTTGACATGAAAATTGTAAATTTTATTCATGTTCTCAAAATTGTTAATTGTTAACTAAAAGCTATTACTTTCACTACTTATATCCAGTCAAGTCAAGTAATCCTTTGGTTATACATATGTCAACCAATATCAGTTAATATAAACTGGTTTCTAATTCATAACACAATTGCTATAAATTTAGAAAGCAACCAATCTAAATATACTATTTATTTGATTACACCAGAGGAAATTGGATTACATTCCGTTACGCAGCTACATATTAGCGCGAGTATTATCTATTATTTGATATTGCTACTCCGTTTTATATTGGTATTCATACACATATCGAGGTCGACCTCCATGGATTCGACCTCTGATACATATTTCGCATGAAATTTATATTGTCGATTACCTAAAGCAACGATACATTCATTGTTTGGTCCGATATTCCCGTCAGGACCTCTATCACTGTAGATTTTGTACAAATAAACAACGTATGACCCCAAAATCCTATCGGAACACCTGCGGTCGGCAGGGATCTGACCCGTCGTAGATAAATGCATTTCGTAATTTTAGAATGATTCAACTGATTTGCCGCCCCTCTAAAATATTTCAACAATTCGGCCGATTTTCCGTTAAATTTTGCCGCAAACTGGAAGGTGGCAATCTCCATGGTAAAACTCACCCAGGAAAGATTCATCATCCCTAACCAGACAGAAACTGGTAACACGTTGGAGAGACGTATAGTCGCGAAAGTGGCCAAAATATGAAGCACTGACGCTAACAAGGTCGCCATAAAGCCGAGAAGACCTGCAAAATTGTACGCGGCGTAGAGTGGGATCAGGATTTTTTGAAAATGTAGAAAATGTGTCCCATCCGACAGTCTACCGTTTTTCAAAATTCCTTCAAAAGTCTTATGCAAATAGTCGATCGCTTTGCTAAACCAATTAACAGTCAGGATGACGCAGAGAAGAGCAAAAGAGGTTATTCGCATGCATTCAAAAGTGAGAATTGACGCGATCAGGTATCTAAGACTGAACGAAATTAATTTAATTGTAAGGCTGTGACTCATCCCGATAGCAAATGGTAGTTTTCCACAGATAAACGACATAATGAAGCTGGTAGGGTCCACCTTCAACCAGATGAGAGACAGAAGAAACGGTATTGGTAAAATATAGCCCGAGATCAGGATTGCTTTTAGGGTTACTTCGAATTTAGTTTGCTTTGACCGAATGGTGGTTTTCTGCTTCAATTCTGAAATTTTGTGGTAAAATTTTGTTTAAAAATTATATATTTTCAAAAATAAAAATAATCACAAAAATTGTGTTATACAAAAAACTAGCAATACAAAAGCTGTTTTATTTAACAAAAAATCAGATATTTATCTATCAGGGTTACAAGTGATATATATCACTGAGTGAGATTTAGTGAGATTTAATGATTTATATCATTTATCTCACTTGGGGCTGAGTGAGAAATATGAGAAATAATGAGATAAACATGTAGTTAATGACCCCGTCCGCTAGGTGGCGCTAGTGCATGGCTCATAAATCTCACTAAATCTCATATTTCTCATGTCTCACTATTTCTCATTATATCTCAGTGAGATGAGATTTACGAGGGTGAGATGAGATTTCTGCAACCCTGTTATCTATGCTTCACTGAACCCTATTCAGATCACAATAACTTACCCCGCGATAAGGTCAATACTTCAGTAATTAGGAAATTCAGACCAAAGATGCAGTCCTCCTGTGAAGATGCAATAGTTCGAAAAAGTGCGATGATAATAGCACCTAAACTAAAGACCATTACTTGCACTGCTCCGACCAGATTCGGATTTACAAATAGCACCTCTATCAACTCGACTCGTAATGAGAAACAATTCTGACTAAACTTGCGGTTCGAAAGTTCACCTTTCATAGCAACGTGGAAATATTCATGTCGAGTCAAGAATGCGTACAAAATGGAGCCAGCTATTCCAATTGCACCGATAAAGTAAGGCCAAATTCTCCAAAATATGGGGAATCTTCGGCGAGCAAAGATTATCTCGTTCCGCTTTGAATCCCAAACCCAAGGGAGTGTAAACCTGAAGGGGTACATATCCTGGTACAGTTTAGCGTAAAACGACCAAACGCGAAAATCCGACTGAGGCATTTTATTTAGTTTTTTTCGGGGCGGAAAATACAGAATATGGTGCAAAAATTTACACCATAAAGTTTGGAATTTTAGGTAGGAATTTTCGCGAAAATATGTAAAATATGTAACTATGCGTATGTATCTATACAGAGCGTGAATCAAGATACAAAACTCACTTTTATTTTTGAGATAACAAGTGTTAGAGACACTTGGGATTATTGAAATTTGCACGTGTCGTACCCAGATAGTCAAGGAACAGTTTGCAAAATCACTCTTAGTTCTGTGCAGCAACATGCCCCCACTCCCCCCCACGGAGTGCGAGGTAGCCGTAAAAGAGTTTTCCAAAGATGAATTGTACCATAAATTTTTTTTAAGAAACTGGCGACAACTGAATTCAAGTACCAGTCAAAGCCATGTTTCCATTGTATTAAATGGCACTATCATAAAGAGGCAGAAATCATTGGCTGGAGTTCCACCTCCACCAAAGTGGCGTTCAAGATCAGTCAGGATCGAGCATGAGTTATACTAGATTGCAAATTTCATCAATAAGGAACATCCGTCACCACAGAAAAGTATGCAAAATGTTGGGGGTGAGTCAGGCAATAGTTTTTAGGATCAGTCACTTTGACCTAAATATATTAACGCGGAGGAGGACCCGCTGTACGCCCCCACGCCGTCTTACATCGCGTTTTTCGAAGCAAATTCGCGGTAACTGCATGAAAACTTATTTTCCAGAAATAAATTTTTAACTGCAATTACTCTTGGCGAGTCGCATGACATTATTCGGATGGATTATTTTAGATTTGAGTACTTGAAGCAGAGATTTTCAAGCTGACGGCTCGGGCGCTAAGTGGGTTTTGGAAAACTTTTCAAAACGGGTAGAACAAAATCACTCCAAAAAAGTGTCAAAGGTGATAATGGCGTAGAAAAAGCGATTGCACCTCGTTAGACAAACTAATGGGCTACCCATTGAAGCAATTTATAAAATTCACAAACGAAAAATAAAGCTGTAGAAAAATAAACAAAAGTGAGTTTTGTATCTTGATTCACTCTCTGTAATGTACTTATTTATCTGAAAAACTGTGAAGATAATATTGAATTTCTCAATAGTAGACGCTTTCGAATATGGGTTTCATGTCTGGAAAGAATTGAGTAAATCTAATATTTATCTGCTACGGATATGTAAGAGGTATTACCTTGGTTACATAAATTGGCATTACAAAAAAGAGTTATGGATGAAATTTTATTCAATCATACATATTAAATATTTACTAACAAAACAGATTGTGGTCATGTCCAACTTCTAATAATCAGAGAAACAAATATGTTTTCAGTAGAGTTTATTCTTCCAGAATATTCAAACTCCAAATTGTATTAGCCTGTAGCCCTCGATGCCAAATTATTTAAACAACCAATCCTGAGAATCGTAGACTGAGACGCTTAATTCAATTTAAAATAAAATCCAACCCTGGGCAAAGTTTATTAATACGAACCCTCTTTAAGCTCAAAACTGGAAAAATAAAATTCGCTTAATGACGTAGGACTCGTGATGAATATTAAAGATCACGGTATCATATGGATGGATCTGTATTCAATGTAAATTAATCCGGCATTAATAATTCTTTCCAAATTTCCAGGGGTGGTCAAAATACTTTGTGAAAACTTGTCACAAAGTATTTTGCGGCTGACTCCTCCCGCTGGCAACCCGATGGACGTATGTAAAGCTAGCCACAAATATCGTCACAACGTGAATTTGACACAGAAATTCCTTCCTTTTGTTGAATTAGTCATGTATTGTGGTCATTTGTGTATGGGTTCGACACCATGTATGTTCCCTTACATACACATACACATGTTGTTAGATAAAACGTCATAAGTGGAGACAAAACAAAGTAAAAAATATTACGATCCAAAACAAAATATTTGTACAGAAAATTGATTTATATATTGAACGAAATAAATACAGATAGAAATTAGTGCAAGGCCAGGTAAATTTGGCATCCATATATGGAATTAACAGACACACAAAAATTGTATATTATATAAGGCGATTAAGAAATGATATCCCTGACGACCTTCCTACAAAACTCGAATTTGCACCCACAAATTTACAACTTGTCCCGACACGTCAATCCCCCTTGAAAAATCTTAAACTTGTCCACGGACATTTTCTTTGACACCATGAAATCCAATATCTTTCTCCGAGAATCTTGACTAACCTGGACACAAAATCAAAACTGATGTCAATAAGAACTTTTACATAATATTAACCAGTAAGTTGATTAAAATATACAGCAATTAAATGCCGTTTGCACCAACTTACATAAATATCATGAATTGTGACCCGGTCCATTCCATCCATCGCAACGAGCAGTTTCTCGAACTGATCCATCTCGTAATTCGTTAAATCTCCTCTTTTATAATGTTCCTGACATATCCAAATTTCCAAAATTTTCAGCTCTTGAGGTCCGATTCGCATGGAAATATGAGAAATTAGAACATTATTAACGAAAAATAAGTGAACGGATAGATTAACCTCTTAAGGACGAAGTGCAGTATTTTATTTTCCATTGGTGACGAAATACAAAAATGTGTTTACTGCATAAATTACTATGGCACCAAAATTTCTCAAAAATAAGAATATTTCTTCGGTATTTTTGTGGAAAACTCGATAGTGAAAAGAGGATCTTTATATATTTTACTCCTAAAATATTGAAATTTTTCCTATACCGACCAAAGTTTAAAAGTAGATTTTTCCTCAAAATTGTGACGAAAAGTGAGTTTTGAGTGTTAACACTCAAACCTAGGGATTTGGTTGAAATAAATATCTCGTCTTTTATAAGAAATCATGAAACTTTTAATTGTTTGCTATCAGGTCTAATTATGGAATCGATGTTGTTCCCTAGCGAAATTTTGTTAAAAAATCAGTAGTATGAAAGAGGTTAAGGCATTTTATGAATCATATTACGCACAAATTTAATTTATGAAAAGGTGACATTTACCTTTATACAAATCCGCGGCATTCAACAAAGTCTGAATGGCATCCCGTTTTCGTGAAAAATTAGGTAGCTTCAAATTTAAATGTTTCAATCCCTCCCAACCCTTCAACGCATTGAGCACCACGCCCAAATTCATCCTAGCCAGGGCCCGGTTGAAATCCTTTTCGCAACGCGTATCCAACTCTAATCTTTCCAAGTTGGGAAACGCCGTCTTCAATCCATGAACAAGTTTGGGATTCTGAATCTCGAAAATCGTCAAATTTCTTACATTCGCGAAAACCTCGTTCGCTCGATACATATTTTCCAAAAGTTCATCCACAACTCTCGACTTTTTGAATATCTTTCCAATCTCAAGCGTTTTCAGAGCGGACAGTACTTTGATATCCTGGAGCGGAAATATGTCGACCATTTTATTCCCTAACTTTTGCAGTTTCGGCATATTTTTCGGTAAATGGACTCTTCTTCGACCCGAATCGTAGGCCTCGTTGTAATTCATCCCATAATGGTCGAAATGAGAAAAACCGAGGTTGACTAGCTGGTCAGCAACTTGATTCAACAAACGTGTGAGTTCCAAAGGTTTAAATTCCGCCATAGCGTCTTCAATTCGCCGAGTGAGTTCCAATTTGACCGTTAAGGAGCCAAGAAGTTTAGAATTGGCAAAATCTGGACAGAATCCCCATGGAATGGTGGCCTCTCTTAGATTTGGGGAGGCATTGACAACCAGCTGAAGAAGGCTGGTGAGAGACGGGGTCACCTTGACTTCAGACCTGACCGTGAGCAATGTCAACTTTGGCTTTGGTAGGAGCGGCCCTAGCAGGATTTCTTTATTGAAATCTAATGATTCATCCTCGTTGAGATCGTAAGAGATTTCTAACTGTTTTAAATTGGGACAGCAATTTTTCAAAACTTGGAAGACTGATTGTAAACAGGCTGCATAGTCGACGGTAATCTCCAAAATTTGCACGCTGTCGTTAAACTTGTCACAAACATGGGTAAGTCTGTAGGCGAAGATATCGATCCAGTCAGAGGGGTTCTCGTCAGAAGGAGCAGATGTACACGTTGCAACAATCTGTTTCGAAAGTCGGTCATCCAATGTGAAGCACAAATCGAAAAATGGAATGGCGTTGTAGTCACCGACCTCGTACTCCAGATTTAAGGCAAGTGTCGTATTTGGAAGGGAGAGGACCATTTCATTCCAGAATTGACAAACTAATCGACAAGTTTTCAATGGGGATCGTTTTATGATTTCTGACAAAATCTGAAAATTTACCAAATATTTAATTGTATTTAAAGAATTCAGAGTTTCAAATTTTAAAATTGTTTGGCTTACAATGGGATTATTCATTGCCCTATCCATCACACTAATTTCCCCTGGGGGCTCCATGAAGGCTGGGTTTTAAAACCTATTCTGAAATGTATATTAATTAAAGTATTAATCAGAAAGGAATGATATTTTGTATTTCATGTTTTGAAACTATTTGCAAGGTGCATATAAATAAATAAATAAATAATTAATTATAAGTGGATATAAAAATATTCTATTCAAGTAACACCTTTACCAATGGTAATTACCAATGTGTAAACAGTTGATAAATGTTCAGGTTGATGCAACCAAGTTGTTTCGACTTAACTTAAATTATTGAACAGAAATGTGTAAAATATTTACTCGTTTTGATTAAAAATTTCAATTCTTGTCAGGAGCAGATGTGTTCAATCACTGCAATCGAATCATCAGTGAGCAATCATCGAACTTTCCCAGCGTGATGCGGTTCAAAGTGAAAGCGGGTGATTCAATTGCACAAATCTTACGCTGGACATCTGCTCCTGACAAGAATTGAAATTTTTAATTAAAAAGTATAAATAAATATTCATTCACACATTTGTTTACAATTATTTAAATTAAGTCAAAACAACTTGATTGCATCAACCTGAACATTTAGCAACTTGGTAAGGTGTTACTCTTAACTAGAATACTTGTTTATTACGTCAAATATAGTGTATAGTATGTAATTATTTTTTAAGTAATTAAAAGTTAATTAATATACATTTCATAATAGGCTTTGAAAACCTGATTGCCGATGGAGTCCCAATGGCAAGAAAGCGCAGTAGAAATGGCACTGAGAAATCCAATTGTAAGCCAAACAATTTCAAAATTATTGAAACTATAAATTTGTTAAATAAAATTGAAACGTTTGGTCAATTTCTAGATTTTGACGGAAATATTAAAACGGTTCCCATTGAAAAATTGTCGACTAGTTTGTCAATTTTGGAATAAAATGGTCGTCTCTCTTCCAAATGCGAGACTTGCGTTAAATATGAAAAATGGCGTTAACTCGACTCGTTTTTTCGAATTTTTCTTCAAATTAGATGGCCAACTTGCGAAACGGATTAGCACCAGATGTTTCATTGCTCCTGATGACGAGGAACCCACTCACTGGATCGATACCTTCGCCTACAAGCTTGCCCATATTTGTGACAAGTTTAGCGACAACGTGCAAATTTTGGAGATTACCATCACCTACTCAGCTTGTTTACAACCAATCTTTCAAATTTTGAAAAATTGCTGTCCCAATTTGAAACAGTTAGAAATCAATTACGAGGCCAACGAGGATGAATCAGATTTCAGTACCGAAATTCTTCCACTGCCGCTCCCACTAAAACCAAAGTTGACATTGCTTACGGTCACTTCTGAAGCCCAGGTGACCCCCTCTTTCACCCGTATTCTTCAGCTGGTTATTAATGCCTCGCCAAATTTGAGAGAGGCCACGCTTCCATGGGGATTCTATCCAGATTTGTCAAATTCTAAACTTCTTGACTCCTTAACAGTCGAAATGAACATCGTTCGACCATTCAAAGAAGTTCTGGCGGAATTCAAACCTTCCGAACTCTCAAATCTTTTGAATCAAGTTGGTGACCAACTAGTCAATCTAAGCTTCTCTTGCGCCAACAATTCTGGACTGCCAACAATGTACGAGGTCGACGATTGGAATGACTTGAACCTAACCCGGTTCCACTTCCCGAGAAAGATGTCGAAACTGCAAAAGTTTGAGAACAATTTGCTCGACGTATTTCAGCATCAACGCCTGGATATCAAGCGACTCCCCGCTCTGAAAACACTTCTGATTGGAAATGTATCTGAAGAATCGAGAGGTGTGGATGAACTTTTGGAAAATATATATCAATCGAAAAAGGTTTTCGTAAGCGTGAGAAATTTGGCCATTCTCGCAATTCAGGACCCCGAACTTCTGGAAGGATTGAAGACGGCGTTTCCCAACTTGGAGAAATTGGAGTTGGATACCGGCTGCAAAATAGATTTCGACGGGGCAACGGGTATGATGGAGTTGGACGAGGTGTTCAATGTGTGTAAGGGTTTGGAAGGATTGAAACATTTAAATTTGGCGCTGCCTCAATTTTCAAAACCAACGCTGAATGTCGTTCAGACTTTGTTTGATAGGGCGGATTTGTATAAAAGTGAGTTCTACTTTTCAGATAATTTTTTAAAGCTTTTAAATTAATTCGAGTGTGTAATATGATTCAATTGATCTGTTCACACTTATTTTTTTTACTAATATCCTAATTTCTATTATTTCCATGTGAATCTGACCTCCAGGGCTGAAAACTTTGGAAATTTTTATATACATGCGGATTAAAGTGAGAGGAGATTTAACAGAGGAGGAGATGGAGCTGTTTAAGAAACTGATCGTCGCGATGAATGCGATGGATAGGGTCACCATTCGCAATTTTTATGTGAGTTACAAGTATAATTGCCATATATTTTAATGGGCCTACTATTTATATTTGTATTGATTTTGGATACAGTTTAGTAAAGAATCTCTGAGGGATTTATTGGATTTCATGGTGTCAAACAAAATGTCCGTGGACAAGTTTAGGATGTTTCAAGGTGGATCGGTAGGGATTAGTTCATAATTCCCGAGGACTGGGTGGTATCATTTATGAACCACTTATAATTCTTACTAAGCTTTCACACAAGTTAGTTTCATTTTACATGATACAAAATTTAGCTACCCATTTATTGTATAATTGCTATTTACTTCTTGAAACTTGGTCAATCAATTTCCTGTACAAATTCTTATTCATTTTACATTGTAATATTTTTACCTTTTGTCTCTCCACATATGGCGTTTTTCTAATAACAATGCTTTTATATATTAATAAACATCATCTTGATTTCTTGACATGAAAATTGTAAATTTTATTCATGTTCTTAAAATTGTACGCATTGTAGTAACTAATTATACTACATATGTATGTATATGACTACACAATCGCCCGAAATTGGACTAAATTCTGGTACCAATTAGCAAACTCTGATATATATATCTCTAAAGCAACGATACATTCATTGTTTGGTCCGATATTCCCGTCAGGACCTCTATCACTGTAGATTTTGTACAAATAAACAACGTATGACCCCAAAATCCTATCGGAACACCTGCGGTCGGCAGGGATCTGACCCGTCGTAGATAAATGCATTTCGTAATTTTAGAATGATTCAACTGATTTGCCGCCCCTCTAAAATATTTCAACAATTCGGCCGATTTTCCGTTAAATTTTGCCGCAAACTGGAAGGTGGCAATCTCCATGGTAAAACTCACCCAGGAAAGATTCATCATCCCTAACCAGACAGAAACTGGTAACACGTTGGAGAGACGTATAGTCGCGAAAGTGGCCAAAATATGAAGCACTGACGCTAACAAGGTCGCCATAAAGCCGAGAAGACCTGCAAAATTGTACGCGGCGTAGATTGGGATCAGGATTTTCTGAAAACGTAGGAAATGCCTGGCTTCCGACAGCCGCCCATTTTTCAAGATTTTTTGAAAAGTTATATGCAAATAGTCGATTGCTTTGCTGAGCCAATTGACAGTTACGACGACGCTGAAGAGAGCAAAGACGGTAATTCGAATGGACTCAAAAGTGAGAATTGACGCGATCAGGTATCTAAGACTGAATGAAATTAGTTTAATGATGAGGCTGTGACTCGTGCTCACAGCAAATGGTAGTTTTCCACAGATAAACAACATAATAAAGCTGGTAGGGTCCACTTTCAAGCATACGACAGATAGGAGGAGCGGTCTTGGTAAAGCATAGCCCATGATCAGGACTGTTTTTAAGATGACTTCCAATTTAGTCATTCTTGACTGGCTTGGGATTTTGAGAGACAAGTCTGAAAATTATTTATTTAGCGAAAATTTAGTTGAAAAAATCTGTATTTTAAAATCCAATAACAAAAATTTGTCGCAAGAAAGTGGTTTCATCAAGCAATTTTGACCTTCAAGAAATGCAAGGCGCAAGTAACCAGACACGCGCGTAATAGCTAACGTACTTATATATGGCGTAACACTAGATTGCGTGCGATTGTTGCTTTGAAATGCAAGTGAAATTTAACAAGCCCTCACTAAAGCATCCTATCCTGATAAGCAAAGACCTGATTTATCTTTATTAAGCAAAAAATCAGACGTTTTTATATACTGCGAATACTATGCAGGTCACAATAACTTACCCCGCGATAAGGTCAATACTTCAGTAATTAGGAAATTCAGACCAAAGATGCAGTCCTCCTGTGAAGATGCAATAGTTCGAAAAAGTGCGATGATAAGGACGCCTAAACTAAAGACCATAACTTGCACTGCCACGACCAGATTCCGGTTTAGAAATAGCACCTCTATCAACTCGACCCGTAATAAGAAGCAATTCCGAGTAAATTTGTGAGCCGAAAGTCCAGTTTTAATAGCATCGTGAAAATATTCGTGTCGAGTCAAGTATGCGTGCAAAATGGAGCCAGCTATTCCAATTACACCGATAAAATAAGGCCAAATTCTTCAAAATATGGGAAATCTTCGGCGAGCAAAGATTATCTTGTTCCGCCTTGAATGCCAAATGAGTGTAAACTTGAAGGGGTACTTATCCTGGTACAGTTTAGCATAAAACGACCAAACTCGAAAGCCCGGCTGAGGCATTTTTTTCTCAAAGCTGGAAATGCAGAGGGTGACTGGATGACGTGTCAAACTTTGAAGTTGTCGAAAAATGAAATAGCTATGCATATTCATTCAAGTATTTATCTGATGAACTTTGAAGATTATATTGAATTTCGTAATAGTAGACGCTTTCTAATGTGGGTTTCATTTCATGTCTTTAGAAAGGCCGCGGAAGCTGTGGGGACAATTTGTTGGATGGTGGTGCGAGGGATATAACACGGGCAGACGGTGTGGGGACATTGCTCCTATGTCCCGATACTTCCGCGGCTACTGATAAATAACAGAGTAATCTAATATTTACTAAGGATAAGTATATCAGATGTTTATTAAATGTCTTGGTTGCATGACTTCTCATTACACCGAGCTATAGATGAAATGTTATTCAATCATATTAAATATTTACCGATAAAGCAGAACGTAGACTTATATATTATATTTCTAATAAATGAGAAAAGTAAGTACATAGCTGAATTTATTCGTTCAAGTAGGCTGCTGAGACGTTTATCTAATTCAATTTAAAAATAAAACCCATCTTTTCATCTTCCAAGCCAAGAAGAACACAATACAAAGAAATTGGATTATCCAAACAATGCATCCTTTAACTTAACAATAAGGGGCAAAAATTCATACAAGCGTTAACTTAAAAATAAAAATTCAGCAGTGGTGAGGACAAAAATTAAATCGTAATATTCTGCCTGCACTGGTATCTTTAGCATTGCATACGATTCATCCAATTGATCCTATAGCGAGCATTATAGCGAGTTGCAAAGGAAATCCGAGATTCACAAACTCTTACAAAAATTCATGGACCTATTGATTAAAAAATGTCACTTGGTATATGTTCTTCTCTTCAAAACTGAAATGACTGCATGTCGCCTAACCAACCAAAATGATACATATTTATTATCCACTACTTCTTCAATTCTTCGGGTTTTTGTATATAATCATGAAGGGTTACTTTTCTACAATGCTATTCGAAATATAATATAACGATATGTGACGCATTTCATATAGAGTATTTTTTGTTTTAACAATTGTTTGTTAAATTGCTAGTTAAATTGCTTACAATGCATGACAGCAACCTAAAATAACTGCAACTTTATTATGTATATTATAAAATGCGCTGTAGATAATTATTGAAATTTGTGTAAGTTTTCAACATTACTAAAATTATTCTAGGTAACATGGTAGTTAGCTATAGCCGAATAATTTAATAATTAGGACATCGACTAAAGTATGCCAAAATTGGGCTTAAAATATTATACTTTAGCAAATATAAATAAAGAACGTCCGGGAATGAATGGGAATGCGCGCTCTAGCGAGTATATTGACAAATCAATAAACCCGCGAACTATAATAATTTAAATTTCTGAAAGCCCACTTCATTAGGGTCAATTTGGTATATCACTCTTAAATTTCAAAAATGGATAAGGGTAGAAGAAGCTTGTTTGAAAGGGAGCTGTTAGCAAAACGAGTGATGGAGTTCTACAACACGACAGCCAACCGAGACTCCAAGGTGACCTGGAACTTTTTTAAGCAGGAAGGAATTCCAAGTTCAAATGTGTATTCCTACATAAAAAAGTTCAAGGATTCCGAAAATGTGCAATTCAAGAAGCCAGCTGGTCGTCCGGCGAAGCTAGCGACCACTCGAGTGAAAAATAGAATTGAAAAAATTTTCAAAACCAAGCCATCAACGTCAGTAGCTGTAGCTGCCAGGAAAGTCAAAATTTCCAAAAGCTACCTGGGGGAAATTAAGGTCCATAAATTAGGAATCAAAGCAAGGACCAAAAAACCTGCACCAAATTACAAGCCCGTACAAGAAAGTCGGATCAAGGATTGCTGTCAAAAATTGTTGAAGAAAATGCGTGGAAAAGTAGTGATCCTGGATGACGAAACGTATGTTCCGGTTGACCCTTCAAATCTTCCAGGGCGTCATTTTTTTCATAGCTCGGATCCCTCTGAAGTGGCTTATGAAGAAAAAGTACGAAAAAAAGACAAATTTCCAAAGAAATATTGCATTTGGCAATGCATCTCCAGTCACGGACATGTATCAGACCCGGTAGTTCTCGAAGGGAATATCAATCAAGATATTTATCTGAAAAATTGCGTCAAGGCTGGATTGGAAGCATTTATTAATAGGTTTCACAAAAATGATAAAGTTTTGTTTTGGCCTGACCTCGCCACTTGTCACTATGCAAAGAAAGTGACCGAGTACCTCAGAAAGAAAAATATTGATTTCGTACCAAAAGATATCAACCCACCTAATGTACCCCAACTCCGCCCAATCGAAAAATTCTGGGCACGTTCTAAGTCAGTATACTCCCGGCTTCAAGATGTGCCTGACACCTTTCGAAAATTCAAAGGACGATGGAAGAAAATCACCTCGGAAGTGGCAAAAACTTCGGGAAAAAATTTAATGAAAAATCTTCGCAAGAAAATCGAACTAGTCGCCAACGGGGGTGTGGCGGCCTTAGCTATTAATTAAATTATGTAGGTACGTATTTGGTATTATACATATGCAAAAAGTTTAAAATTCCGATAACTCATTGTGATTTTATGACCACATTTTCAGACCATTCCCATTCATTCCCGGACGTTCTTTATATCTGTATTTAAACTACATATGCAAACAACAAAATAGCTCATAAATTGTTCTGGAATAAAATTATACAACTTTTAAAAGTCGAGCAACCTTAATTTACAAAAACGTCACAGATAATATTTGGTTAAAAAATACGCGTAGCTTTGTGGAAGTTAGATCATGGTAATTCCACCACATAAATATTTTTGTAAAAAAAGCAATTAATACGGAAACGGATATTTTTCATTAAGAAGCAAAGTAACCCATTTTATCTTGATGGCATAAAGTTAGTGACTGTTTTTCCTCATAAGCAATATCTTTATTAATGCCGTTATAAATTTTTAAAGTTAAAACAAGGTTCTCGATTTAAGAAAAATGCCAAATAAAATGCGACCTTTAACTAAAGCTTGGACTTACTTAACAAAGAAAAGGCCGAACTGAGACATTTTTACGTACAAGGACTCATCCATAAATAATTTAATTAACATCCACACTCACGTCCACATAAAAAATCGAAAGAAATGAAAGAAGATAAAGCTTAATTTGTTTTCTTTATCGAATCGTTGTGCTCGAATAATCTAGATTTACGTAAAACCTTCTTATGTAAAGTTCAGTATAGTTTATATTTTTCTCTTTATGAAATAATATTTTTTCTAAACAGTCTGATTCTCCAAGTTGGTTGAAAAATGCCGAATTCCGCAATACTTCAAGCTTTCGATTTGCATGGAAAAACTTTCCAACTATTCAGACTCCCATTTCCAATAGGATGGGATCGTTCTCGGCAGAAATTAAAGTTCCATGGGGGCAAAAAGTTTTTAGTTTTTGTGTTAATCCTCGGTTTTGTGTTGGTTCGAAATTTGAATTACTCTGTGGTAGTTGAAAGTTTGATAGATCCTGAAAAAATATGGGAAAGAATGGTTGCCATGGGAATATGGATTTTCGGGAGTAGTGTAATTGTTGCCATGGTAAATTACGGGGGCGAATTTGTGACCGGTTTCAATACTTTGTTGGACACGGAAAAGAACGTGGTTAAGTTGAGAGGTGAGCCTTTACTTGAGTTAAATTTCTATTGGAAATCGATACGTTCTGGGGATTTGAGTTATTCATAGAGTTAAATTATTGATATAATGAGATAGCGAGGTTGTAACTAAGGAAAAATGCAGTCGCACATAATCGTGGAGGCAGTTTGAGACTTATTTCAAAACAAAAATAGCAATATGTGAAACGAGTAAATAAATTTCCATGGAAACTTATTGCAGTTTTGTTTAAGACTGACAATAGATGGATTTTTCCTTGAAATAAAATCATGAACAAATGGCATGTGATAAATTACAATTTCGGAGAGGTAGAACCCCGTTCTTGAAGCAATGCAGACAAACCTGTAGGGAAAATTTTGCACGAAATCTGATGCATTGCATTTCCATATATTTATGTCTTGTTCTTTTTGCGAAACAGTAAAAAATCGATTTATTTCGTTTAAATAACGTAAATTTTTTTATAGATAAGCTGAACAGCATGGCTCAAACCAACGCCCGTAACGAGAACCTACTGGACACACATTTCCAGCCCGACATAGAGAAAAAACGAAAACTGTCCTCTGTCCACCTAAGTATTTTCCGGGGCGACACCGACACCTCCAAGAATTCGCAGGGTGGATCATCCTTCACCGGAAAATGCTTACAACTAATCGTCATGCTCCTCTATTTGGCCCCGATTCGGATCATACTTTACACCCTATTTGTTCCCCATGGTCCGAAAACTCTTCTAAAACCGTCCCTAACTTCGCTCCTGCTAAAATACGTCGTCCTCCTCTCATTCTGTCGAATGCTATCAATCATGGCATGCCTCGCAATTTCCTATTTGGCCAGCTTACACTATTCGTTACGAATTTTGAAAGAATCCATGCAAAAAATATATTCCTTTAAGAAGAAGAAATTCCGGGCTCAACTGCTCTACGTCGTGATGAAGAGGTACACTCATGCAGAAATCGTTGTTACCGTGGGGGGAAGATTTATCTCGAACGTGGTGTGTCATCTGGTCGTCGTGATGGGTTTGGGTGTCGGGTTGGTTTTTATCTTAAGAAAAATGTCACCCGGGACAATAGCATATTTTTATGGAAGGGTAGCTTTTATGGGAATTTTTCTAATTTCGAGAAATGTGGTGGGTTATTTGGGGAAAATAAATACCTGTTCGGTTGAGCTAATTTGGGCCTGGATGGCGCTCAGTGGGTCCGGCGAGGTAAAGGAGGACAGCAAATGGGCGAAAAAGTCGGGGTCGAAAAAATATTTTAAACGAGTGATGGCAGCGATTAGGCCGATCAAGGTGTACGTAGGATTCAGGGGGGCGAATTTTTTGTGGGGGGAGAGAAATACGGAGGTAAAATGGTGGCATGGAAATTGCTGGGTGGTGATTGGGGTGTCGATTTTTATTCGTTCATAGATTGAAAATTAGTTAGGGATTTTGAGCAATTTTGAATTTTTTGTACAAATCAAATCTAATTATTTTTATAAAATAAACGAAACAAGCATAGAAAACAATAATTCGTTATGAACAAAATTGTTTGTACATACATATTTTTAGTAATGTGTAATTAATTTATATTGGTCGACAGTATTTGAAAATTAAGGAGGATGTTTTTGTTAAGCAATTTTGACCTACCTAATATTTAAATGTTTATTATGTACATAATATGTACTTGTAAATTGTCAATATGTGTATATATTTCGCCTGTATAAATATGATAAATTAAAATTGTCCATGTTATTTTAAATACATTGGTGAAAAGTGCCAAGATTTATCAGTAAGAAAGAAAGATGACTTTCGTGATGCCAGAAACCATACATGGACAACGTGATTGGTACATAACACCAATACCTACCAATGGTAACCGTAAAATTGTGCGTATGTAATTATTCACACTCAAGACTACTTTTTAAAAAAGTAATAATAAATACTTTACCTTATCTTACATTAATGTTACAGAACTGAGCAACAAAATTTAAAATCGAAACAAATCTGTCATATTATTTACAGGTAATCCTGCTGTGTTCCTTGCCCTTGATGCTGGCTTTGATTTTGCTCAGCTTGTTGATCACTATTGTCCCACGTGACCACATTGACGACCGGAGTGTCCGGTTGCATTGCCGGGTTGTCATAAACAATGCCATTTTCCAACGACGCGTGAAACCCTAGCGGCCTCTCTTGAGCTTTGAACTCTCTGATTAAGCAATGGACGAAATAACCCATGACGACGCGGAAGAGAAGGACGACGATGTTAATGACCAGGTGACCTGTCCCATATTTCCCCAGGGTCGCGTTGACCATGAGAAGTAGCACTTCCAAACCGCAGAACACGGATTTGATGATCAGCCAATCCCGACAGAAGGAAGGTTTCGAGTCGGCGACCAAGAAGAGCTGGAGGGACAAGAAGACACCCAACAAGTTGATGATTATGACAACGATGGACGTCCAGATGGCGACCTCTAAATAATTTTCAAATTTAAATAAGTAATTTCAGTTTCGTATTTGTAATCATACCTGTTCACTTTCATTCATTTGAGTGATTATGATGACAGTGAATTTTCTGTCATTTGACTGACGGATTCCGTCATTTCAGATGAATAATGAAAAAAAATTTCACTGCTTTTCATTTTTCATCCTATGTTTAATACATGGGACGAAATTAGAAAGAAGTGAAATGAATTTGAATGAAAATGCCTGAATGTGAATGAAAATCTCCAATCAGAAATCGGGATGACTGACGTTTGAATGAAAACTAAATTTTTGAACAGGTAGATATGTAATACATTTTTGGAGTAACCTTCGTCACGGTCATTGTCTCTGAAGTTCTCATGCCTATCTCGAGAATAGTTTAGTACGGCGAGAACGAGGATGACGATGTATATGATGGTCAAAATCTGGTGCAGAAAAAAATTTGAAACAACAGGTTCGGAAATGATGACTATTTTTCATACCACGTCAATAACTGCGAGGATGGGGACGCTCTTTTTCAGGGAGGTGAAACACGTGTTACTTGTTGTAGTCGACATTTTGTGGTGTGTTTAAACGGTTTAAAATTTGACACAAATTGAACCAGCGAAACTCACAAGGTTACTATCTCAAGAATTATTTAATATTTCAACTGCGGAAAGTGAAGTAATTGGCATAAAGTTTGATAATATGGGTTGGCCAGGCAATGCCCTAAGTTGGGTAGATAAATATATTTATTAACAGATACGGCCTTCTTATACCAATAAATAAATGCATACAAACATAATTTGCATAAATAATATTAAAAGTGTAATATGGCACGATGACATGACCGAATTGTTGCGATGAAAGGGTTGTCTAAAATAATTAACACATAAATGCGCTACTGTTTTGCATTCTATGTGACATTTGACATCTGAAACTCGGTCATTAATAGATACTTGAGGTACGTATGTAGGTATATGTAAGGTACTTCTTCTAAATCTATTGGGAAGTTTGCAAGACTGATCTTCTTACCGCATCTCTTGATTTTTTGCTTTTAAGACGACTTAAGGAATAATCTTGAAATTATTCTAAGGTGTCATCTGAAAATTTTTCTAGTTAGATATCTGCATAAGTTTTGGCTAGGCTCAATAAATACGGAGACGTACGGAAGTTGTAAAAACTGCATATTATGAGTACACACATAGGTACATACCTATGTACATAATTAGCTCGGAAGAGCGGATATTGTTCAATACATGTTTAGAAAACATGTTACGTATTAAATGTTAGGATTTGGATGAGGCACAGTGTACATGTGTGTCAGAATATACATAGGTAAATATGTCCATGTCGGTATCGGACAACAAAAATTCCAATGACCAATACGCACACATTTACATATCCACATACTCGTATTTACTCATGTCGTCGCAGCTCATTGTAAACATTCACAGAATTATTTAGTTGACCCGTTGACGTCAAACGGAGTGCAATATAATAACGTACAACGTATTTATCACTTCACATAACCCTTTCATCGCAACAATTCCGTGATCACGCCAGATTACACTGCTGATATGTGTGCAAATTATGTAGGCATGTACATATGTATGTATTTTTCGGTATAAGAGGTTCGTATCTGCTAATAAATATGTATGTATCTACCCAACTTACCTATCTGTCATTGTCTTATCAATTTATATTATCAACCTTTTATGCACATGACTAATAAATCATTCACTCTCCGCAGTTGACATATTGAATAATTCTGACTTTATTGCAAACGTAACGTAATATTTCGTTGGTTAAATTTTTGTCAAATTTTAAGTAATTTAAACACTAGTAACCACCACAAAATGTCTACCACGACAAGGAACCCGTGTTGCATGCCCTTGAAAAAGGGCGTCACCATCATGGCAGTTATCGACGTGGTATGAGATATACATATTCACTAAATAAATGATTTCTAAATCTGCTGTTACAAAGCTTATTGTCTACTAAACAGATTTTAAGTACGATCTACCTCATCGTCCTCATTGTCGCCGTGGTAAAATATTCTCGAGATAGTGACAAGGAAGACGACGACAGGGACGAAGGTTACTCCAAAAATTTAAAATTTTGATTATTAAGAGTTTTCAGGATATTCGTATAACTGTAGAGTCGTAAAAAATCGTCCATTTACAAAGGGTTGACGTGATAGACATTCGTAAATAATACTTTGGTAAAGATTTAAAAAAACATTCACCATGGCTTTTGTCCAAAAGCATCGGTGACTAAATATGATGGTGGTCGAAATATGCTGACTTTTACATAATTCTTACGAAATACATGTTTCTGAAAGAAAAAGACGCATTAAGCTTGTCCACATTTATGTACGAAGCGTACAAAATAAGCGAAAATTCCATGCTTACTAAGCTTGGAATTTTTAAATTTATGCTATCTATTTAAGTAAGCCAGTTATGAAGGTGATGTGAAAACCCTCCTTTTAATTTCTGAAACTAATTTATTAATCTAAAACTAAATTATTCAATTCGAAAATTACTTATACAGAGGTCGCCATCTGGACGTCCGTCTTCGTTATAATCTTGGCCGGGTTGGGTCTCCTCTTGTCCTTACGCCTCTACAATGGTGCCGTCCACTCGAACATTTCCTACTGTCGGTTGTGGTTAATTATCAAATCCGTCCTTTACGGTTTGACGTGCTGCTCCTCATTATCAACTCGGCCGCGGGAAAATACGAGGCAGGTCAGCTGGTCATTAACATAATCGTGCTTCTCTACCGTCTTTACATGGCGTACTGCGTCTACTGCTTAATTCAAGAGTTTAAAGCGCAACAGAGGACGCTAGCGTTTCACGCGTCGATGGAGGCTGGGATTGTGTACGGAAACCCGGCAAGACAACCGGTCACTCCGGTCATCAATGTGGTCGCGGGTGATGGTTACACGTACAGTATTAATCAACAGGCGGAACGACAAGGTCAGCATCAAGGGCACGCCACAGCAGGATTATATGTAAATGATATAAGTAATTAGTATGGCGGATTCGTTTCTAGTGTAAATTTAGGTGGATGTTAATTGTGTGACATTAATGTAAGATAAGGTAAATTATGCGAATAATAGTGCCCATCAAAACATTGTTAAATATATTTATTTTTGTGATTATTGAGTAATATCCGCTCTGTTACATACATATAACTTTCGGGTGACTGCATATTGAATTGATCGATTTTTGTACAAAATGCTGCATGTTTCGGTTGGCTCAGGCCGAAAATCATAACATCAGTTGCAGAGCAGTAAAGTATTATTTACTCTTCCAAAAAGTTTATGCAGTGCTCTAAAGAATTATACATTTCTTATAGCCCTATAAATAATGCTTCCTTAGGATGAGGAAAGGTTGAGTTGATTGATCGACTTCATTATTCTGGATTCACAATAAGTATTTCTTCGGTTCATACATATCTATATAAATACATATAAACATGTATTGGACACATAAAATATATACCTAAGCACAGTATGGATTACATATTTATATACATACAGATATATTCTTAAATGCCATGTAAACTCACGTCGTTTTCGTATCTATGTAAATAAATAATGTTGCAAATCACTTTCGTTTCCTGGTCATTAGTGCCGATATATTTACCTCATATGAAATAGACCGAGTAGTAGTCGATGATAATCCAGCCCAAGTGCTGAACTACCCTATGAATGTTTTTATTTATGGAAGGCAAATATGTACGTTGCATAGCCGGTGGACATTTTTGCAATTAGATATCGTCCTGTTAAGTGGATATAAAAGTTACCCAGATTCCCATGCCAATAATCAATGACACTGCTCATGATTTATGCAGAATAAAATATGTACATACCTTAAATTTTCTCAGGTATTCTCATAAAATTTGCATAAATATCAAGAAGTATATTATACGTCTTCCTTCTTAGATAACGATTGTTAAAGTTGGAGACAATGATAAGGAAATGTATGTAATACTATAGTCTTATGTGCGATTGATGCTGTCTTTTATATTTATAGATTTACATATACATATTTTGCATATGTGTTACGCAACTTCGACCTGGGTTGTAACACCGTTAGCATTTCATGAGATTTGAAACCCTTTGCAAATTTTGATTATCAAGCCCAATTTAATATAATAAATGCCTAACGATTCCACGATTCACAGTTAATTCATTTGTGCTTTGTGGCATCTTGCACTAAAAGTTCTCATGCAGTTTTTCCTCCTTTTAGTCTCATTATCCTCAAAATTCCTTAAACTTTCTGAATATGTTAGGCTTTTATCTTGGTTGGGAAAAAATGAGATTATTGTTAAAATTAATTCTTTTTATGAACCATAGCAAAATTAATGTTTTCGTGTCTTCAGGGAAGTGTTTGAGGCAAAGAAAGACATCATTCATAAAATCTATTCTCCAATTAAATGTACATTGCATAGTATAATACAGTGGAATTATTTGTGCGTTTCACCTCATTTTCGTAAATCTCCTCGACATAAGCCCATTTTCGGCGATACGGGCTATTCATGTTTAATATACGCTAATTAGCAAAAAATTGCACGTGAAGTGACTAGCCGGAAAATTTCGAGACTATATAGTTCATTCTTCTCATTGAAGGCACATATGCATTTATGTATGTACATTTTCTGCAGTTCATTCATTCGTACCGAACCTAGTATATATATGCATGTTCAGGATAAATTGACGAAAATAAGTGGGGAAAATGTCCAAAAAATACAATACGTAGGTAATTTTATTTTTATGAGACCAATAGTATGCATGTATCTAAGTAAATTGCAGGTTAATTCCCTTGCACGCAGGGAACAATGTCTCACTTTTACCTGCTCAACAATAATCCCACATTTTTTTTGCTTGGCTGGTTTTACCTGCACTGGTAAATATTTACAACATATAATTTCATACTATGTTATTAGGTTGCATTCGTGAAAATAATGCTAGTTCAAGGCGATCTGCTCTCCGAACAAGCGAATGCTTTGTTTCCACAGTGTATTTACTAAGAATGATTTCGGTTTTAACAAATACGTAAAATTATTACACTTGTGTGTGATTTTGCATTGCGGTGAAGCAAAATTTCTTTTCGAATTTTGAATGAACCAAAAATATGGCTGTTGTTCAAATAAGAAACGGCTACAAGTCGTATAACTCGGAGGGATATGTTCTCAGAAATTTGAGCATGGACGTACATCGAGGAGAAATGTGAGGAAAATATTAAATTTAAATTAATGTAAAAATTTAGTTTCGAAATGTGATTGCTTGATTTTTAATTCTTTTAGTTATGGATTACTTGGAGCTAGTGGATGCGGGTATGAAAGATAAGCTTGAACAAATTCCATTATTTCGTAAAAAAAACTGGTACGATTTAAGTTTTTTTACAAATTTAGAAAAACTACGTTAATTTCCTGTCTTGTCGGACTTCGTCAGTTTGACCGAGGTCAATTTGCTGTGTTTGGTAGGCCAGGGGGAGATGTGCTTGGGAAGTTGGGAGGATACATGCCACAAGTAAGGATTTTGTTGGGGAAATATATCTTTTTAATTTCTGAAATTTTGGATGATTGATTGATTTAAATTTTAGGATATTTCCCTCCAACTGTTTTTAACTATTGAAGAATCCCTTACATACTATGGGATGATTTACGGATTGAAAAATCAGGAAATTGAAAATAGGATAAAATTTCTTACAAAGTTTCTTGACCTGAAGTCGTCAAGGATGAATATCGGTTGTTTAAGGTGTCATTACATAAATAATTAGTAGGAGATGAATCAAGAGATAGAAATGCATAAATTACTTTTTTAAGTGGGGGCCAAAAACTAGGGGTTCCAGTCCCGGGATTTTTCGGGATTTTATTCCCGGGAATTCCCGGGAAACGGGATCCCGAAATCCCGGGATTTGAAGAACTGAAATCCCGGGATTTCGGGATTTTTCAATTTGTCAATCAGAAGTGAAATTGCTTATAATTTACAATTTTAATAGTAGTTTTATATAATTTTCGGTTATATGATTGGTAAGAAAAAGTTTCGATGAGCATAACCAGTCAAAATTGATCCTGAACTCGAAAATTTAAATTTGAAACAATATTGATAGCCATATTTTTCGCACATTGATCTAAATTTTGTATTTAATTCGTAAGCTAAATTTTTAATACAAGATGGAACTTAAAATTTTCTAACTTCGATGTCAGATTTTAACTTGAGGCAACAAGAACACTTTATTTTCGGTATAATTATGGAATCTGAAATCAGTTATGCCAAAAAATACTAACACGTTAGAAGTGATTTCGAATTTTAGTCGATGAATTTAAGGCTGAATGAAAGGCTTTTTGAAGGTAGTTCGTATATTTGAGCTTGAAATTTTTAAATTGCCAAATCCCATGTCCAATTGTAGTTTGTGAATAATGGTTCACAATTTAGGCCAAATAATACTGACGAACGTAAGTTTGTGCATTTCTGGTTAACATGCTAGCGAATCCTTGATTAATTATTTATGTTTTCTGGAATGAAATTATCAAACTTTTTCTCTCAAAAAAAGACGAAAATTGAGCTATCACAATACATCGAAATTGTACATTTACTATGGCAGGCAAAACACTATAATCGCTAATTTGTATTGCTATCCTATATGCATTTTGTATAGGCCAGAAAGTAGCATACTTTATAATACTTATGCATGCACAAATCTCTAAAACACATCATTAGGTATGTAAATAAGTATTATAAATGAGTAAGAATTATAGGACTCGACAAAGACATCCAACGAGTATTTCAAAAGTGAAATTAAACTATTTTATTATGTTCACCTTATAAAAAGAAAAAAAATTGCAAAATATTTTAGGCGCCAAAATTTTCCCTAGGGAGTTATGAGACTTTTGGGATTTTAAAGTGATGGCATAGGGAACAAAGCAAACCTGCAAAGCTAGAGCCAGGAGAATATTTTTGAGTTTTTCCCATTCGGGCTTCCATGTTAGCTCCCTACCCACTGCTATGTTAAATTCTGGACAACTGCATATTTTCGTTCTTTGCCCTCTAGACTTGCATAGGGTCATCCCAGACCCCACAAAGTATATATTTTCGGAATCCTCTCGTCAAGACCTTTCCAACGATATCCCATTTATTGAGGTCGGCGACCTTTGACATCGCGACCTTTCGACCCCCGGAAAAAGGTCACGCATGTCGATTTCGACGTTTAGGGTAATTGAACTATTAATCTACTACCAAAGATCTGCAACATATCAAAAATTGGGGTAAATCCAATCGACGAACATTTCGCCATACTTTTTGCGTCACAACTAAAAACCAATTTTTCCAAATTAAAATTTTTGGCTTTAAAGTTGGAATTTCGACTCAATTCGAAGAACGCACCAAGGTATTGATCCAAAGAGTGTAGGAGAAAAATTTTGTGCAATTCCATCAACCCGTTCCTGAAATAAGTTGTTCCCTATGCCATCACTTTAAAATCCCAAAAGTCTCATAACTCCCCAGGGAAAATTTTGGCGCCTAAAATATTTTGCAATTTTTTTTCTTTTTATAAGGTGAACATAATAAAATAGTTTAATTTCACTTTTGAAATACTCGTTGGATGTCTTTGTCGAGTCCTATAATTCTTACTCAAATATGCTCAGGCCAGGTACTTTTTATAGCCATGTACCTTTTTTCCACCAAAATTGACTAATTTCAAGTTATATGGTAAGATTTGAATTTCGGGAAAAAATCCCGGGATTTCCCGGGATTTGTCACGGCTAAAACCGGGATTCCCGATTCCCGGGATTTAAAAAATCGTCCGGGATTGGAATCCCTACCAAAAACGTCGGGTTTCCATTGCGATCGCGATGATACACAATCCAAAATTGCTTATCATGGACGGTAATAATTTGAGCCAACTTAAAATTGAGATTAAGATATAACTTACTGATGATCCAATTTTAGAGCCAAGCGTTGGGCTTGACCCATTATTACGGGAGAGGTACATACATAAATACCAATATGTTTTTATATGACCAAAATTACAAATTGGATCAATTTTGCTAGGATTTGGGCATATTTGAGAGAGATATCAAGAACACGTGGGACAACTATAATCTTATCGACGCACTACGTCAACGAAGCTAAGCAATGTGATAAAGTAGGTACTATAAGGTTTAGAATATGGATTATATAATTCTCCTATTAGTCATTTGGCCTGGGAAGCAGCATCACTTTTTTCTGGGTGGTTCCCAAATTTTACTATTTGACTTACTACCAATATGAAAGCAGCCTATTTTATAACAAATTAACTATCGAAATGATTAAGCTGCTAAATAAGTTTTTTTTCATCTGAAACGTTTCCTCTATATTTATAAATGTGTAGATTGGTTTCATGAGGGGTGGCCGCCTCATTGCTGAAGATAACCCAGAAGCGCTCCTATCCTCTTATGGCGCCATTAATTTAGAAGATTTCGCTATAAAAATATGCCGCCAGGATGAACTGGAGCACGAAAAAACGAGAGACATCTTTCTCTGGATAGAGGAAAACGAAAAAATGCAAGATGCAAATTCCAACGTGATTGGAAAGACGTATCGAAAATTTTCCGCTTCTTTTCTACAAAACGATTTTTATGCAAGTCAGACAACCGGTAAAACGAGTAGGAATCACTTTCGCATAATTTGTGGCCTCGTTGTCAAGTCGTACCATCAAACTAGGAGAGATATAAGGTTACCCGGGTTACGAAGTCAATGAAATTTCAATGCAATGTCATTTTATTTTTATCATTTTTTATAGACGAATCGTTCCCGAATTTGTGTTACCTGTCACACTGCTTATTCTGTTACAAAACATAATTGGTCTCCCACCACGAACTTTACCTGTGGGGTTGGTAACAAATATGGAAAATGTGACAACCACTGTACAACTGGATGAATTTTGCAACAATTTTAATTCATCGGGATCTGAATGTCTAGAGAATGTTGGGATTTGCAGTTTTATTGATACCTTTGAAAATCGTGAATTTGACTGGGTATGAAACAATAGATACAGATAGGTATCACAGAAAAGTATTGAAAATAACAAACTTCGATAACGTTCAGAAGGTGACAAACTCGTTCGAGAATGGAATTCGTGATATTCAGCTGGGAAATACAATCGCTTTATTAGACTTTCCACCCGAATTCGGAATGCATGTCAAGAATCGAATGATTTACAGAAATTGGGTGGACAACGAGACGTTACGTGGGACTACGATAACTGTGGAAACAGATAACTCGAGTAATTCGTTTTTCCATACAAATAGCGCACTCAGGATAATGTGTTATTTAGAATCGTAAATATGTAGCTCATTTGAAAATTTGATTGCGTAATAGCATTTCCCACTTGCTCGACAGATTTGCAAATAAGAATTAATTTTTTTCAGCAGTATTATTGCGAAATCTGGAAAACTTCACATAACTTAAACTGATACATATGTATTCATGTCCAAGTTATGAGATTTGTGGGCTATACAATTTTCGTCGACTTATCATGATGAAGGAAATGTTAATTACATCTTGCTTATTTTAATCTGGCAGATATCATCTCCTATGCGTGGTTTAGGAAAACGCTGATTGAAAAATACCTCACCTTTCTCAAGAGAATTTTGACTTATTGTTCAGCAAATGAGAATATTTCTACTCCAGCGTTGAAGGTAAAGGAAACCGTGTTTAAGGTAGGACTCGATGAGTTATCATCAAAATCAGCATATTTTTAATCATTTCTTGTCTCTGGAAACTTACTTAAAAATTCTGGACATCAAATTTGTAGTGAGTAGTTGGATTAATAAAATAGTGATGGGTTTTTAAGCCAGTTTCGACGAGTTCCAATTTTTCTAAAGACTTCTTAAATTGAGATCTCCTTCAAAAACTATCAAAATCTGGAGTGTATATTTTTTTAAATTTGTATCGACCTGTTCTACACATTTGCCGTTCAGAATTTTAAAATAAATTCCCAGAGTCGAGAAATGATTAAAAATGTGCTGATTTTGACGATCTAATGATACTTTATCGAGTCCTACGTTAAACTGGGTTTATTTTTTTTAATGACGTACATATTAATAATGTTGAAACACATTAAGTTCCACGCGATCCACGGTAGCTTGGAAATTGGTGGATCCGTCTCCTTCGTGCAGCCAGGCATTATAATTCTGTACGTATTTATTATTTTATTTTAAGCTCGACGCCAATTTAATCAAAATTTTGAAAAAATTCCAAAATTTATGAAATTCAAATTTTGCAGACAAATATTAGTGGTCTCCTGCGGCGTTGCAATGCACTGGGCGATGGACAGAAGTGAAGGGTTGGAGGATCTCGATTATGTCGCTGGAGTCAATTTATGGCATAAAATTGGATCCAGCATTATTCATCAATTCGTCATTACGGGAATTAATTCAGTATTAATTCTCGGAATGCTTTGGGTCTTTTATGGACTCGAGGTTAAGGGGACATGGGGTCTGGTGGTTGGACTGATATATTTAACGTCGCTGGTGGGATTGTCAATTGGTAAGTTGGAATTTAGAAATTTAGAAATTTTTCGGTCAATACTTTGGCATTAATTTCAACAAAGTTGGGAATCGGGTTTTGTTGGGCTACGAGTTTTTCAAGTTTTTAACAAGATTCCTATGTAAATATGTTGGGGGTATTCGTTACGAGTTCGCAATGTTGGCAGCACAATACAACTTTGAACAAAAAATTCGCAAATAAAATTTCAAGCCAAAATGTTGTTCGAATGTTCGAATCACAACAAAATTTTGAAATAAATGGCGAAATACATACATAAACAAAATACTAGCTTTGGAGATGGATAAGTTCGCAAATGAATTTTTAAGCCAAAATTTTTTGCGAGCTTGTTTTTTTTTGCTAAAGTCGTTAACTAGAAATTAATAACTAGTTGAACGGGTAATTATGTAATACCTCCAGTGTAGATACATTCAGATCCAGTTCCAAAAATGCGGAGCATGTGACACGCTTTTCATGATCCACCTTAAATAATTCATAATTGCTGTTAATTGTTTTCTTTAAAGGTTGGATATGTGGGACGTTGGGGGACACGGTGATTGAAAATGCTTGTATCGTGCTTGGACTTATGGTCGTACAAGCGTTATCTTCAGGTTCGTACATTCTCAGTCAAAGTCGGAATTATATGAACATCTGTATGAAATTCACCGAAATTATTTCTTCATTCAGGAGTCATAACTACCCTCGAGGAAATTGAACCACATTACCGTCATTTTTGTGATCTCCTTCCAGCCACTAAATTAGTGGAAGCATTCAGATCGGTATGTTCGAGAGGATCGGGGATCAGTAGTGGTCACGTGGTGCCAGTATTTATCTCAGCGCTAGGATGGGTATCGCTTTCTCTAGTTGTTGCTACTTTGATGGAGAGAAGGCGGAGGAAATGAGTCACTCTGAAATGCTAGAATTTGAGGTCAGACAGATTTTTTTTAAATTGGAGACACATATCCGACTGAAAAAAAGGAAACTACAATTATTTTAAGAAATGTGAAAATTGTGTATTTATGTTTATGTACTTATCTACAGACATATCTAAATATATGTCCATACGTAAATTTATGTACCTAAAAATTAATTAAGTAATTAAGTAATTTTTTCCAAATATGTATCTATCTATGTGAGCTTATTTATGCACAAGATACGCTGAGCAGAAGGCTAAAGTATTTCTCGTCTATGTAAATATTATTTGCAACTATTCTAGGATTTACACATTATTTATTAGAAACGCGTAAATAGTAGTAAATACGTTTATGACAAAATTGCCAGTGAATTTATATTTAGTTTATATGTAGTTTATATTTATTACCTAACCAAATCGAGATATTGCACTGTATGCAGGTAATCTATACAAATTTTGCACTGCGAAATACCTATGAAATCGATACCGATTTAGGAAATTGGAACGTTGTGTATCAAGTGTCACCACTTATGTACGTTTGTATCTACTTATTTGAGATTGTATTCAGTATTGTATAACTGAAGAGGTATATGAGACACTGTTTAAATATTCCTTTGTCAAATAAGCGGAAGTCGGGCCAAAGTTGCAATAGCTGCTATGTACTTTGTACAAATATTGGTAAAGCCCTTGCATTAAATCAATTTCCTTCGATAAGCTGGACCAATTTCATCATGCCACTTTCTACGAAAATTGGATAACCATGTCCTTCCAGTTACGAAATGTAGGTTTATTTAATAAAGGGTGGGGAAAAAGTTCCTCCCACTATTTTTGCCAATCAACGCAAGCATATTCTGTCAATTGTGACAGCATGAATCCAATTTTTTACGTGTTCTTCTTCACCTTAGGATGTTATCAACTCTTTAGTTTTGACTGTGTGCTAATTAAAGGGGAAGATGTGTCATCGCGCTCCAGACACTATACTTTTTCATGCTCGATTTCCGGATACGAGTTCATACACCCAATTTATTTTAGACCATGTATGGTCTTATTTTGCATATATATTGCCGACTCAATTATGAATACTGACAGAATGGGGTAGGATATAGATGAGTACAAGATTCCGGAGAGATTCGTCCCGTGAACATGGAGCTAGAATTCTTGACACGCTAAAATAACCACTTTTTTAAATTTTGTGCGGTGAACAGTAATTCTGGAGAAACTGTTCCCCCACCCTTTACATGTTTTTACTTAAGATTAACTTGGCTAGTGTTTTATGATTCTAAGCCACATTATCCTCATCACTATCCGAGGCAAGAACAATGTTTTCTCCAAAAATTTTCAAAATACTTCCCCCCGCCATTAAATTTAGCGGATGGACGAAGTTGTTCCCTTTTTCATGGGATGCTAACATGAATTTGTTGAAGGCACCGAATTCCCCGAGGAATCAATTTCTCACGAAGGTTTTCTTCATCCAATATGTTCTCTACATTGGGTATAATTTGTACCATCTGCATGACCTGGTGATGTCGGGGAGTGCTGCGATCATGGACATTTTTTGGTTGGGATTTTTTCCCGGTGGATACTATGTGAGCTTCGAAGGGGTACTCGCCTTCAATTTGAAGAAAGAAGAGATGGTCACGTTTTTTAGATGGATGACCGAATTTGACATCCACTTAAAAGGTAAATAAATAGTTATTTATTTTAACTACAATGCATAAATTTTTTGATGATTTTCGGGGATCAATTTTTACTTGTTCAAAATCATAAGAAGTAATAGACGAGTCCATTTTTGAAGAAAAAATCATAAATTTTCAGAGAACTTAATACACATGTCAGGATTTCAGGAAAAATTTATTTACTTGAAAATATGTATTTAGTAGTATGCAAAGAAGGGGGAGATTACATGGTAGATTAGGTTATTTAAGTTGATCTTAATTATAATTGTTTAATTGGTATTAATTAGTTACTAGAATAAACCGTGTCTAACAAATTTTATAAAAAAACATAACTTTCAGAAATGCCGTCTCGACTCTCCCCAAGGCGGAAATTGCTTCATGAAAGGATCGCCATTTTACTCATTCAATTTGGAATTTTAGGCATTTTAACTTTTAACCTTCTTTTCTTGTTGGTCTATTTAATGAAACCTCGCTCTATCCAATATGCCTACAGTTCTTGGTCGAACGAAGGAAAATCCGACTTTATCAATGCTAATGCATTCCTTTTATTCTTGGCGTTTGAGGCGTTCACGAAAACTGTCAATGTCACGTCGTACTTAATGTCGCAAACGTGGTTCCTATTTTCCGTGGCGTACACAACGATTGGAATTTACACTGTTAGGTACATAATCTAATTTTGAAATTTTTGCAGAATTTTTAGGCAACAAAATGCAATTCATGTCAATTTTGCAAACGTCGTAAACGTCGCTTCGATACATCAACATCAGTATTTTCTGCGCAACTTTGCGACATTTGCAAAAATTTATGATGCGAAAACAAATCAGGCAGCTTTATTTTTTTGAGAATTATTCGAAGCAAAAAGGCCTATCGAAAACTATTTTCTGCAAACTCAAAAGCGAAATTCACTATAAAAAGTTAATTTCGATTTCTCATCTCATTTTGCGTTTACGTATTTTTATTTAAAATATGTTGGTCGTTCACGACTCTGATTTCGCAAGCATCGCAGATTTCCGAAGAGAGTTTTTGTTGAGTGACGTCAATATTTGCAAAATGTGGCAAATTGTGGTAAAATAATTTTTTCATAAAGTTTTATAATTTGCAGCAATTCGACGAACTCCATATCCCAACGTCTCTCCCATTACCGATGTCTCTACCTCATCAACGCCCAGCATAACACGTGCTATCCAATAAATTTCTCCCCTGTGCGATACACCTTTAACGGCGGTTGTTTGGTCGCCATGGGATTCGTAATTACTCGACTGCTTAACAAAATCAGTTTGCCTGAACAAATCATCATTGTGGGCATGTTTGTGGTCATAATAATCTCGACGTTTCTCTATTTGCACATTTCCGGCATGGTGTTGCACAACAGTGCCGCACTTTGTGCCAAATTGGACAGCCTCGTGGAACTTTCAATTTCACCGAGAAATAGAAGGTTACTTAAGAAGGAAGTAAGGTCGATGCGACCTTTCGGAATTCGCGTGGGGCCAATTAGATCGATCAGTTATGCTGCACTTAGTGCATTCTTTATCCAAGTATCGAGCCTCTTTACCACGGTGTTGGTAACTTTCCCTTCATAAATAAGTGATAAACTCAAGGGCAGAGGAAGTACGAAAATATTTAGCGCGTGGTGTTTAATAGATGCACTCATACCTGTTCACATTCGTTCACTAAAGTGAGTTTGAATATTGAATATGTACGAATTATTCAAAATCTTTGAATTTTGAAGGAATAATTATGCCCCATTCATTTATTGAATGAATATTGAATGAATAAATATGTCCCGGACATTTATTTAATGAATAATGAATGAATGAATAAAATTTTGAACTGAATGAATTGAATAAGGGATGGCTGAATGTAATAAATGAATTGTGAATAAATTTGGCTCTCATTCACTTCACGTTGAAGTGAATGAGCCTGTGATGTCTCATTCATTCTTTATGATTGTGGTCGAAATTCTCATGCTTTATGTGCATCATCATTGCGTGCCGGGAACTTCGGTCGGAGCATGGTGGGAGCCAGTTCAATATTCCAACACATTTTACATTAAAACCCGTGTTCCCAAATTTTAAAAAAATCTTTCGAAAAGTTTATACGGAGGGATTTAATTTTACAAGTTAACAATTGCAAACTAGAGTAGTTATGACATCACAAGTTAACCCTGGCGATGGCGAAGCTGTCCACACGGATCAAGAAATCGTAGACCTTGAGCATGACTCTGAGGGAGGTTCCAAGGAACCTAAACTCGTAAAACAACCAGGTTTTGAAAAGTTGTCGAAGTTCCGTTTCTTCTTTGAGAAGCAGTTCAGCTACCTTGGACATTCAATTGAGTCCCAGAAGTTCTTTTCAACTTGTAAAAAGTGCACCGAAACTGGTAAAAAAAGCCGTGTTTACTCATTTGGTGCGAGCAACTTTAACGTAAACGGAAATCGTCATTATAGAGTACGTATAATAACTTTATATTCCTCCGTGCAATTTATTAAGTAGTAATTAAATTCGTTAATTGTATCGACTATTTTTTGCAGAACTCACACAAAGATGTGTCTTTGGAAATTGAAATCCCACGAGAAAATCATAAGGTGAACGAGTTTTTTCACTCAAATCAAACCAAATATAATAAAAACGACCCAATACAATCAAAATTTAACTCGAATCTGCAAGATTTGGTCTCTGTTGATGGACTCCCTTTCAGTTTTGTTAATTGGCTAGGATTCAGGAACTTAGTATCTGACCTTAATCCACGAGTTATAGTTCCTGACCGAGTGACCTTGGCAAGAAAATTAGCAAACACGGTCAACAAGATTCTATGTAATTTTGACTTACTCAAATACACATAAAACTATAATAAAACCTTTATATATGCAATTTTCCCGCTTGTGCGAATTCCAGGTAAAACCTAAAATTCACTCAACCACGTTCAGGATTACAATGTTCACATATCATCAGACATATGGACAAGTAGACAGGGTGACGGAATTATGGGACTTAAATACCATTATACTCAAAAAGATACGCAGAACCGAACATGGAAATTGGTGTCAAACGTCCTCTCAGCCGTGCAATTTAATGATCGCCACACCGGAGAAAATATAAAGCAAAAATTCCAGCAATCTATGGATTCATTAGGAATTAGCACGACCAAAGTGAATAGTAAGAATAAACATTCAATTTTGTTAATGATAAATAAATAATGCAATACTTTTAAACTCAGATCGGTTATCTTGTGACTGATGGTGCTAGCAATATGGTTTGCGGCTTTAGGAATTGTCAATTGCTAAGTATGGAATTCATCTAAACAATAAAACAAAATGGTACTAATTCGCTCAAAAAATTAGATAACAAGTACATACCGTATATATTTGTAATACAAATTTACGTGCAAGTTCTATTTGACAATTATGTTAATTAATAAATATTAGAGTGGATATTACCGATTTTAGACATAAATATTTCAAAAAGCCTCTACCTCTAAGAATCTTGGAAATGTTTTGACTCAAATGCTTTCATCATTACCTTGAAATTTATATTAAATTTAAAGTTGGAGTTCGCCCGCGTAACGCGGCAGATGCATATTACATAATAATTTGAACTCAAATTGTGGATGGACTACCATGCGCAAATTGTGAATACAAAAATAATTGACTAAACCGTCGCAAACATATGTAGCTAAAGGGTGAAATAAGTGTCATACATACGGCAAAATGAATATCATATTGTGTTTGCCAGTCGAAAATCCGTTAAAATGGGGGGTGGTTGCATATAATTCAAAAATACCTATAGTATATTGATCTTTCTACCCAACAATAAATTAAGGATTTTTTATGTGAAATTCGGTGAAATCGACGCGAATAGACCTTGCGCTTTTGGCTCATTTTGTACCTTGAATGTATTTCATCCGTAGCTTCAATTTCTGAAAAAATCTCATTTTACCCCGACCACACCCCCTGGCCGAAGGGGGTGGTCATATTGGTCCCACAAGTTGATAGGATCCACCTCGGGTCCTATGCGTAATGTCGAAAACCGATGTCGATTATCTCGATCCGTTCTCTTGTTATCCTGTCTTCGCATAAAGTAGCTGAAGCTACTTAATAAATGAACGAATATTTGAATGAATAAATGAATATTTGAATGAATAAATAAATATTTGAATAAATGAGTGAATATTTTAGTGAATGAATAAATATGTTAATGAATGAATGAATATTTGAATGAATATTCCCTATTGTCAATGAATGAATATTTGAATGAATATTCCCTATTGTTAATGAATGAATATTTGAATGAATGTTGCCTGCACTTCATGACAATGAATGAATATTTGAGTGAATAATTTTTTGTTGAACACGTCTGGATGCACTTAATAAATAAATGGTAATAAAAATTGGTTAGGTTTCGGAATAAGTGATATTTCAACATCACGCATAAATCTTAAATTTGGTAGGATTGCGAAATATGTGCATCACCAAACCACATAAAGCTGCGAATTTCGCAATAAATCGAGAAACTGCATTAGTTTAACTGATATCGTTAAATATATAGCTTTCTTAAGTACATAGATACATAACTGGTCCATCCGATATTGTTATAAATTTGTGGTATAAATTTGATGCTGAAATGCTTGAGTCATTTCTTATTCGTTGAGGAGAATAAGCACTTAATGCTAATATTAAGCCTTTATTTTCATCATTTTTTTTACTAGAATCCATGAATGCACATAATACTTAAATTTGTGCATTAAATTACATACATGCAATGTAATTGGGCTAACCTTGCATAAAGAGTGCAAGCCTGTATTCGTGAGCTTACGGAAACCAAATGCAAAATTAACAAAATCAAAGGAAACAAAACCTTAAACTTTAAATTTAGCGAATGAATAAAATAAAATTGAGTTAATTTCGCATATACAATCCTACGTTAGCTTTACTACTTATGTAACCAACCTAATTAATCTAGATAATAATAACTAAGCTACCTATGTAATTTCAAATAATGTGTACGTAGGATATCCTTATTATACGCTACCTTAATTATTTATATATCATTATTTATTAAAAAAATACGCAGCATTAATTGTAAATTCATAAATTGAAATTGTAGATTTTATCTAATTGCCATCCAGTATTAGTTTTGTTAAGTATCACTAAAACAATTATGAATTGAATTACTTAGTACTAATAAATGTAACAATGAAGAATTTTAGTTTTATATAAAGATTTTAAGTAGGTATATGTATTTATGTATCTACGTGGCACTAAGATATTAATTAGTGCTTAAGTTTTCCAAGTAAGACAACCATCACAAGGATTTTGAATGTATAAAGTTCAATCGTACTTGCCATCGACGTCTCAGCCAATATTTCCTTGACCGTTTTTTCCTATGCGCAAAAAATAATTGTTATCAAAATTTAAACAACTTAGGATTAGCTACCCTGGATTAATTACGTAAGGATGGGCCATACAGTATATGATGTCACGGGATAGGCAACAAGATAGATACATATGGCAACTTCATTCATAGCGCCACATTTTAAAATTGTCAGATCTCTTGTTTGTATCATAGCATAATTTTGAAAAAAAAACACGAACTAAATATTTATTAGCCTTGGACATACTAGTTCTCCAGTGAAGTTTCAATGCAAAAACTTGCGAATCATTTTTGTTCCTAACGTTGCTAACCGTGACAACTCTTAATGTAAATGTACCCTCATCAAATATATTTATTCGGACCACCCTCAGTATTTTTTCAACTTACTAATAAAGTAGCACAGACGAATCGTCTCACTTCTTCGAATTGTGGGTTGGAAAACATTCCAAAATAGTAGGTCATTCCAACCTCGTCTTTGTACCCGTAGATAATGGAGGAGTACAGAGGGTGTCCCGAGCTTATGATGGCATCATCCTCAAAATCAAATGTCTCATCATAGCGGATAAAGGCATCCTTGAGCCTCCCGTTACAGGTCAGATAACCATATTCATTAATATAGAAGGGTACGTACACAGTGGTTTGAAATGAGGGGTAGGTCAGTCGCCAGCCTCCATCAGAGAGGACGAGGTCAGTCAGAATAATTCCCTTGGTTGAGTGGAGACCTGATTTGTTTAAATACACAATTAAGCTAAAATAAAATTCTTAACGAAAATTCTTAACGAAAACAAAAATTCCACAATTCGACACAGAGCTTAACATGAATGAATGAGACAAGATGCCTAAAATTATAAATGCTTCCCGTATTTTGACGATCTTGGTATATATAATGTGGCTTATTTTTTGGAGTGAAAATTTCAGTGTACATAATTTATGTCACACCCAAGATGTATGTTCATGAACATACATCTTGGGTGTCACATAAATTATGTACATATGCATATGTATGATTGTTAAGATTACCTGTAATGTAGGGAGTGACGGCAGGTTGTTTAAACACGATTCGGAGGACTTCTAGACTCCCAAAAGAAGTCACACCGGTGTAGTTGACGAGATGATCGGGGTGATAAATGTGGAATACGGCGGAACTAAAAAGAACATCAAGAACTTTGTTTTTTCAATTTAACAAAAATGTATGTATCTAATGCATGTAACTACATATTTACATGTACTTATCTACATACTTAGTTTGTACTTTTTTATTTACATACACATCTACCTGATGATGTTTAAACTTACGTCAAATTACTGGTCAAGTTAAACCTGCCAAACAAGTCCTTCACATTGATTTTATCAAGTTGTTGCGGAAATGAAAAGTCTGTCTGATTATGACCCTTTTCTACCATCCAGTCGCGCAGGGCGTGGTCAACGTTAATTCGCCGGGTTAGAAATGTTTCCACGGCTTTGTTCAAGGTTTCGGGGACTATTTGAGTGTTTAAAAACATGGAAATTAGTCGTGAAATTATGTTTGGATATTTATATGCACCCTTCAGTTTAACATTTTCCTTACCGTAAGAAGAATATGTGGGGGATAGTGTGGGAAGAAAAATCGTGAAGAAATTTAGAAACATTTTTACTGAAGTTAGATCAATGCGATTTTCTTTGGCAAAATGAGGTAACAAAAGTGGGACGCCGAGTTATAGATATGTATACATATATGTATAATTTAGCATATGTCGATGAGAGGAAATTGGAATTGTACTTATTTCGACCTAGTCATTTATGATTAGCTATTTTTGCTATATTTTTAGCATTTAATTTAACACCTTTATAAATAAGGCCCATATGTATAGTCGAATTGTTATTTGCCATCCGGCCCAAAGAACACGGTCTGAAAATTTTACATCACTTTACAGTAAAACGGGTTACATATCAAAACTTCAATTTTTCATTAAGGCCCATATTCCAATAAACGTCAGCAGTACTTCTGCTAAACAAGTATGTACATGCAGATATGCCCAAAATGCCATAAATTTTTGGGAATGATTCCCACGTCCTTGGCATTGTGCAATTCTAAGCAGGCTAAAGCTTATTAAGCAGGTGGTGGTTGAGCGATACGTTTCAGTAATTATATTGACACAGATAATTGAGTCATGTCTTGTAGATAAGGCTTGATTTGTTCATAAAATGTCGCTCGTTATTGAAATTACTGCTCGGCTTGCCTGGTGCCAGGAAAATGGACGCCAAAGCAGCATTATACAGGATTTATTTGTGCAAATAAAAAGGATATCGGATGGTTTTAAGCCTCATCCATCTGCTACTTATTGTGGCGACAGGAAAGGGATAATATTGTCCAATTTTGCACATACTGTTTATGCATATGGAGATTTGGCAGAATTGGTCAATTAAAGACTTGCGCTGAACAACGAGTTAATCTACTTATTTATTTGTTGAGCTTCCAATTAAGCTTAATTTGTGATTTGTTCAAAAAGTTGTATTTATGTAATTGGCTGGGTATTGTTTAATTATGTAGATCAACTTATTTAATTATTTAGTAGCCTTGTTAGAACATTGAATATGTTCTTGGTCACCATTTTAAAACTAGGGTTCCCAGGAAGAGGTTTTCGACTATTATTTTCATTTAAGCCTCATAAATAGGACTTCTGAGCCTTCTCATGTTAATTTAATAAATTTATTACCTGAAATCCCTTGTTAACATTTACTTTATTTAATTCTTCCTTGATAAATCTCACTAAAACTTTGTGTATAAATACTAATAATGAAAGTAATTATGTAAAGTATGCTATTCACAATTTTGTATTAATAATACATATTTTATCATAGACATGTCAGTAAAATGTACATTAGTGCATTAGTTTTCCGAATAAAATAACTATCATTAGAATTGTGGGTGAATAAAATTTCATCATGTTTGCCGATGACGTTCCAGCGATGATTTCTTCTACGGTTCTTTCCTGTTTGTGAAAAAATAATTATTAATGTTTAAGTACTTAATTCATTCATGCATAACTATGTAGACGTGAATATTGGGTGATCAATAGGTAGTCCAGCTTAATTAACGCCACATTTAAAAAATAGTAACGCGTAAACCAAATTCATACTGTTAAATAGAAAACTGGTATAGTAAACCAGGAACTGATTTCTCGGTATTAAAGTTGCTACCGTTTGGTATATACTAAAATTATACCTGCCCGTAAAAATTTGCTACCGATATGGTAAAACTTTAATACCGACCTTTTACTACACGGTATTACTTATCAATACCGCTTTGGTAGAGTCATACATAAATACCGCTAGGTATTCTTTTAATACTGGATTTCTACTAGTGTAATTATTCCGTGACATAATTTTTTGGACCACCCCTCGTTATTTTTGCCTACTTTCAAAGTAGCACAGATGAATCGTCTAACTTCTGTGAATTGTGAGAATGAAAACATCCCAAAACTGTACGCCCTCCCCACCTCAGTTTTATACCCGCTGATAACATCAGAATAAAAAGGGTTCTCAGGACTTATAAGGGCGTCATCTTCAAACACGAAGGTCTCATCGTACCCGATCGATGGTCCTTTATTAGTCTCATTACAGGCCAAATAGCCATTATTATCGATGTGAAAAGGTACATATACTGTGGCTCGGTATATTGGATATGTCAGCTTCCAGCCTCCATTAGAAACCACATTGCTTTCCTGCAGATATCCCACGGTTTCGTGGAGACCTGATTAATTAAAAAAAACGGGTAAGATAAGATAACAGGTAAGTTTTTATCTGTATAATTGACATCGCAAATAAATGACGTAAGCCAAAAAATCCGGTTTTAGAGGTCAAACGAGTGCCAAAAACTGTACGACAGGCTGTCGTACGGACAACTTTATGGAATGCTTAGTCACGTAGGCACAATTAAATATGCCAATCCGAATACGAGAACATTGAACCCACGGTTTAACAGTCCCAGGTTCTACTTAATCGAGAGGACATAAAGTATGTATATCTGTGATACTAAACTGTTAGAAATCTGGTGTGGTCAGTTAGGCATTTATCGATTTCTCGGGATTACAGTTATTACCGCTTTGGCAGTACAATTATGCTGATCTATAAAACTTTGCTACCGATACGGTAAAACTTTAAGCCCGTACTATTACTACACGGTATTACTTATGTATCAACATCCACTTTGGTAGAGTCACACATGAATACCGCTCGGTATTATTTTAATTCTGGGTTTCCAGTAGTGTATATTAATAGGTAACGAAAGACATACTTTATGTACGGCCCCAAAAGTAGTTCGTAAGCGCATCATGGTAACAAATACCTGTTACGTAGGGACTGACGGCAGGTTGATTGAACATGATTTGGAGTACCTCACCCCCGGTAGAAGTATCATTCTCAATGCTTGTGTAGTTTACGAGATGATCTGGATGATAAATGTGGAATACGGCAGAACTGTAAAAATAGTGTGGATAAAATTGAGATCTTTATGCTAAACCTAATGGTAGTTAAGACTTGATAATATTTTAAGCCGTTAAGGATTTCATGACTCATGAAATCTTTAATAAATTACTCATGAATTAGTCATAAATCATGACTCAGTCAGAGGATGGCATCATGAAAAATACAAAACTTACGTTAAATTACTGGTCAAATTAAACCTGGCGCCGGGCAAGTCTGTCACATTGACTTGAAAAGGTTGTGGAAACGGATATTGTGACTGATTATGACCATTTTGGATCATCCAGTCGCGCAACCCGCGGTCAATGTTAACTCTCTTGGTTAGAAACGTTTGTACAGCTTGGTTAAAGTTTGCGGGGACTAATTGAGTGTCAAAACACATGAAATTAGTAGATTTGCATATTTTAGTCTAAATTCTATGCTTACCATAAGCAGAATAGGTTAGAGATAACATAGAAACTACAACGACGAAAAATAAATTTTGAAACATTTTTACGTATTTAAATCAGGTCAACGTGAACTTTAAAAAAATGCAAAATTACGTTAAAACAATAGGCCGTTATATTATAAGTGCAACGTAATATAGTGTAGGTACGATACAGGTTATCAGAGGGGAGATAAGGTCCATTAATTATATTCCAACAGGTGGCTCGGTTATCATTTTCAGATAAGGCGCTTTACAAATATTTCACCTTGTCATCCATTAATAACAGTGTGCCTACATACAGTAGAATTATTGTTGTGGGTCACCTCATTTGTATAAGTCTCGCTATACCCATTTTCGACGATACGCGTTTTCCATGTTGAATTAGCTCTGTCTCTCGAAAAATATGCACATGAAGTGACACCCCGAAATAGTCCTACTGTACATACCCACATGAGTCGGCTTGTCAGGTACACAAGGCAGAGGTCAGAGAAACACACATTGTATAGCAATTATGGTTGTGCAAATAAAAAAATGTACAAGATATTGAGTGCATGCAAACAAAAATTTAATTATGATTGACATTGTGCGATAACTAAGCTCTGTCTCGTCGGTCTGTTACAGATTGGAGATGAGTTTCCTCTTGACAACAATATTGCATCCAACTTACAGGTCCACTCCACCCAATAATTTGTAATATTTATATGGCACACGTGCGCACGTGTGTAAAATTTAGGAATTTGGATCGTATGATGCCCGAGGGATTTTTGTATGCGTCATCTTCAAATAATTGACGAAAATTCATTGTTTCGTGCGCAGTTTAAAGCTTAACCATGTCATTGTGTCACGGGTCTTATTGTGCGGTAGAGTAGAGATGTAACCATACCTGTATTCACTTTCATTCATTTGATATTCATTTGATTATGATGGTGAATGATAGAGAATGAAAATGAATTTTCTGCTATTTGAGTGGAAATTAATGAAGGATTCAGTCATTTCAGATGAGTGACGGTGAATGCAAATTATTCTCTCCTTTAATTTTTCACCTTACATATGCTTAATACATGGAGCGAAGTAAGAAATCAAGTCCGATGAAGTGAATTTGAACGAAAATGATTGAATGTGAATGAAAATCGTCAGTCAGAAATTGGGATGACTGACTTTTGAATGAAAACTAATTTGTTGAACAGCTAGATATGTAACACCAAAGCAAGTCAGCCTATGTTGTTTTATAACTTGAATGATCTATGTATTTAGTTAACCCGTTATTTTTCCCAATGACATTGGTCATGACTTAGGAAGTACCCAAAATAAATGTTACTACTCATACATATTCAATTTCATTTTATCTGGGTATATATGTATGCAGGGCTCGCTGTATATTTTAATGTACCAGTTTATGTTTTGTTTTGCTTAAGATACAAGATAAATCATGCTGTATGATTCATACACAATTTTTATACACATGTATGCATACATATGTATACATACATGCACTGATGAAATAAATGAGAATTTTATGGAATAGCTTTATTTCAGCCAAGAAATGGTATGGTCATGGTTGGTTTATTTATAACCAAATTTGCAAATGTATGTACCGTAAAAACTCAAATAGTAGCCGTTGCTCAAATAGTAGCCGTGCTCAAATAGTAGCCCTGCATTTTTTCATAATTTTATAAATAGTGACCTTGCCCAAATAGTAGCCCTGCTCAAATAGTAGCCCTGCTCAAATAGTAGCCTTAGATATTCGAAATTCGAATTATAGCCGTGTATAAACTTAATCACACATCTCCTAGCCAGGTCATTTAAGTAATTCAATTATAATTCAATTGAATCGCAATTACGTACAAAAAAATCGAAGTGAACACGAAATTCGGCTCATCGAAGGAATTGATTAAGAGCAGGTTTAAACAATAGCATTGCCATAGACCGCGATTCTGGGGGAGAAATTGGTGCTGTTCTTAAAATTTAATTTGAGCTTAATTCTGGAAACAAAATTAGGCTGTGTGCAAATGGTAGCCTTGCATTTTTCCGTCATTCTATAAATAGTCTAGTGACCCTGCCCAAATAGTAGCCTTGCTCAAATAGTAACCGGGTCCCAGCCTCCCATTTTGTAAATAGTAGCCCCCGGCTACTATTTGAGTTTTTACGGTATGTACATACTTAGAAGACAATAAACCATAGGAATTTTCTTGTGCAGGTAGAGAAAAACTGTATGTATATATCTGGAATTTATGTATATCTGATATGCATATCTGGATATTTTATAACGGTCATGCACATGCACATGCATTTTCTTACATAAGGATATGCATATGTACCTACCATAGACGTAGACTATATTACCTTACCTACAAACGTATGTACATCTATATATTAAACAAGTATGCACAAATGCACAAGCATGTATATCCTCCAAAAGTAAAGGAGACGCTCTTCGACCCAAATTCTACTAAAATTTTAATGAAATCTGCAGGAAGTCAGGACCGTAAATGTCTGACGAATATATGGTTTTATGTATGAGTATGTATTTTACACGCATACAGAAGTTTATATCCTTACAGCAATATATGTCTACATACGTAGATATCTATCTATACATACATACTTGCCATGGTTACTGCACACACTTTAGACTTGATTGAATCCTACATACATACAAACATATGTATAATATGTATTGCTTGAACACCGAAGGACTCCAAACAGCCCTGAACTATGTGCTTTCCATTAACACGATACATAATAAATACTATAAACATGTAAGGGATGCCTGCCTGCGAATAACTGACCTCGGCTACAACAACTTTCCAAATCTATATTTAACTTATTGTAGATATGTATAGTTAACTGTTAAATTCCAGGTTTTGGAAACAAAACTTGTCCCTCGAACAAGTTTAGGGCCTTTAAAGTAATATTTATTTTTCCTGTAACAATAAAATATTGGACATTGCCTTAACTTCACTGATGAGGTCAACAACGCTTTGACGAAGGAGGTCATGTGTCTTTACCCGAAACCGGTAATTTTGAAATTTAAATTTTGCTGTTAAACTACGCGGGATAATGTGTTTTACAAATTTGTGTAAAAAATTACACATTTTTCTCAAGTGAATTGCAGTGTTTTATTAATGTCCTAAAATTTTAACAGGGCCCCCTTCCCAGAAACTTGGGCCGCGAGGAGTTCCTCCGACATGGAATTGTTCTCGGTGTGTCGCCAGAAGTCGAACATCGGCGACGAATCCGGGCCTGGGAGAAGATGAAAGATCCCGAAATTGCAAAACTTCGTAACTCGATAATCGCAATAATATTATTAATTTCAAAATTTAAACTGGAATTGAATTTCACTTTAAGGTGACGATTATATAAACGCTTACCTCGACCACACTGTTGCCGAGCTAACATGGCATGCAAGACGAGATTACTACGCTATCCGAAAAATTGCACCTCGTGTGGCCAGTTGTAAGTACATCCTATTTCAATAATTCTATGACACGATTGTTACCAGTGGAGGTACCATGGAATTCTATCGCTTCGGTAATAATTTATTACCGAAGGGTAGCATATATAATACCAAGGAACTTTTTCTTTTCCCTTCCCGCGCGGTATCCTTCCCATGCTATTAGTATGGTAGGGATACGAACGCGGGAGGGTAAAGAAAAAGTTCCTTGATATTACAGAGGCTAAATTATAAATTCCACATTGTCAATTCTGCATTGCTCTGGTCACATAAGAATAACCGACACCTGATGCAATTTTTTAACCTAAGGAGACAACTAGAGTGTTACCAGTGGTAGAATTGCATAGTACCTCCGCCGGTAACAATTGTATTTATCACAAATTTATTAGACACATTTGTTGTAAAGGGTTAACCTCATTCCAACTTTTGGAACTAAATTATTAAATTTCCTAATATGTAAAGTTCATCTCTTGATTGGCCAATTTTACGAAATTTAAGGCCTTACTACGTTACAAATATATTAATGAATTGCGTATTATATGACCTATTAGCATATTTAAAAAACAATGAATAATTTTCTCTGATTTTTGACTTTATCTGATTTTAATATTTTTTCAGTGCGTCAGGGGCATCGAGAGTTTGACATCAAGGGTAACTTAATCACATGCTATTTTCATTCGAGATTTAATTAATAAAATGGTTGGTTGGTATTATTTGCATAATTTTATGTAGTTGAAAACTATTATGCGGCCCAGCAACTCAAACAGCTGAATTTAGTCATGAAGGATTCGCGGATTCGACTGCTGGCGGTGATCGGTCAGTATGGACTCGACGATGTGGGCGAACGATGTATTCCTTTGTTGAAATTGAGGATGCAGGAGGTACCCAATTCAATCAAGAAGGCTATGTATTACATTAAACGGTATGAGAATCATCGACCGAATGCGGCAAATCCGAATGCAGCAAATCCTATTGTGGCAAATCCGAATGCGGCAAATCCAAATCCTAATCTGAATCGGAATGCAAATCGGAATCGCCGAAATCGGAATGCAAACCCTAATCCAGAACCGAATCCGAATGCAGATCCGAATCAAAATGAAGATCCGAATCCAAATGAAGATCCGAATCCAAATGAAGATCCGAATCCACATGAAGATCCGAATCCAAATGAAGATCCGAATCCAAATGAAGATCCGAATCCAAATGAAGATCCGAATCCAAATGAAGATCCGAATCCAAATGAAGATCCGAATCCAAATGAAGATCCGAATCCAAATGAAGGTCAAAATCCAAACGCAGATCCGAATCCAAATGAAGAACCGAATCCAAACGCAGATCCGAATCCAGAACCGAATCTGAATGAATGAGGTACGATTCGGTAAATAATACCGATTCATTTACATGCATTTATATGCATTACAATATAGAAAGATTTTCACATATACATATATGTATGGTATGTAAGTATGTAGATATATATGAAAGATTATATTTTTGAAATGATTTTCAAAAATAGTCAAAATATTGATGATTTTCAAAAAGTGAAATTTATGCTAAAACAAGATGTTAACAATCAATATTTTTAAATATCTAGATTGACAAACAAAGAGTGTTCATCAAGGAGGATTTTGTGCAATGAAATAAAATACAATGAACATTGAACTAAAGCATTTGTGCCGCATATTTATTCCGTTAAGGAAACTAATTAGTTTAAAATAAGCAGCATATCAGAACCTATCGGAAACATGAAATTATACAAAATCGTAATTCATACTTAAATGAAATCGCATAAATTACCTGTATCACCATGACTGCGATTATCTTATCGAAATCGTTTCCCTACATGATTATTATCGGATTATAATTCTACAGGGTTGGCCAAGATAATTTTTTTTCAAAGATACAAGATACAAGATAAAAAATATTTGAACGAAATCCTAAGATACAAGATACTAAATACAAATAATTAGAGTTACACAAGATACAAGATAGATTTTATCTGCTGTGATCCCAGATACAAGATATTTATTTGAAATAATTTTTTCAAGATACAAGATAAATTATTCGGAGCTTGCAAATAAATAACTATGCACCACTTGATTTTTTGTACTGTAGCCGAGTAACTTGTTAATAAGAATAGTATACGACTCATAACTTGCATTATAATTTATAATGCAAGTCCTCACCCTCTGTTTATAATTTATAAACAAATGAGAATTTCCAACATTTCATGTGGTGACCCATACTGATTTTTTTAATTGTTCTATGGAGCTGAAATTATTATTACCAGTATATTCATTTGAAATTAGGAATAATTGCTCTAATGGTGGTACAAATTAGGAATATAAAGGCAAATTACAAAATTTTCCAACGGCGAGGGTTTATTTACTGTGCATAAATAAATATAGCGACGTTATACAACAGAACCTTGCTCTGACTCGGCAAAGCTGTACACTAAGGTTTTTAAATGATCATTATTCCAAGGTTTAATGCTGCCAAATATGCAAGTTTCTCGGTTTTTCACTAAAAAAAGTATCTTGTATCTTGACTAGTATTTCAAATAAAATATGATTCAAATAAATTCTCCAGATACAAGATACAAGACAAAATACTTTTGCGAATCGTTCAGATACAAGATAAAAGATAAGATAAACTCCGTTACACAAGATACAAGATACAAGATATATCTTGTATCTTGCATCTGATATCTTGTATCTTGTTAAATTATCTTGGCCAACCCTGTAATTCTACATAAATTCAACGTATACATCATATTATTTACAATTAAAAATGGTAAACAATTTTCACTGAGGAATTTTTCCTGAGTCATTCATTACATTGAAAATATTGTCTTAAAATAAACAAAATTCAAGCCATTGTCTCAGAAAAAAACATACATAAATATTTATTTAGCTCAAGTTGCCTTTCAACCTGGTCCGTTAACCTTAATAATCGATCGGTCTTCCGTGTTGGTAAAATTTTCTTTATGAACGTGCACTTAGGTTTTACCAAACAGACACGGAATGCGGACCAACGAACGTATTTACAGTCGGGTGGAATGAATACCTAGTTGGGCCGAGGGTTACGGAACAGGCGACCTTTTAATGTTGATGGATAATGTGATGGACTTTAGTGCTGAATAATACATACTTTTGTATATTGACACGAATTTGGGTTGCATGCTGTCATAGATATTAATAGAATCGATATATACATAGCGAAATGAAATGAAATTGGATGCCCGTCTGAATGTGAGAAGGAAGCAGGGTTGCTTTTTCAGTTGGGAGAAACCCACATTTTATGCAGTTTTTTATTGCCTCTTCTGAGAATAGTTTATTTGGGAGGTTCTAAGTATTTATAAATTAGATAGGAGGGACCCTAAGGCAAACGTTTTGAAAAAAGGTAAGGAATTTTTGTTTAGTTCAAATCTTTTTGGAATCTCAGGTTTCCCTTCAAGCCCAAAGTGTTATGGGGAAGTTGTATGGGAACGTTTCAATTTTTAGGAATTTTCCCTGGGTGCAGATAATTACGAAATTATTCTGGTAAATGCGCGAAATTTTTATTGAAATGTTGGTATTTTTTATGTATTTTTCTCGTATAATCTCGTATTAATATCTATGTATACAATTCGAGATTTTTATAACTTGACAAGCATCCAAGTAGCCCAATTGAACATTATTCAAGTAGATATAATTTTTTCTTAGTTTGTTCAACCATGCAGAAATTTATCTTGTAATGCTATGGGCCATGAACCTTGTAAGAATTATGAATTGAATAAATTATTATTACTTTTGGTATATATAAATCTTTCGCGTTATGGAATAAAGGGGTGTTAATGGCAGTAAAGATTTCTTGCAGACAGTTATAGAAAAAATGATGGGTTGATGATATGATCAGCTAAGGGTATAGATTATAATATAGATGTTTGTTAGGAAACGTCTGTTAGGAAATGTAAGGAAACTTTGTCTAAGTATTAATTGTTTCCAGAAAATGATCAAATGGTAGATGTAAAACTGTAAGATAAAATACCATATAATAAATCTAAAGTAAATTCGACTGGGGATTTTACTAGGAATTTTAAATAATTTTCACGTAGGTCCTTCAACTTTACTTAGGTTGTAATCATTAAAGGTTATAAATAATCCAAAACATCTTTGCATCCGTTAGGTTATTCGTAACAGGTTATTTGATTAGTTGCATTCGTTTGACATTTGATCATCACTGAAATAACCGGAGACTGAAAAAACTTCAGAGTGGTAGTCACTGTACATACCTGAATATAATCTGTATATTTCCAACGATTATTCCTTAAGGGGACGTTCATAAAATACGTTGTGGATGTGAAGGGTGGTGTCAAGCTCTCTTGTTATACGTCAGTTTGTCCAATATGTTATAAATAGGGTAAACAAAATTGCTGATTTTCCATTACTTATTTTATGAACGTTCCCTAAGTTCTCAGAACTGAACTAATTACCTATTGATCGTTAACGAATATAATCTGCATACGTAATTGGTATGCTTAATTACCGCTTACAGATGCTTATAGGTATTTAACTTGTACTACTTAACTATGCACATATTTGGCTAGCCTTGGTAGAAATGTATTTTAAAACCAAATTAATAATGGGGCCGTGCATAAAGTGTGTCGTAAATTTTTGTTGGGGATGTCTATGTAGTAATCCAATCCTTGCTAAATGTGTAAATTATAGTACGGGCAATAGGTTAAAATTCTCCGAAAATTAGTAACATTCTTCATGCACATAGCACGGTCCATAAGCCAAAAAGTATTTAAATAAATAATATTGATCGAACAATATTGCGCAATCGAGTCAAAAGGTCACCCTGGCATTTTAGATAATGTCACAGAACTAGATAAAAATATGTTTGTTTTTATCTCCTATCGTCCCAATTTTCACCATAACAAATAGATTGCGGTAAATGCTTACATAGGATTATCATAGTCCGCAGTTCACTACATATCTGGAAAATAATTCGCGATAATAAAGAATCCGATTGTGCAATAATTATGTACAAATTGATAATAGTTTTACCAAAACTGATTTCGCCGAATTTTGTGTACTTGTTAGATCCCGGGATAAAAATTGCATAAAAATCGATATGAACGAGTGAATTATTCTGAATAATCTGCTGCATCGTAAAATTTAACTCAAGTTATCAGCCCAATGACCTTCAGTTCATATACCTTAGCATGGAGTGAATGTCATGTATTCAGACATATATGTATGTATACACGAAACAGGTATACCAGCATATGCAAATGTGGATGAATCATGTGATTAAAACGTGCCTGAGGAGATTCAGACTCACAGTTGGGAAGGATTGACGTTGAATACATGAATACGTAAGTTGGGGATGTCTCAAAATGAGAATAAATGGAGTGACGTGTGATGCTTGTTGCCTTATCAAATTCAAGTTTAAGTTAAATATTTATGTAAAAAATTTCTTTTTTAGTTGAAAATTTTCAATAAATTTGGAATATGGTTATGGATATTTTTTCGAAATTTTCTGATTTTTTTAATACTGTTTTGTCCATTATTGCAATTTCGGAGTTTTATCCTGTTTTGCGTTGTTCTAAAAACTTAAAAATTTCTGAATTTTTTTAAATTGAAATTTTTCAATGAATTTGGACTTTCAAAGATTCAGCATGATTTTTCGTAATTTTTTCTGATTTTTTTTCGCATATTTTTTTCATACCGTAATTCCTCCATAATTGAATTGTCTGACTTTTTAAGTGGTTTCATCCTGTTTTGCGTACACGCTTAAAAATGTTCCCGACTTTGCAAGAAGTAAACTGGTAGACAACTATATATAAAGTAACATTGACTAGATTTAGCGTTAAATGGATAACTTCAATTTTAGTTATGCATCATCTAGCCATAATTTTAGTTAAGTCGGTATATTACTTTAAACTAAGTTAGACGTTACACCAATCAGGGTCAGACTGTACTAGCATTTACTACATTCCGGGTACTTTGTCCCGCCAAAAAAAAGCTTGGCCCACGCTCCAATTTTCCATCGTCGTTGTAACAAGAGTGAGTGCCCGAGTGCGAATTAAAACTAAAGTATATATTAATTAATTTGCCTAATAATTAATTAGTTGAAGCTCAAATATTCCACAATTCCACACCAACTGTACTAGATATGGAAGAAACTGCTCGACTACTATCGCAATGTGGGCTGGATTGCTATTTTGATACTTTCAAGGGTAAGTTTATCTACAATTGTCCATAACTGTACCATAACTGACACTTTGCTCATTTCATTTTATTTTAAAATAGAAAATGCAATAACGGACGACGCGACGCGAGAAGATTTGGCAACAATTGTACCAATACGAAACTTTGGAAGGAATTCAGAAGTAGAAAAATGGCACGATTTACGTATGTTTTCAATGCAAAAATTCCTATCACCATTACTCTCCGATCACTATAAATATGTGCATAGGTTATCAAAGTTAAGGCAATTATTTCATATTATTTTTGGTTGTTTTGTAATTGTGATTTAAAGAGTTCAAGTGGATTTAATTGAAATAAATATATGCTAATGAGGATATTTACAAATACCGCATTCATTTTATTGAGACACTATATAAATACCGCGACCATTATTCATTTTACTTAATATGGGGTTAGAATAGTAACCCCAACCAGGGTTAGCACCTAGACGAGAATAGGGTAAATGGCTATTTGCAAAGGGTAACCACCGTTACTTTATTGCTATGTTGTGGCTGCATACCCCAAATCGGGTAAAGTCACTTTTACGTTTATATTTAGTTATATTTTACTCCTTTTAGGGTAATAATTTTTAAGCGTGTACTGCGCAGTTGTTTTCCAAACTTACATATGTACATAAAGGTGTTCATAACTCGCCAATTACACAATTTTTGGGACTATCTACCCACGTGGCAAAGGTTTTGTAATACTTAGATTATATAAATACAGGAACGTTAACTATGTATGTATTATCAGCAATATGGTTATATATCATTGTTTACTTTATCTGTTACTAATTATACAAGTTATATGTACCATAATTCTCGTCTATTTACATATGTAAGTTATGGATGAATTCATACAGAGGAAATTAATATTATTATTTTTTATATAATACATTGAGGTAGGACAGGTTCAGGTAAGAATTCCCAAGTTGCATCTTTTTTGAGGTACACCAATTTAATGGGAGGCCATTAATGTACCTCAAACTAAACTAGATGCATAAATATGTACGCCGTGTAAATTAATAAGTAGTTAACCTTGGTCAAGTGTTGGCACTAATTCAGGTACTCGTGTTCATTAAGGCATATCTTTGCATCTTCATGCATACCTGGATGCAATAGTCTGCTCAACTGGTTTTTGTACGTAGTTTAAGTATACAAATTATCAAATTTTAGTAAAAAACAATATGTTCAAGAAGATGTTCAACCAACTGAGACTTAGCAAGGGCAAACAGGCGTATACAGATAACATGCCTTTTTGCCTGTTAGGCACTTTAATCTTGGCCATGCTTGATATGCCTTTTTGGTAAACTCGGGGCATTATGATTATACAATGTACGCCTTGCAAGGTACAATGTTTCACAATTCACTCGATTTTTTTGTTACTTAAATTATGTTGAATTTAGCAATTTTGATTATCTTCAACCCCATTATCGTATGCCTATTAAAATTAGACGAATTTTCGTACACGTTTCTTATGAAGAATTAGGCCTAATTATAAAATAACGATAAATCATTAAACATATAATAAACATTTCGAAACGTATCAATATCAATACGGGAAAAATACACAAAAAATACCAAAATTTCAGCACCATTATCGTATCTCCATTAAAATTAGACCAATTTTCGTACACGTTTTTATGAACAATGAGGTCTAATTATAAACTGACATAAAATAACAGTAAATCATAACAAGTAATAAACATCTCGAAACGTATCCACACTAATACGGGAAAAATACCTAAAAAATACCAAAATTTCGCCCAAAATTTCACCCATTTACTAGAATATTTTCATAATTCTCCGCCCCCCAGAAAAATTCCTAAAAATTGGAACGTTGCCACATTTACAACTTACCCTAGCCAGACAGAAGTTTAGGCTTATTGAGCGATTCGTAATTCCGAGGAAGCCGAATCAGCAGCAAAAAGCTTATATACGAAGCGTGTATTTGACTGGGAATACATTGGGGGAACAGGCTTCAGCTTTTAGCGTTGAAATGTATGGCTCCACGTAATGTTCGTCTTCTCGCCGAGTTGCCTTTCTGTTTTTATAATCAGTTGTAGCTCGTTGGTCGTCTCGTTACCATGGTTACATTTCCGTCATGTGGAATTTGTTTTTGTCGTCACTTTATCTTTTCGTGGTTATATATGTACATATCAAGTCACATTAGATAAAATTGTTGAATTTTGTTTGAATTCAAATTAAGCGCCCTTTAAGGTCTAACTTAATTGTGGCTGTAGGAAGGAATGGCTAACGGCGAATTGCTCGTTCGCATGACGAGCATTGACGAATTTTGGGACGAAATAGTGACACGGACGAGTGGAAAATTACCCTACAGTTCGAACGGTGACTCGGTATCACGAGTTATCGGGAATGACCCCTGGCTTAGGTTTGCCACGTTGTATAGTGGCAACGGACAGAAGGTAGAAATTGAAAAATGATAATTGTTGGAGTTAAGAAGTATGAGAGACTAAATGCTGAACGGGTACATATGTATTTGCATAATTTAGGGAGATTTCGAAATTTCGAGGAAAAATAGGTTAAAAATAGATTAGATAGTTTAGAAGTTTTATTAATACTTTGAACATCAGGAAGAATTATCTAGAATTAAGTATGAGAGACTAAATGCTGAACTTCTAAATATTTGATTAACTTATTAGTGACACCTCCGAATTTCAAGGAAAAATAAGTTAAAAATAAATGAGATAATTTAGGAATTTTATTAATACTTTGAACATTAGAAGAACTGGATTTATTTGGAATATTTATCAAAAGTAGGGAAGGATATTCTAATCGGTAATTTGAATATCCTGTTTTGAGGTTAGCAATTGAAATTGAGGTTAACTGCTATTTTGGATGTTTAATCGGCCAATTGTGGTATTGATTTAATTCAATATTGACGTTAGTTTAGGTGTCGAAAAGTTGCTGTTGCTATGTAGGTACACTTGTCAATATTGGGTAGTCCTTGAAAAAATCAAAAACATCAAAATAGGGTTTGAAGTAGTTTGAACCATGTCAGGGAAACTTAAATGGGATATTCAAAAACACAAAATAAATTGGACGAGATTGCTTTAAACATGTTTTTAATACGTTTGTAGTTTTTTTCTGAATTTTTTCTGAAATGTTCAATTATGCATGAGTACCCCTAACTAGTTTAAGCTTTCGTAGGGAAATTCAAATAAGGCCACACGCAACTTAGGGTTATCCTAAGAATAGTCTATCTATGTACCTAACACATGTACCTATTTGTCCCTTGGGGGAACGTCCATATATTACGTCAGCAAAAAGTGGGTGTGATTGTGCGTCATTTATTTCTTGTTCGGCCTAAAAAATCACAGTTTTTCGATGACATAATATATGGACGTTCCTCTTGTTTCTTTTACAGTACACGATCGGTCAAAAATTCGAAAGTCGGGAAACCCAAGGAGAATTCTTGTTCTGCTTTGGTCCCGGTGTTTCTAAAGGATCCCATTGCGAAATAGTTTGTTACGAAGGGTCATTCTACATCCAAAACGCGAAGGTATTTAAACATATTTAAACATCCACCTACTTAATTATTACCAAATTTACAAATAACATCATCCAATTTGTTTAGCCCCTTTTTGCCGAAATTTGCGAAACTTTCATCAATGGGGTCAAACTCGTGGGACGGCAAGAACTCCATTTTGGCGACATGATCTCTCTCGGGAACCAATTTTCCGATCAATGCAGACGCATCAACGATTTGCACGAGTACAAAAACAGTGCCAGAGTCGTGTTTTGGTTTATGGTTAGTGCTTAAGTAATACATATATGTGCCTAAAAATAAATATGTAAATTCGTACGTGGCCTCGTTCGCATTTCAACCAACTGATGCCTAATACATTTATTCTTATCGCGCAGTTATTTTTCCATGATTACATACATTTATGATTTATTTACGACAGAAAGTCCAGACTTGCTCGGCGTATACGCGATTACCCATCCAAGGCTGGTATTGGGATTGGAAGAGATATACCACGTACGAAAAGACGAGATCGGATTGGCTCAAAGGGGATCAGCACGAGGAGTCGATTGTCAATAACAAGTCTGACATCATGAATATTAAAAAATTACGATCTTATCCTTCAATAAGAGGAGAAGAAGCTCGATGGGATAGGATTGACACGTTGGTATGAATTAAATATCTACTTATCTCGGTTAAGTACTTATGTGCAGATAGGTTATCTGGACATGTATGGTACTTGTCATGTAAATACTGTGGTAAAACAAAATCTTGACTGGGTGCTAAGCAATATGCTCTGAAATTTGGTATATTTAGTAACATAAGTAGGTGGTGATTTCTGGGGGAGTAAAGTTGCTATATTAGAATTGAAACTATCCGTTGAAGCTTGCTACAGATATGGTAAAACTTTAATACCGAGCTATGTATGTACTATTAGATGGGATGACTTATCAATACTACTTTGGTAGAGGCAAACATCGATATGTGAATTCCGCTTGGTACTATTTTAATACTGAATTTCTAAGAGTATATCGTTGCATAGTTGTACCGTTGGATTTATGATTTGTTAACAATTAACATAATAGTTAAGCGGGAAATTCAAATTTGAAACATTTTTTATGGAATGTGATAAATTTGAATTTCGCGGACACTCATTTGCAATGTTCTACAACGACATGAATGACGGTTATAATTGTGTTACCACATTATGTTAAAAATTTCATTAAAGTTCCCCCCATAAATACAAATTCTACCTTATTTCAGGCCTTATCAACCATACTAAACAACCTAAAATCTCCCCGCGACCTTGGAAACTGCCGCCTCGTATGTTCCACGTGGAAACAAGAAGCTACCAAGCGTCTCAATAAACTTGCCACCGTTAACTTTAGTCTATCCGATAATTACCCCTCTTTACGAAATCGGTTATCCAACTTTATGCAAGAAGGGGTAACCTTATCCCCGAAAACGATAAATTTTTCATGTTCCTTATGCCATTGCGGCGAAGATCTCGTTCATACGAAAAAACTCGCAGAATCTTGGCAATGCAGTCCCGATGCAAAATTTTACTCCGATATGGAAGCCTTCTTACGAGGAGGATTTGTCACGTCCGGGTCAAAGGTCAGACTCAGGGTGGCAAACGATATCACCTGCGAGCAAGGATGGGGACGATTAGAAAACCTTTTGAAATTGGCGCATCTCTCCCTAGAACAGCTGGATCTTTGCATCGACGAAGATTTAATAGTTATAAAACGCGTAGAATTACCTGGAACGGTGAAAATGTTCCCATCCTTGAAAACCTTTGATCTTAAACTACTTCATAAGATGAGTCTGATTCAAATGCACCAGAACTTTTACCCCATCAAGGAATCCGTAATGACCGAATGGGTCAAGTTTTTCGTTAGTAGGGCTCCTTATCTAGAATCGTTAACGTTAGATCCTTCAGATTCGACGAGTTCGATGTGTTCCTCGTTATTCTTGAGGGAAATTGTAGCCGGGGGATTTAAACATTTAAAGTCACTCAGCCTCTATAGATATTCTCATTACGAGCTAAACACTCTATTGAAATTGGATAGAAAGTTGGAAACCTTAGTGTTATCGGACTATCTTGAAGAGGACGATCTAGATTGGGGCATGGATCCTAGTGCGTCACACTCGTTAATGACGGATGTTCTAGAAACGTTCGCGCCAAATTTAAAATACTTAGAATTAGGGTTACCATGCGGACGTCATGGGGCCGTTAGAATGCCGACATTCCCAGAATTGAGGGTGTTCAAAATTAATGACGATTCCGAACCTAACATCGAATTTTCACCGGGGGGAATAAACTATGCTAAGCATTTTCCTAAATTGAAAGAACTAGAGATATTTTTAGGTTTTTTGGACTCTGGCGAGTCAGGATTTTTATCATATCTGAAAATTTTTGTTCCGGAAGATCCCTCACAAATTTGTAGGACCGTGACCCGTTTGAAATTCCCGTTTTTGGATAACATTAGTAAAATTGGGGCAGCGAACGAAAGAGCGCGAAAATGGTGGTACGAATTAGATTTGCATTCAAGGAGGGATATGGATGACGGGAAAATTGTGGGTCAAATTGCAAAATTATTTCCAAATGCGAGAAACAATTATTTAGTAAAGGTCAGGAGCCAGGAGAAGGAAGACCTTTTGTACGAGGAGTCATGCAAATTTGGCACCCTGACGCCATGGGCGGTTAGGTGTAATAAACCCATTTTTGTATCAAGGCCGAGAAAAATTTTCATAGAAAATGAGCCATGAAATTAATTATTGTGGTTTGACACTAAAAAATCAATGGGGGTATTCATCACGAGTTTGAATCGTGATACTTTTTTAAAGTACGATTTTTTGCGAGTAGAGTTACATGTATACCGGTCAGTAATGATTTAATACAGGTTTGCTATGAGTGTACTACTCGTGAAAATTCATAAGTAGTTTTTCAATCAAATATGCAATAGTTTTTTATTTATTAATTTTGTTTTGTTGTTAAAGATGCGAACTCGTCATGAATACCCCCCCCCACGTAATGTTAAGTAGTTAATTGTTTAGCTTTACCGATAAGACTGATAACATCACTTATTGTACATATCGTGTCACCTTTGGAATAAAAATGTAAAATTGTAATAAAAAATGGAATAAAAATCAACATTGCCGGTAAATTGAAAATATTTGTATACATTTATTTTCGGTTAACTAGTCGAATTAAAAATTTCGATCTAAATAATTTGTATTCAAAATGGGAACGAAATTAAAAATTTCCAATGATTATTTGAGCTTTGATTTTGATTTAATCTTCATTTTGGACTTAGGCATTTCATATTGCGTTGAATAAACCTAAACGAGCAGAGAATTTGCTGCATTGCATAGTTACAAAGAGAACCGTATCTACCGGTTGGGCCATCTGGCTCATGCATAATTCAACTATTCCGTATTTCATAAATTGATATGGATACCGTCACAAATTTTGCATAACAAAGGAATTAGATCGTCAAACAGATGGCTACCATGAAATATGGAAATAGCAGTAACTGTGTTAACCGTTATTCAAAACGTTAAGTGAGCTATCACTCAATACTTTTCACAGAATTATATGATTTCCTGATCATGTGCCCGATTTTTGGCAACACATTAAGAATCAATGGCTTATCAAAAATACTGCAATATCATATGATTACGAATTACCATCGACGTGCAGTTCCGTTTCGCGAGTATTTAACCCCGACAAATTCAACTGAAATCATCACAAACCAAATACCACTGCTAACAAGCAACACAAAGTCTTATACCCAAATTCAAAAAACTTTCAACCAAACTTTCGGAAACATGAAGTCCGCTTCAGTTGCCATGATCTCTGCGGTTGTCATGTTTTTGTGCACGGTAAGTAGATCTTTGCATTTGAAACTATATGGAATTCGCGGTTAACTTAGGGTTTTGTATTTTTGTAATTTAGGTATCGTTTACTACGGGGCAAACTGATAGTCCTATTCCGACGGGGGTAAACGGGACTGGCAACCCGGACGACGGGATGTCGATGATGTCGATGATGACGAACGGGACCGAGTTGGAGGGGATGGCGGGCTGCGGCTATTGCGGGAACTATTATCCATTTCAGTGCAGCTCCTTCTGTGGGCAGTTGGGGTGGTGGTGCTATAGATGCCTCCCTTGCTATTGCGAATGCTCGAACTACTGTTAACTTGAAGGAGTTTTGGTTTTTTACTGTTTTAAAAAGGTGATGGTTAATCTGGTTAGGGAATTCTAGGGTTACATTAACAATGGGAATATAGGATATGCTACAAAACTTATGCAAGTATGTTGTCGTGTGTGAATAAATAAATTTTAATAAATTTCAAATTGTTGGAATAAAGTAAAGTTCTTAACCATATATTTGTGTGAATATTTATTGTATGGTAGTGGACTAATATGCTTGACTCGTTACGACAAGAACAGGGCACATTCCATCCAAATTTATGCACAGCTGTATTTATGCAAATGGAAGATGACTTCTATTTTCTTACATGAAAAATGTCGGAAAGTTATGCAGTTTTGCACAGGCGCAGCCACCATAGGTGTGCATTTCCCACCCTAGAAAATCGTAGGGTGGGCAGTCAATGCAAATGCCAACCCTTAAATATTTCCATATTCGTCTAGATAGGTTTTAAATTAAAACCTATCTAAACGCTCATTAAAACTTTTAACGAGCGTTTTTTTACTTGTTTAACTGCTTTAATTTAAATATTCTCGCAGTGTATTCTTTAGTACTTCTAACTCCCTAGCATTCTTTATCACTACCATACAAACAAGCTTTTTAATTGTGTAATCATTATTCTAAAATTTTTCGGGATGTAGTCAATTCGTTGTCCAAAATTTTGACGTAATTTTTTCCCACTAAGAATTTCAAGTACACAAATAATCCTAATGAACCTGACTAGAAAATCATGATAACCAACGGTAGAAATTATTAGTCTTATAAATATGTAGATAATACGAATGAAACTTGTAGTCAGGGGCTACTGGCAAGAGCTTCAACGGAAATTAATTACAAATTAATTAGTGACACGTTGTACCAATAAGAACACAAAACAAGGGCGAAATTTTTCCCGCCACCCAAGCAGTTCTTAGCAAAAAATTCAAAATATATCGTCCCGTGGTTACCAGCCAACAAATTCAGGGCAAATTTTCGCATAGAGCGCCGTTGCAGATTTTTGCGAAATTAATTACAGTGACAAGTTGTATCTATCAGAACACAAAACAAGGGCGAAAATTTTCCCGCCTCCCAACCAGTTTTTAGCAAAAAATTCAAAATATATCGTCCCGTGGTTACCAGCCAACATATTCAGGGCAAATTTTCGCATAGAACGCCGTTGTGGATTTTTGCGAAATTAATTACAGTGACAAGTTGTACCACTAGGAACACTTCCTCTTCCGTTTTGGAAAATTACTTTCACTTCCGTTGCAGACAAACATTTGCAGCGTATAATATAGAAGATACTAATATGTGCACTTATGTATATACGAGCCTTTGAACTTGTGCCTGTTTTTATATCGCCAGCTTGAGCCTAGGGTACACACAATAATCTGGTTTTCCCCTAAAAAGTGTGAGCTTACGTGTTTACCATTTGACAACAAATTTCTACATAATATTCAAAAAACAAATAGTCATTACACAGAGAAATAGCCGAGATAGACTATCCTCACAGAAATTGTTAGATACATATGCGCTTCATTCTGCAACTGCAAATCGAGTGTAATATGTACATATTTATGTACATATGCATTTGGATGGACAAACAGTTTGAAGATTGGGTTGAAGAGGGATTTAAGTGATGCTATCCATGGCATAGGTTGAACATGTAATACATATAAACCAGTGTTGCAGATAGCAGTTCATTCCTACCATTGGTGCCTACAAGGTCAGCTCCAATCGAAAGGTGGCCATTGAGGCTAAGGTCACATCAGGAACAAGATTGTCGTGATTTATATTTAAATATACATACATTTTTTTTAAATTGGAAATTCAGGCAGTCATTGGTAACATTGTAAAATCCGAAAATTCTGCAAATTGTTACAAAATTTTAGACATATCTAAAAGGAAAATTAGCTTATAAATTGTTGTAAACTTGCTCATCCTTAAATCAAGGGCGTCTTTTTTATGCAAAAATTTGTAAAATTATTTTACAGATTTTACAAGTTACCAATGACTGCCTGGATTGTCTTTACCTAGTAGAAAAATATGATTTATGCATTTCTTGTTCCTCTACTTTGTAACATTATATCAATTTTCAATCAAATGAAGTATATTTGTAATTTAATTCTGTGTTTTACTATTCACATCGCCAGTGCAATTTCTATTGGTGAATACGCCTTGGATATTAAATCTCCGGGGACGTTAGAGTTTATATTTGCAAGTGACATACCAACGAATTATGCTGATTTTGATCAAACATTCCCATATTTCATGGACATTATCGCACAGAATAACTGTTCTCCACTATTAATTCAGAGGATACTTAATAATACTGATATATTTAATGCAACGGAAATATTTCACGTCAAAGCAATCACTCGCGTTATATCTTCGCAAGATCAGTACACAGTTTTACAAGTTATTTCAAGAAATACGAACTATACGCATTGGCACCATCCTCAAACAGTCCTACTTGCAAATGTGCTATTAAAGTCTAATCCAAAATATATATTTTTATTCGTTGGTTCCCGCATATCGATAAATTATTACCGTTATTATCCCCATTCGAATGGAAACTCTATTTTAATAATGATAGCTGATTCGCGGTTATTTATTCCATGCATTGCTTGCAGTGAGCTTCCCCTCAAAGAAGAAATAAAAGGATTAAATGGATTACAAATAGACGAGATTTGGAAATCTAGGAATAACGATATGCACGGAAAGAGTGTCACTTTAGCTACACCAGCTACGTCATGGTCCCCCGTTAAAGTAAAATGTGGTCACAATATAATCAACTATTACGAAAAGAACCCTCCCCATAGATGTGTCATCTCTGTGCTTGCTCAGCGCTATAATTTCACAGTGATTCCTGCCTTCGGAAAATTCAACATGGATAACTTTGTCGGAGAACTCAGTTTCAGACAATATCTGAACAACGCTTTTATGGCTGGGCTTGCAAATAAGAGACCGTTCATACACAAAGTAACATTTTCTGAAGTTGGATTTTTCATTGTGACCGACCATCCGACTCTAAGGAACGATTTTGCCGGGTTTTTATGTCCTTTCGATGCACCCACGTGGACCTTGATTTTCCTGAGCGCGATTGGAATTACAATCGCAGCACGACTAGGTTGGGGTCGAGTCGGGTATAAAAATGCCTCCATATTTTCCGATTTCCTACGAATTTCATCCATCCTGCTGGGTCAAGTTGGGGGGAATATAGTGCAACTATTTAAATCCGGGTTGATTGCATCGTCCCTGTTGCCCGTTTGGTTTTGGGCGTGTTACATCTTAATGTTTAATCATTACCAGTGCTCAATCTTGTCCTATTTGACCGTCACAACTTCTCCCAGAGTGCCCAGAACGATGGGAGAATTGCTTGATTCTGATTATAGGGTGGTGACGCGTTCGTCCATAACAAGGTGGAACTCGACGGAAAATCAAGCCATGGAGTGGTCCTTACTTACTCAGGAGATATCGACTTTCAAAGAAGTTTTGTCCAGGGAGGAATCAATCGATAAATATGAACGACTTCAGAACAGAATTAAATTTTATCGAGTTAGCGAAATTGACTCGTTAACATTGGCAAAAAGTTTGTCCTACTCGATTCAAGAGTACGCTGGATTTAGACAAGAACCAATTGTACTAATGGATGTGAAAATGGCGATATCAGATTTGGCCGTGCTGCTTGGAGAGCTTGGAAATCGATACGTTATAAATGTTCGGGACGTCACGCCGTTCCGTACAATCTCGATGTCAGTCGGATACAGGAATTTTCTCACGCCTTATATTTCCGAGACGCTCACTAATTTGGAGGAATTCGGAATTAGCGGGAGGTGGGATGCGTTAAGGTATTTGCAGTATAAGTTGAACGCCGTGAGGTTGGCGGGAAGGTCAAAGTTCAGGAAATTGTTCCGAAGAGAAATGGCGGATGGGAGGGAGCCCGTCGTTTTTCACGAGGCGGCCCCAGTGTCACTGAAAGTAATGAAGTTTGTATTTTTCCTGTGTGGTGAGCTAGTTTTGTTTGCAGGGTGTGTTTTTGGATGGGAGTGGGGGAAAGTGGGGACAAGGTTTTATGGTCAGTGGGTTCGTTATACGACTGATTGGCTCAGGTTTTAGAAGTATATATTTATATTGTGTAAAGTTATGTTTTGGTTTGCACGAATAAATGAGAACTGGATGAAAATGTTTTAAAAAAATGAAAAATTGATTGTTTAATTGTGTCAGTACCTATAAATGAACCGTTACAAATGCATGTACCCAATGGGTGAAAGTACAGTCTCTTACGTCAAAACGAATATAAAATTGGGGTTGCCCCTTGAAAATACGTTAAAATTGGCACGTTTGACATGTTTTCGACATATTTGATCTTTGACCTTGTCAACACAGTCACAAAGACCATGTTCGTATTCAGCGTTCAAAATCTGTTCAAATACATAACAGGAAAGACAAAACTATGAAAAAGTTCCACTTAATTGACCTTAAAAATATAAAAGTGCAGAATTTTAAACTTCTAAAATTCAGTGAGCGATTTTAATCTACAGTTACATTTATGTTACTTTATTATTTGATTTATTGATCATATTTAATTAATTGCTGCATTTTAATAAAATGAGATAGCCATCGAAGCATCTCCTACATAAATGTGAGACATTTCAACTCGCCCCATTGCTCGATTCCAATGCGAAACCAAGACACAAACAAGCGTGTCGTGTTTTTGCTCGGGAAGAAAGAGAGAGAACGTGATAAAAGTTAATTTTTTAATTTCCAAATTTACAATTGAATTAAACACAATGGGAGAATTGTCGAGAATAATGGCGAGTGACTTATCCCAACCTGCAGATGGTGTTCTTGAAGAAAAATTCAATACTGATTGCAATTTCGGGTCGGTCATCTTGCCTTATCAGGAACTTCACAGGGCAAGTTATTTATTACTCCCAACGATACAGCATTTTTTTGTGGGTCTCATTAATTCGTGTCGTAAATATTGCAGTACACCTTTGGCGAAAAGTACGTCTCGTGGAAGACTCAGGGCGAATTCATCTTTTTCCAGAGCAAGCGACCCCACTGGAATTGGAGTTTCGCCATGGAAATTTTATGCGGAAGAGACAGTTATTGGATCAAACCAGCGAGGGTAAATAATAATTAAAGTTAATTATTCTACTTGTCTTGTTAATAAACTACATAATAATGGGAATTTTTAGGGAAACATAATTTTCAAAAACGGCGTAAAATTTGATACTGATGCCAAGATTCAGCTCAATTTCGGTGATGAATTATCCTTTACCAAACATCGCAACAATGTCTCTGGTGGTCTTGCGGTCTTCACTTTTAAAGTAAAGATAAATACGACAAGTTAAAAAAACACTAATATGTTTTTATTTAGTATTAATTTTGTCCTTCCTTTAGAGACGGGAGTACCCTTCAAATTGGGATAAGTGGAACAAAAGTAAACACGATTCGGGATTTGGGTGTGACCGGTGTGGATCCGAAATATTGGATTTCACGCTACATAAGAACAAATTGGTATACGAAATACAAAGCTATTCTCTATTCCACGTTTTCACGAATTTTTAATAAACTTGCCTTCATTTGCATCCAGGTTTTCTCCCATCTTTCCATTGGCAGCCTGAAGAATGCTCGACTAGTTTGCAAGGACTGGAATGAACAAGCGCCTCCCATTTTGCGAGCAAAATCCGTCGTAAATTTTGCTCTTCATTCCAACTATTTAACTCCTTCGCTAATATTTCTGAGATACGTCCATGAAATGAAGAACGCCACACCATGGCCAAATTGGAAAATTTCCTATCCCGAGATTTCAGCCGAAGGGCGTGATGAGAGAAAATGGGGAGTCAAGTATATCGAAGATTTTACCTGGTTCCTTCGATCGCAAAGGGGTCATCACGTCAAAAGTTTGTCTCTGTGTGGCACCATCAGCTCTGACCTGGATTACGGGACATACCTCAAACCCGTTTTACAACTTAAAGACACCCTGGAAGAATTAAGACTGGATTTCACCATGAAAATATTTGATGATGACGGCAACGAGAAGAAATATGCTATTACTGGATTGGGTTCAATTTATCTGAAAAGTCTGAAAAAGTTTTCAATCGAACTGCGTTTCGACGATAAGCCGATACCCCTTCCACAATTTGAGGCGCCATGGATGAAAATCTGGGCAAAGGCGATCAACCGTGTCGACTCCATTGTTACGCTAGGCGATGCTTCATTCATGTCACGATTTATCCAAGAGTTACAAAGTAGCATGGGAACTTGGTCGTACCAAAGGTTAACTGAGGTCATGTTGACGTGCAAGGGGTCGGATGGAATCAAATTTCTCACCGAGGTCAACCAGCCCCTGAAGAAGATGACCTTTACGGTGCCTTTGGAAAATGGGAACCTTCCCGACTTTGAAAATTTGCTGAAGAAACACGCCCCGTCATTGGAACTGCTTAGTTTTCGAATCTCCACGGACGGCATGGAAGGAAAGTCTAGTTTCGTTGTGAATTTCCCAGGATTTCCAAAACTGAAAGAGCTAGATGTTAATTTTGGAACATATGATGATTACGACGACGAGTACTGTTTCATTGAGAATGAGGCGCGATTAAGTCTCGCATTTCCGTGTGGCGAGGATGATCCTGATGATAATTCGATTAACTATGAAGTCCACCTTCCCTCGATTTGTGCTATCGTCTTGAGCCCGGAATTTAATGATGATGCAGGAGATTTTTGGAACACGTACGGCGGTTTCGTGGACAGTCTTCTACCCAAAGAAGAAGGACAACTTTGCAAGACGCTGCAATCTTTGGAAATGCCGACTTGTGCCGAGAATGCGATTGAGACAGGATATCTTCGAGCTGCTCGACTGCCTGAGGTATTTCCAAACGTGCGAAATGAATGGATGGACCGATTAAGGGAGATGAAGCACAAAATTTAAGTATAAATTTAAGTTTTTAACCATTGGGTAAAGTATTTACCGTGTGCACTGTTTCCACACTGATATAATATGAATAAGATGATGAACTTTTCAATGTATATATGTAGTATTTCCTAATTATTAGTGTTAATTGGCAATATTTTTGGCAACTTTTCTATTGTAATGCGCTTTTGCATGAGTAATATGTTACATATATATATACCCATTTCAGCTCAATATAAATTAAATTACAAGTAGTAAGTTATCAAATTTTCAAGCGTGTTTTCAATTTTTGTTGGCATTTCACATGTCTTCTATAAATACATTTAAAAAAACAAACTTAGGTGAAGGACGCGCTTAAAATATTAAAACAAGAAGCATTACAAAATTTTACAATATCGTTTAATATTTAGTAACTTTTACTTCACCGTGGGCCCAACTACCTATTTCATTTTCACAGCGATAAGTAACACTAAATGCAACTAAAAGAGCGACTTGTTTAACCAATTAAAACGAAAAGTCTACCTGTTTCAGGAATTAAAATGAGTCAGAATGTGGGCAAATTTTCTCTATGCCAAATGTGCAAAGTCACTATTTATTGAAAGATAATAATTCAAATCTAGCAAGTTTATTATATAAAAATTACGTATTTCGTTTACACAAAATGCCTGAAAGTATTTTTTCTGTTAGTTGGGCCCACGGTGAAGAAAAGTTACTAAATATTAAACGATATTGTAACATTTTGTAATGCTTCTTGTTTTAATATTTTAAGCGCGTCCTTCACCTAAGTTTGTTTTTTTAAATGTATTTATTTAATTATTTTTAGTGAAGTGTGAACTTAAATGTATAAAATCATAATATCAATTCTTAAACGTTGTGAACTTTCCTATGGGTGGATGCGTGGCATACTAATTTAATCCCGAGTGGGTGGATTAGTTATTTATTATTATTATTAGTTATTATTATTGTATTTCATGGAATTTGATCAATGCTTAATTTTTCAGAATTTTAAGGAATGTTACATATGTTGAAATAGTAATGCTAATAAAAAATAAACCTGACATTATTAGCATACGTTAGCAACCAGTAACCTAACACCACGTAAATAGGTAGCTTAATGACAATATTTCAAAACGCTCTAATTCCATGAGTTTTCATCCGATTAAGTCTAACAAAGGCTTAAAATGTGCGTATTATCCAGGAGAATAGTAAAAATGGCAAGCCCCCGGTCGGAAACATTTCCTTGGTGCCAAGAAATAGATTTGAAAATTTAGGCATCGGACTTTCCACCTGAAGGAATTGGAATTTTGGAAAAATAAGAAAAATGTCACTGTAAAACCGAATTCTCTAACTATTTTGTTTCAACATGTTTTCCGTACAACGAACGGTTGGGGAGAAATCTCAGTGGAAGTTTCTCAAAGTTGCAGCTGAATGCATACCTAGGCTTCGCCGTAACCATGGTGATCTTTTAACATGATCACTTTATGGTTACTTTTCCTTCACCTAAGAAAAACAAAATTTCCATAAGAGCACACAAATAAAAAACGTCTTTACTGTAAAGCTCAAGCTTAATAATTACAAGCTCAGGCAACTTGTATGCGTTCCAAGATATTTAAACGACGCAAAAATTAAAGAGAGGCCAAATCACACAAACTGATCACCACCATTTTCTCATCTTCCTTCGCGGAAACAGCTTTGGGTCCTTGAATCTCCAACTCTTGGCGATTTCCATCCGTTCCCGAAAATAGCACGCTTTTTCCGTTAACTTTATCAATCCTGACATCCCCCGGATTTTCATCCGGGCTAAGCTGAACTTTGATCTCATCTTTGAAGGTGGTCACGTCAAAGGAAAATTCTCCAGCCAAATATTTCGATCCCATAATTTTTGCATTCCTGGCATAATCCAACTCGTACATCAGATGCTCATCTTCGGGTGACGCTGATCGTACAAAACTAGGGAGCCAGTTGAACCAGTTGTTTCTCTGTAGGACTTGAAATCGATTTCTGTTAAAAAAATAATACTATTTAATGATACATTTTTTTACAGATTATTCAAATAGAAAATTAGGTATGTACCGTAATGGAGTGCTTCGAATATGTAGGTTCGATGTCCCCTCAAACAGGCCCGTACCGACGATGCTTCTAGGTGGAGCGCTGGCTCCAGGCCTGCCCAAAGGGCCGTACTGCCCAAAGGGCCGTACCGGCATGCCCTGTACACTAGATATAATTGCCCTATCACACGCCGCAAGATCAATGCATATTAAGTGTGGGAAAATGTATGGAAGACGTGCTTCATTTGCGAGGCCGGATGTTCCTAGGAAACAATTTAACAATTTTAAGCCCGAATCTGCTTTTAGGGCGATAGACATTTAGCTAAGGACAACGTTGATACATTTGTCGCATACAAAATATAGGGTTACAACTTCAGACCTACCTCCACGAATTTATAATCTCGTGTAACACTAGATTTCAAGAAATGAGATAGAGGATTGAACTCTAGGAGGATTGAACTTGATGATTAAACTGAGGATTAGCAAGTGAGTCTCGTGCGGTTTGTAGATATATAAGTCGGGCATCCAGAATTTAGTTTTCCGATATCGTAGAAGATGTCAAAAATCGGTGTTCAATTTAACGGAAAACTGGTTTTCCAATTTTCCGAAAAACCGGTTTTTACAAACTCCAAGACCGGTTTGGGTTTTTAATAAAATAACCCTTTTTAAGAGCTAATGTTTTCTGTTTCGAATTGTTGAGATAAGAATTAGTTGTGTTGCAATCCCTTATTATCAAGTTTACATTTAATTTTAATTTGGCATTCTTTGATTATTATATTTCAAAGTTTTTACAATTTGCAATAAAACCGATTTTAAAATCGGTTATAAACCGGTTTGTGCAAAGAACGGAACACCGGTTTCCTACAATTTTCCAAACTTCTATTAATCAAGAACGGGTTACTAAAAAATTGAACTTTGCCCCTAATATGTTATCTCTTGGATAGGTATCATTGGCCACGGGGCAAACTGATATTCCGACCGGGGTAAATGGGACTGGGACCCCGGACGACGGGATGTCGATGATGTCCATGAAGACGAACGGGACCGAGTTGGAGGGGATGGCGGGCTGCTACTATTGCGGGAACTACTACTCATTCGAGTGCAGCTCCCTCTGTGGGCAGCTGGGGTGGCGGTGCTACGGGTGCACGGCTTGTACTTGTCGGTGTTCTAACTGGTGTTAACTTTGGGGGGGGGGGAGGGGATTTTATACATAGTGGGGTCATAAGTTCTCGTGAATGCATTTCCGGTAATAAATCCCAAAGTATTAGAGCTATCTGTTCGAAATTTTTATGGATTAACAAGGTATTAATATTGTTTAGAAATCATAACTTCTTTGTCAAGATTTCGTCCACGGGCAATTAGACAAGACATAACTCGTGACGGCCACAGGTTGATCGTGGTACGCGCCAATTTTCGTGCAAAAAGTATTTCAGACTTTTCACCGTTGGCAAAAAATTTAATAGAAAAAAAGGCCAGATATTTGTTGTACAGAAGTCTGACATCCGTTTAAGTATGCGGAAGTCAATACGAAGTCATCACCGTGGTGTGCATGGGAGCAAGTTGGCTGGAGAAATGAAATCTCTGTTTTTTACCGCAAAGGGTACAAGTTGAAGCCAAGAATTATTTTCAGAGTGTCCTAAAGCCAAACGTTAATAACCTGAACCCTGGACCCTCCGAAAATCGCCATTGGACCTTTCAACAAGACTCTGTTCCTGCGCAAGGTGCAAAATTGTCCAAAACTGGCTTCAGACGAATTTTCATGACTTTTTTTCATCCGTAGAACGGTGCTCAGTATCTGCAGACCTTAATCCCCTAAATTATGACTGGTGGTCAAAATTATAGGTACAAGTATGCTCTAAATTTCACCCAAGTGTGGAAGGGCTGAGGTCGCACTTACTGAAGATCTGGCGCTTTTCCCAGGAAATCCGTGCGTGCCGCGATCGAGCAGTTTTCGCCACGACTTATGTCTTGTGTACAAGCCCGTGGAGGAAATTGTGAAAACGAAGTTATGATTTCTAAACAAGATTAATACCTTGTTCATCCACAAACATTTCTATCAGATAGCTCTAATACTTTGGGCTTTATCACTGGAAATGCATTCACGGGAACTTATGGTCGGACTATGTACTGTTTGTGTGAATGGAACGGTAAATAAATAGTTTACAAAATTTTTGGATCCCAATGGGAAACTAGATTTATAACTTATCTGGTTTTGATTGCGAATTTGTTTTTACTTGTTTTGAAATAAAGTAACGTTTTTAGCCTATTTTAACATGTAAGCATTATTTCTTATCTGGCCGTGACGTTAGCGTGGAGATACATATTTGCATTGTAGGATGATAGAGAGCATTAGGGGACGTTCATAAACTTCATAACGCAAATTTTCGATTTTTTGGACACCCACCCACCCCCCTTTAACATGTGTCACATATGAACGATATCATTGGGTCCTGACCGCCCACCCACCCCCCTTTGCGTTTCGAAGTTTACGAACGTCCCCTTAGCATTATTGTACAGCAAATGTCCACGCGTTAACGTTATGTTCCACATCCACAGCCCATGTCGCCACGTTTGTAACCATTTGTAAAGAATAAGGTGTCCGCCTTCAATTTGTCTCAAAGTTAGCCTTAAAATAAATAAAAAGTAGTCCCAGAAATTGGTACTAAGAATTTCTCGGTAAGAAATTATTCTGACTTTCCTAACCGACCTCTGGATTAGGATTATAAATTAGTTAAGTATTTCGTCTTTGAGTCTTAGCCTAAGACTCAAATTGTGTACATGTACCTAAGACTCTTAGGTACATGTACACAATTTTTATTCAAAACCATGATTTAATATTTTTGTGTGGATTTTCAATTTCCCTCGGTCTCTTATTAATTGTCCATTATCGGTAAAGAAAAACAAAAAAATGCATATTATTTTCGGAATCTACATTAAATTTCCTATAAAATGGATATGTTGCATAATAAAAGCATATAATTTTATTCATTTTTGATTGAATTTTATCCATTCTAGAATCTAAAATGCGCATCAACCTTAGAATATATTACACACAGAATTATCTACTTAATACAGAATAATATAACTAATCGTACAAACTTCACAGCATAATGATAACTAACTGCTAATTATGACATGCATAAATAATATATGTATTTAATAATAATCTGACATAAATAGTAACGAGAAAAATTTAACAACGCTAATCGCTCTCGATATTGACCTCGGCGTGAACTTTGCTTCAAACATGTAACAAATTTCGAATACGTGGACAGAATTAAAAAAGATTACGTAAACCTCACATTACTCACAAATTTTGTTCCATCTACGTAAAAATCCTGTTTTATAAAGTGATTCGTGTACACCTTAAGCTTTCCACAAACCCCAACGATTTGCACAATTACTGTCTTGATTCCCACGGGAATGTCAAGCTTACCAGTTCGAGTTCTTCCTTGCCAAATTCCGAATATATCAGTTGCCTTCCAATCGTTCTGGGATGTCGATAATTTCGACAAGGTTAACATAAATCTAGTCGAAAGGCGAATTGCCTGCTGTAATGACAAGTTTTAGGCCTTTTATGATGGCCTTAAACTCCGTCTGTACGCACGATAACTTTCTTTAAACACATTCTATCGACTTGAAATTTTGCACACTTGATCTTCGGGTCAAAAGTAAGGATGAGTTCGGAGATGGGCATGATCGGCCAAGTGGTTGGCCAGTGGGGGTCTTTTCCACCCAAATGTGTTGCCATTAACTACCAAGATGATATTAATGCCATCTTAAAAGGACCCGCAAAGTTGCTTGGAGTAGGTTTTTAAAGATAGGAACGCCTGCCGGATAACCTATTTCCTTATCATTGACCGAATCAATCACTTTCTTTATAGGGACCCGATTAGTGTTATTTTGTACGTGAGCAAATCTAGCCTGATAAATGAGCGAGGCCTGAATGGGGTCTGCCCCGTCCGTGTTATCAATGGCCAGAAGCGTCACCCTCTCCTCCTTTGGGGTATAGGTCTCAATTTCATCATCTAAGCTGAAAACCATAAATATTAATTAATTAATTAGTAGACCGCCGACCGGGTAGAGTTTCATTCGTAAAATTAGTTACCTTAAATTATCGGGAACAAATGATTCTCCAGCGACTGATCGAAAAGGTGGAACCTTGCACTTCCAGAAATTTGCTTTTTGATTTCTTGGGCTTTGAAGGGTTTGCTGCTCACAATAGTTTGGGTTCTTCGTGATTAAGTGAACCTTCCCTGAACAGTCTTCCGATTCAAAGAGCTGGACGGAATCCCCAACCTGTATGAGTAAACGCAACCATTACTATTAATTTATGAAGAATTGATGAAATGGCGACCTTTAGACGTGGCATTTTTAATCGAAGCGTAGCAATAAATATCGCCTGCTAAGTGCAGTCTGGCACATGGCACGAAAAAATTATAGTTATCTACTTTTGACCGATTTACAGAACTTAATTTGGAAAATTTATCCTTTAACGTCATTGGATATCAGATTTATAAATCTGGTTTGCAAACCAAGACGGTTCCTCTTCACCATATAACTCTGATGGCGGTGAGTCGGATCTTCTCACAGAGAACGGACTCTGTGAGGGCTCCCTTTTACAGCATTGCCAGACCGTCTGGCCGGGCTCACCCAACCATGAGAGGAGCACCCACCCCGTACTAACACCGAGCCGAGTAGGATTAGCAAATAACTGCCCAGCGAGTGAGGAATCGAACGTGTGACTGCGTGGTGACAGTTCCACCCCCGATCCACCAAGCCAAGCAGCTACTGCTTGCTTACAGATATGCACCCGTGAACTACTGACTATATAGATATTTAGTTCAACTAATATCTATAAACAGATCTGTTTGAGATGAAACTTCAGACTCATTGTCAGATCTTTCTCTTGCTGAAGTACAAATATATATGTACATATGTAAATCACACTAAATTGTGTGATTATTTATTTTACCTTGCAATTCGATCACTGAAAAAATCCTGTGCGTTATTTGCGACACTTGTATGCACATCGAACTCGGGAAATTGATAAAGTCCCAATAGTTTTTATCTTGGGAAGATTTGGTTGTTTGATTTACAACACCGGTTCATCCATCACACAATATTTCACCCGTTTTACTGTCCGCCTATGCTGGATTAAAAACCTTAAATTCTGTCGCCATATCGATGTCACTTGCGACGACGTTTATGGTCAGGAAAACTAAGAGGTCATTTTGAAAAGAACCTTAAAATTTTTTATTCAAATAATCTACCGATATTTATTTTTTGTGAGGTTGGATACTTAATTGATTTTAAATCTGGTTCGAGTTAAAAGATATTTCAAACTTTACAGGATGCAGAGTTAAAAGAATGTGGAAATGATTATCGAGCAGAAGGCAGACAGGTAATGAAAGCTTTTGTGTAGTTGTGAGACTTAATAAGCGATTGACCATGGTGCTGAGTAAAGGGTTGTATGCATATAAAAGGGTTTAAAAATTGGAAGGGTTTTTGTATATAAATAGTTTTGATTTAACGGGTGTGCGAAATATGTATGGAAATAAAATTCCTGGAAATTCCTCTCGTTTTAAGTTTGGTTTTAGTTATTTTTGCTTGCGACTTAAGTATTTATGTACTTGTTTCAATTGACATGCATACTGCATAGGTAAGAATATGCAAATTTATGGGATCTATTTGTAAACTTAGGATAAGTTGAACGAGTCCAAAGGGGCCGTCCATAAATTACGTACTCCGAGAGGGGTCGTAGGCTCCAATGATATCGTGCCTATGTTACACACGTTAAAGGGTGGGAGGGGGAGGGGAGGGGTCTAGAAAATCGCGAGTTTTATATTACGTAATGTATGGAAGGTCCCATATTTGCTACTTGACCAATATAATTGCATTGTGGTTTGAGAGAAACTACATTTCCGAATAGGTATTTGCACAGATTTATATATATATATATAGCACGGCATGTAGTATATACGTATGAACAAGTCGTCCCTACATAAATATTTATGCAATTAATTACAATTTCAGAATTTTGATTAGTAGTCATGTATGCACTCTTGGTTGACAGTTTACATGCAGGATTAATAAAGTACAGCAGATATAATAATTTTGTTTAATCGTTTTATTTATTAGCTTTCAACTTGCCTAGAAATTAGTCTAAAAAAATAAATAGTTCTAGAAATTAGTACTAAAAATTTCTCAGTAAAGCATTATCCAGACCTTCTTAATCAAATTGTAGATGAGGACTATCAATTAGTTATTTTGTCCTTGAGTCTCATCCTCAGAGATATGTACGCATTATTCTATCAACATTGCAGAATCTTAAACGCGTATTAACCTTAAAATATATTACATACATACAGGATAATACCAAATAATATAACTCGTCGTACAAACTTAACAAGACAACAAAAACTAACTAATTATAACATGCAATATCACTAGTTAGGTACTCTCTACGTAACAACCCATGAAAAATGGGAAGTAGAGTACGAGGTCAAAAAAAAAAAATATCATGCATATTTATGTAGGTACTTTATACTAATAATCTGACATACATAATAACCAGATATGTTAATTTAGCGAACCTAATCACCGTCGATATTGCTATCAGCGTGGAGATATGTAACAAATTTTGAATAAGTACACAGAATTGATGTAGATCACGCAAATTTAACATCACTCACAAATAGTGTTCCATTTGCGTAGAAACTCTGACTTACAAAGTGATTCGCGTACACCTTAAATTTCCCACAAACACCTACGACTTGCCAAACTACTGTCTTGAATCCTACGGGAATCAGTTTTACCAGTTCCAGTGATGCCTGACCAAGTCGTTGATCTCGGGTGACGATACTTTCGACGTAAACCTTTCAAACAGGCGACTTGCCTGCTTAAATGACAAACTTTTATCGGCAGGAACTCCCTCCCCGTAACCTATCTCCTTTCCATATGCGTAATCAATTCCTGTCCTTCTTTGAGACATGGGGACCAACTTAAGGTTGTCTTATTCGTAAAGAACTCCGGAGCCTGAAGTGAAAAAGCCTGGAACAGGGTCGGTACCTTTAGTGTTGTCAACCGACATGAGCGTCACTTTGTCATCGATTGGGGTGCACGTCTCAATTTGATGGTCTAAACTGAAAACCAAAAATGTTTATTTATTAATTAAAATCGCGATTTTGCGTTACATAATTTATGAACGTCCCCAAAGGCTTTTGATATTTCACCGACGCTGATCTATTTAGCTGTCTCTATTAAAGAGACAGCTTATTAATTTGCCCACTACCCCACAAAGTGCATACATACTTGTAAATACATTTGCAAAACTATGTATTTATTTACCTGATACTCCTAGAGACTGATCGAAAAGGGGGTACCGTGCATTTCCAGAAATTTGTTTTTTGATTTCCTGGACTTCGAACCTGCTGCTTACAATGGCACGGGCCCTTCTTGATTAAGTTAACCTCCCCCGAGCAGTCGTCCGATTCAGAGAGCTGGACAGAATCCCAACCTATTTATCCAAAAAGTTGAGATTAGTATTTATTTGTGTAGAAGTGGTGACCCTTGGGGGTAGAATTTCTAATCAAGCTTTTCAATTTGTAATAACATCGTGTCCAAATTGTTTAGACTTACTGTTCAGCCAATATTAATAGTCTCAAAAAATATGGAAGGATTCCTATGGCAGATTATTTCATATTTTCAAAAAACGTCTCAGAAATTTTCCAAGGAGTTGAAACTATGTACATATTAGTATTGGCTGAACAGTCGCATTAAAAATTAAGATCGCCGATTTGCAGTGACACTGATACCCATGCACAAATAAAGAAAATCATATTCAATCAAAATATATTTACATAAATGCATATATGTCGATCTGCTTGAAATGAAACTGCAGACCCTGATTTTCCTTTTAATGAATTATATCTCAAGCTAACTTGTGTATTTTACCTTGCAATTCAATCACTGAGAAATTCCTTTGCATTATTTGCGACACTTGGATGCACATCGATTTCGGAAAATTGATAAAGTCCCAACAGTTTTTATCTTCGGAAAACTTTGTTCTTTGACTTACAACACCGGTTCGCCCATTGCACAAAATTTCACCCGTTTTATCATCTGCTGATGCCGGATTGAAAACCTTAAATTTTGTCGCCATATTTATGTCGCTTGACACGACGTTTATGAATAGGAAAACTAACAGGATCCTCATTTTGACAAAGGAAATAGTCACGCTTAGGATTTCTTGTTTAAATAATCTACAAATATTTATATGAAGTTGGATAATTTTTAATTGTTTAAAGTTTGGCTAGAGTTCGCAAATGTTTCAACTTTTGCAGAACGCAGCGTTAAAAAAATGTGGGGATGATTATCGACCAGCAGGAAGACGTGTAATGAAAGCTTTTGTGTAGATGTGAGCCTATTATGCGATTGACTTTACAGTAGTCAGGAAGGAATGCAGTTGAAAAATTGGACGCTTATACATACATAAATGCTTTTGGTTTAAAATGTATGCATACATTTTATTTCCATGGAAATAAAATTCCTGGAAGTCCCTTCCATTTTTTGGGTCCTTTAGTTATTTTAACTTGTAACTCGTTTACGCACATATTTGAACTGATATGGCCATGCTAGGTATGTGCACATGCGACCTATTAGTAAATTATATGTAAGTTGTAAGTAAGATGTGTTTACATATCTTATAATTATCAATATCGACTTTGAACTCAATTACAAAAAAAATGAAGTTGTCGTATGGAAATTCCATGAAATTAGTGACCACACTTTATCTAGTGTTAATGTCATTCTGTGATGCAACCCAACGTAGGTATTTATTCGTATGTAAGTATTTCTTTAAGAATTACCAAGCTATTTCAGAAGACGTATGTATGCATTTACCCAGATTGTAAATACATGAACAAATCTTCTCTGCGTATGTAATTGAAGGCAAGTTCCATGTTTTTACTGATATCATTATTATTATTTGTACCTATGTATGTATGCATTCATTGGCGATTGACAGTCAATAAACATGCGAGACTATTAACTTAATAGTATTAAGTGCAGATAGAATATGCAGTTTTGTTGCAATAAGAAATTAAATTAGGGTGCATATAAATATTTATGTAGGTTAAACATTTTAGTGCAACTGACTTAAAATATTATTACATTCATTTAAAATACGTATGTACATGCATGTTATGTATGAATGTAGTACTTATCTCAAAAACCTCAAGATTATTCTCCAAAATTCTCAATAATGTTGTTTCCTACTTTCGTAATCAAGTTCAGGTAGGATGACGATTATTATTTCGCATCAACTTCCAGACTGGAAGTTCCAGTTACAAATATATTTTGGTATTATATGTACGACTTTAGGTTTGGATGCATTTTAGTCATGCTTTTTAATACATAGTGAAATGTATTCAGGCAAATAATTAACTTTGAATCAAGAAATTAACACTAAATAATGATTTATTTAATAATCTACTCTAATAACGAACTTCATAGATTTGCAGAATAGATTTTATGGAAAACAAGCACATAGACAAGAAATTTTAGTGCATAACAAACTATCAATGTTACAATGCTTTCGTAGTCCCATTTGCGTATAAATCCTGTCTTACGAACTGATTCGTGTACACCTTAAAGTTCCCACAAACACCGACAACTTGTTCAATTTTGGCCTTAATTCCTGGAGGAATCTCAACCTTTTTGGGTTCGGTTTTGTCTTGGAGAATGGTGTCGATAGTCACGGCATTCCAATCGATCTTTGATAATCCCAAGAAGCTGAAGCGAAGTCTGTCAAAGAGACGAGTTGTCTGGTTAACGGACAAAATTGTGTCCATCCGTACAGACAATTCGCCCCCGTAACGTGTCCCATTTTGATCTGAAGTGTCTGACGCTGCCCCCTTTCGAGCTGTAGAGTTGCGTCCTGTGTAAACCGATATGACCCGTTGCGTGTAAGAGGCTTGGACCGGGTCTGCACCTTTCGTGTTGTCGATGGACAGTAGCGTCAACTTTTTTTCCATCGGGGTGCACGACCTAATTTCTTGGTCTAAACTGTAAAGCAAAAATATTAGCTAATTATTCAATTAACTTTTTTACTGAGGGTCATGCTACATTTAATGGATTTTTTTGTGCTAATAAGTCATTTCATTTGCATATTTTGACGCATTCCGGAAGAGTTTACTTATTAAACATGGAAACACATGTCGCGTGTCCAAAACTGGGCATAGTGAGATTTATGCAAATGAGATGACATATACAAATGTACAAACATACAAATATTTGGCATTAATCACGCATTGATGAGAGAGTGGTTCTCTTCTAATGGATATTGGGGCCAATTCAATACGAATATGTTTGACTTACTATGAATTTTGGGAATACAAATATCCCGCGATTGATCGAAAATAGGGGACCTTGCATTTCCAGTAATTCGTGGTTTGACCCCTTGGGCTCAACTTCTGCTGCACACAGTGGTCCGACCCTTTCGTCAATAAACCGGCCTCACCAGAGCAGTCGTCCGACTCGAAGATTTGAACGGAATCCCAACCTGTGGATGCAAATTTTTAAAATTATTATTAAGCATTTGGCAGGCGAGAAGGCAAATGAATTTTGACCTGATAAGAATAATTTGCGAACATTATTTTCAACAGAATAAGAAATGTACGAAAAATAAAATTTGATCGAAATTGGTTAAATTGGAAGTTTCTATGTATAAATTCTACCCATATACATAGAGATTTTTTAATATAGTTATGTTGTGCAGTTACATACATACCTTGCAATTCTATTACAGAGAAAGGCCTGCGAATTATTTGTGACAAACGGATGCACTTTGAATTTGAGAAATTTACGAAGTCCCAACAGTTTTTATCTTGGAAAGATCTCGTTGTTTGCGTTACAATACTAGTTCGTCCATTACAAAAAATTTCACCCGTTTTACTGTCTGCCTTTGTTGGATTAAATAATTTAAACTTTGTCCCCATATTTATCTCGCTTGATACGACGGTTATGAACAGGAAAACTAACAGGGCCCTCATTTCGACAGTGTCGATATCTCTGGTTTAAGTAATTGACGGATGTTTATGCGAAGTTATGTATTTATTCGTTTTTGTAAAATTTGGTTAGAATTATAAAAATTAATTTGGACTGTTGAAGGACTGAAAATGTGGAAATGGTTACTGAGGAGAAGACAGCGTGGTAATGAGAACTTTTTGTGTGAACATGGTGCTTATAAAGTGTGGTTGACTGAAGAAGAAGCTTAAATGTACATATTTTAAGGGTAGAAAATGGGAACGGGTTAGAAATTTTAGAAAGTCGATCTTAGCGTCTTATTAAGCGTGGAAATATAATTCCTGGAAATCACACTCCCGTCGTGTTTATAAATAACTGCAATATGAAATCTTTCTTAATTTATGTTTATATATGCATGTATGTACACACGTGACAGATTTTGTTGAAGTCATGGGAATTGGATGTAGAAGTCACCAAAATTTAAACCATATTGTAGGAGGCAGTAGTATTTACATATTTATATAAGCTGTAAGCTATACATACATACACTTATTTGGGCTTATTTGGTCCTAAATACATATTTTAATGACTATCGGATTTCTATTAATTTAATCACTGATGATGAAATGAGATTAGTCTTTATCACCACTTTAGGGACTTAAAATGAGCAGAATTTTTAACTTGTGAAATTTTACCCTGCGCATGGATAGGCAGATTAACAAGTGGGAAATAAATAAAAAATGTCTTTAAAATAACGCTTAAGATTATTATAATTATCTACATACTAGTATGCAAATTAGTATGCAAATTCAGGGAACTCGTTTTTTCTCCAAGATATTAAACGAGATAAAAATTAAACAGAGGCTAAATCACACAAATTCATCACCACCTTTTTTCTCATCTGGAAGCAGCTTTGAGTCCTGGAATCTCCAACTCGTGGCGATTTCCGTCCGCCCACGTTCCCGAAAATAGCACGTTTTTCCCACTGACTTTATAACATCACTCAGATTTCCATCTGGGCTAAGCTGAACTTTGACCTCATCCCGGGAGGTGGTCACTGGTGGTCACATCAAAGGAAAATTCTCCCACCCAATATTTCGATCCCATAATTTTTCCGGTCTTCGCACAATTAATGTTCAACCTCGGTTGACACTGGTCGTCCAAAACTAGGGAGCCAGTTGAACCTGTTGTTTCTTCGTAAGACTTGAAATCAGTTCTTGTTAAAAAATTATTAAAAATCATTAATGCATTTTTCATCAACTATTAAACCCGTCAATGCTTACACTACATTCATGCATATTTGGTTAGGGTTAGTGACGAAATGTGGAGAGGACGGAATATCACCTCTGAAATATGGCCGAAAAATATGTGGATGACAGAAATATGGATAGAAATATAATGTGGATAAACAAAATGTGGAAAATTTAAGTCTTTAGAGTGGACAGCCGCTCGCCTTGCATTTGTCGATGTTCTACATGGTGTTAACTTTTGGGGGAAGAAAAGATTCGATACTTTTTTGTGTGGAGTACTGTGGAGGTGATGGTAAATAAATAATTTGCAAAAATTTTTGTTTCGAAATGCGAAAATATGTAATTTATCTGGTTTTGATTACGAATTTACGGTTATTTGTTTTGAAATAAAATAACGTTTTAATCTAACCGTAAGCATTATTTCTAGTCATGTCATAACTCAGGGCGTCAGCGTGGGGATATTTGCATTGTAAGATCCTTAGCATTATTGGATATATAGCAAATGTCCCCAGTTAACGTCATGCTCCACAGCCCATGCCCCTCCCCAATGGGGAGTCCCCATATAAAGATTAATGTGTCCGCCTTCAATTTAGCCCAAAATTAGTCCTAATAAATAATACATAATCCTGAAAATTAGTACTAAAAATTTGTCAAACGGATGTTAAACGAGTTTATTAACCTTAAAATAAATTACATGCAGGGTTTATCTCAAATTAGATATGAATTAATGTTCATAAAAAATAATATCTCATTTTTACAATTTAAAAGTAAAATAAAAACTAATTGATACATTATTATGGCATACTATTTAATATTCTGGCATTATATCCATCGCGAAGAGGTGTAACAAATTACTAGTACGTGAACAAAATTGAAATTGGTTACGTAAATCTAACATTACCCACAAATTTTGTTCCATCTGCGTAGAAATCCTGTTTTATAAAGTGATTCGTGTACACCTTAAGGTTTCCACAAACTCCTACGATTTGCACAATTACTGTCTTGATTCCTACCCGAATGTCAAGCTTGCCAGTTCGAGTTCTGTCCTGCCAAATGTCGAATATATCAATGGCCTCCCAATCGTTCTGGGATGACGATAATTTCGACAAGGTCGATGAAAATCTACTGGAAAGGCTAATTGCCTGCTTGAACGACAAGTTTTTATGGACTGGAACGCCTGCCCGATAACCTGTCTCTTTTTCATTAGCTTTTCTTGTAGGGACCAAATTAGTGTTATTTTGCACATAAGCAAATCTGGGCCGATATGTGAATGAGGCCTGGATGGGGTCTGTCCGGTCCGTGTTATCAATGGCCAGAAGCGTCACACGCTCCTCCTTTGGGGTGCAAGTCTCAATTTCATCATCTAAGCTGAAAACCATCAATATTAATTAATTAATTATTCTATTTTTTCCATTTAGCCCAAATGTCGAGGCAACATGAGACATTTAGCGCTATATGAGATATATATAGTATGCGTTCACGAAACTTCAATGTTAATGGTTTTTGACCGTGTGGTTCGACCTTATGAGCTAGGGGGATGCGGTAACAAGCATTCGAACCAGCTTACAAATATAGATATAGGGCACGCGTACCGTTTTCAAAAATTTCGAATAGTTTTTGAGATATCCACTAAAACGTGTTTTTGACTAAAAAATCACAAAATGCTATCCTGAATGAATTGGGTGCATGATGGAGACTTGAAGTAAATTACAATCACATCTGGCAGTAATTTATTTACAATATTTACATTTAGACCCTTTCGAATTAAGGCCTCCTGGAGGCCACAAAATTGAAAATTCACAATTTTTAATTCCTCAATCTCACCGATGTACAGCCTTCGTGAATAGGTTTTTATCGCCGATCACCACGGATTTCTATTCCTTAGATGTATGAGGAGTGCAACGTGGCCATCAACTTATAAATTTGACCGTGGCGGAATTGTAATAGTAATTTTTTGAAATTTTCACTGAATAATTTTTGACGGGTATACCAGTCCCTAAATGCCCCAGATGAGTGGGAGTCAAACCAAAATATCCAAGTTTTATGTTTTAGAAATAACTTCAGTAAATTAATGCGAAGAATTTGTCCGCCCAAGCCCCTTGACCTCAGGGGGAGTGGTTATACCCAACACAGTAAAATCAGAATAACTTATGAAGCAGTGAATATTTTTCTATTCTGCTTTCACCATGTGGTATTATAAATTAATAGTGAGTCACGACCACACCCCCTATGAAAATCAGGGGGTGTGGTTTGGGGTAAATTGAGATTATCGTTGAAATTGATGAATAATATCAAGATTAATGTTTTTGCGTCGTCGGGAGTGGTTTGGGGACAAATTAAGACATGAATACATCGATTATAATGATGAAAAATAGTGCAATTAAATTGTTTTCCCGGAACTTGGGAGGTTGGGGCAAGTGCTTTATGGAGATTGTAACATTAGGGAAGTGCAACCATAATATGTAAATGTTAATGTTAAGGTGAAAAGCATCAAATAAGTTGGGTGGTAAAACCACAGAAAAATCTATTTTTTCAATAGTACAGCCTTCAATTTTTGTAGAAAGCAGAGTATTAAGGAGAGAAAAAGAATTAAACAAGATGTAGTACCCTTTGCTTAAATTAAATATTTTTACTGAAAAAATAGGGGCAACAATTAGGTTGTGCAAGTTCCATAACTTCCGTATAAATTTGCAGATCATATCTTGCTATTTAAACTCACAATGGAGGTCTCCCAACGTATGCTCACGGATTTGGACCAAACTAGCGTCAATCGATCGCAAATATAATTAGCATGAAATTTGCAAATGGAACTATCTGCCAATGCCCAGGTTTCGCAGAGATATTTGCATACAAAGAGAAGAAAACGCGCCCTCAAGGCTGGCAAATTTGTCGTTTTCCAAATTTGCTGCGCCTTTTTCGCGCTTTGGATGCAAATATCTCCGCCGAACCTGCGCATTGGCAGATAGTTCCATTTGCAAATTTCATGCTAATTATATTTGCGATCGATTGACGCAGTTTGGTCCAAATCCGTGAGCATACGTTGGGAGACCTCCATTGTCAGAATGTTTAGTTTGTCATGCTTCCTTTGCCTAAGAATTATGTACATATTTGTATTAATTAACTTGCTCTGTACATGTCCACTTCTTCAAAATAATTTATCTGTTAAAACGAATTTGGGCAATATTGAATACCACTATGAAACAAATGAGCAATGGTTGCCCCTATTTTTTCAGTAAAAATATTTAATTTAAGCAAAGGGTATTACATCTTGTTTAATTCTTTTTCTCTCCTTAATACCCTGCTTTCTACAAAAATTGAAGGCTGTACTACTGAAAAAATAGATTTTTCTGTGGTTTTACCACCCAACTTATATAATTAGTAAAACTGGATTGAGTTTCATTTGTAAAATTAGTTATGTACCTTAAATTATCGGGAACAAATGATGCTCCACCGACTGATCGAAAAGGTGGCACCTTGCATTTCCAGAAATTTGTTTTTTATTTCCTGGGCTTTGAAGAGTTTGCTCCTCACGATCGGGTTCTTCGTGATTAAGTGAGCCTTCCCTGAGCAGTCTTCCGATTCAAAAAGCTGGACGGAATCCCAACCTATGCGAGTACAAAGTGGCATTACATTTTATGTATCAGTTGAAGTTATGAAATAGTAGCCATTGAGAGTTGCATTTTTAATCGAAGTGTTTAAATTGTAGAATAAATATAGCCTGCTAAGCTGTCTGGGACTTGACACGAAATTATTTTTATGCATTTTTGACCGATATGTCCATATTATTTAGACTTGCAAAATACTGAGACAATTCACGAAGCCCTTGGTAACATGTACAAAAAATCAGTAAATGTAGTAAAATAATTTTGTAAACAAACTTTTACAAAAGGAAAAGACGCCCTTGATCTCAGTATTTAGGTTTACGGAAAATTTTAAGCTAATTTTCTTAAGAAATATTGGTAATTTTTTATTTTGTAACTTCACAGAATTTATGGATTTTAAAACATTATCAAATCTCATCTACACATTTATATCTGTTTGAGACGAAACTACCGACCCCGATCTTTCCCTTGCTGAATTATACAATATGTATATGTATATGTACACCACGCTAAATTGTGTGGTCTCAAATTTTACCTTGCAGCTCGATCACTGAGAAAATCTTGTGCGTTATTTGCGACACTCGTATGCACATCGAACTCGGGAAATTGATAAAGTCCCAACAATTCTCATTCTTCAAAGATTTCGTTGTTTGGGTTACAACAGCGGTTCGTCCGTTACACAATATTTCACCCGTTTTACTGTCCGTAAATGCTGGATTAAACAATTTAAATTTTGTCGCCATATCGATGTCACTTGCCGTCACATTTATAATCAGGAAAACTAATCCTAAGAGGTGCCTCATTTTAAAAATAAATATTAACGCTTCGGACTTCTTGTTTAAATAATCTACCAATATTTATGCGACGTTGGATACTTTTCAGGTTTTCTTAAATCTGGCTTGAGTTAAAAAATATTTCAATTTTTACAGAACGTAGTGTTAAAAAATGTGGAGATGATTATCGAGCAGAAGGCAGGCAAGGAATGAAAGTTTTTGTCTAGGTGTAAGATTTAAGAAGTGATTGACCATAGTGGTGAGTAAATGGGTTGTTTGTTAAAGGGTTTAAAAACTGGAGGCTGGGATATAAATAGTTTTGATTTAAAGGATGTTCAAAGTATGTATGTATGGAAATAAAAGTCCTGGAAATCCCTCTCTCTTTTTGTTTTTTTAGTTATTTTTGCTTACGACTTATTTACTTATTTGGGTTGATATGTTAATGATTTGGTTGGTGATTTATTAGTAAATTAAGGATAAAATGAAGAAATGTATATACTTATGTATGGACTCGAGATACATTTATTAAATCTAATCGCGGTCGATATTGTCAGCGGCATGAAATCGTTTGTTAAATGATATGTAATTGGTGATTTAACTTAATTATTTGGAATAAATTCATGCATTATGTTAAAATTTAGAACTTACGTAAACTTAATAATGACTTATTTAATAATCTGCTACATATAAAAACTAAGTAGATTTACAAATTAATTGTTATGTGAAATTAAAACATGTAGAAAATTGGCTTGAAATATTTAACGAAATATGAGTACATATTCTACCATGAATTTTTTAATAGTTAACAAAATTACGTTTTCCAACCTACAATTATTTATCTACTCACAAATACAGTCCCATTTACGTATAAATCCTGTCTTATGAATTGATCCGTGTACACCTTAAAATTCCCACAAACGCCGACGACTTGTTCGATTATGGTCTTGACGCCTGGGGAAATCACAAGCTTTCTAGTTTTAGTTTTTTCCTGGAGAATTGTGCTGACATCCGTAGAATTCCAATCGTGCTTTGATCCCGATAAGTTTACGCGAAGTTTGTTAGCTAGACGAGTTCTCTGTCTAACGGACAAAATTTTCTGCATCGGTACGGACAATTCTCCCCCATTCTCATTCGAAGTGTTCGATGCTGCCCCCTTTTGAGTTGTGGCGTTAGGTTGGATATAGACCGATATGACCCGTTCCGTATAAGAGGCTTGGGCTGGCAGGGTGCCTTTTAAGTAGTCAACGGACAGTAGCGTCACCATCTCCTCCGCTGGGGTGCACTTCTCAAGTTCATTTTCAAAACTGGAAAGGAAAAATATTAGTTAGTTAGTTAATTAATGAAGAACAGAAGCAAATTTCTTTAGTGACGGCGATGCTACATGCATGCATTACGTATTTAAAGAAAGTTCGTTTTTCATGAAAAAATGGTTAATTTCCTCCATATATGTATAAATAAGTGTCTTAATTACCTCGAATTTTGGGAATATGAGGATCCCGCAATTGATCGGAAAGGGGAGACCTTGCATTTCCAGTAATTTGTTTTTTGACCCCCTGGACTTCGCTTCTGCTGATCACAATCGATCGCGTCCTTCTTCAATAAGCGATCCTCGCCGGAGCAGTCGTCCGATTCGAAAAGTTGAACGGAATCCCAACCTATTTATGAAAATTTTCAAAAATTGTATTTACTATTTTTAAAATAGATGTGTTTTCGTATATATCGTACGTATTGTTTACATATATCGTAATATTGTGTAAATAGGTTACCTTGCAATTCTATTACAGAGAACGGCCTGCGTATTACTTGTGACACATCGATGCACTTGGATTTTGAGAAATTTATGAAGTCCCAACAATTTTTGTCTTGGAAAGATCTCGTTGTTTCAGTTACAACACCGGTTCGTCCATTACACAAAATTTCCCCCGTTTTACCGTCCGCTTTTGCTGGATTAAACAATTTAAATTTTGTCGCCATATTTATGTCGCTTGAAACTACGGTTATGAACAGGAAAACTAACAGGGCCCTCATTTCGACAGTGTCGGTATCTGTTATTTAAGTAATTGACGGATATTTATGCGAAGTTATGTAGTTATTCGTTTTCTTAAAACTTGGTTAAAATTATAAAAAATTATGTCGGACTGTTGCAAAATAAAAAATGTGGAGATGACTGTCGAGCAGAAGGCAGCGTGGTAATGAGAACCTTTTTGTGTGAACACGGTTCTTATAAAGTGTGGTTGACTGGAGAAGAAGCTTAATTATTTTAAGGGTCAAAATGGGTATGGTTAGAAAGTCGAGGTTTTCTAAGGGTCTTATGTATTAAGCGTGGAAATAAAGTTCCTGGAAATCACACTCCCGTCGTGTGTATAAATGACTGCGTTGCGGAATCGTTCATAGTTTTGTTCATGTATGTATACACTGATTTTGTTAAAGTCAGGGGAGAATAGTCACAAAAATTTAAACCATTTCGTGGAAGGCAGTGGTATAAATTTATTTGGGCTTACTTGGTCATAAATACATATGTTTATGTACATATGTACATAAATGTCCGTCTGATTTTTCCTTTTCCAGCATCGGGTAAATAATACCTTCACAATTAGCGTTATGTATCAGTTTCCAACCAAGCACCGATATAATTTTTTCCAGGAATGGTAAGATTAGTGTTAAGATGACTCATCTTAGATGAGACAAATTTAACTTGATGGCATTTTGTCATATTAAATAGGTACTTATTCATTGTGTTGTTGCTACGATATATGGATTGGATGCATGCAAATATTTAAGAAAGTCAATATTAATAACCGTGTTCATAAATAAGTCTGACCAGCAATTTATGAATTATTCAGAAGTGCTGTTTCTTTGAGACATTTTTTGTCCCGACAATTTTAGTCAGGACAATGAATTGCTTCAATTGGTCAAACATGGTTCATTCTAAAGGTCAATGGGTCCTAAATATTCTTATTTGTAGACTAAACATAATGATATTGAGCACAAATTTTTACAAGTTTTTGAAAGTCATACTTTACAAGTAGCATTTTATATTTACTTAATAACTAATGCGGTAGTGCAAAAATATTACAAGTGTTTAAAGTATGTACGCAGGTTTATAGTATGAAGTTAAGTAATTGGATTTCATCCATCATCCATTGCATGACACATACTGAAGTACATACTTCCGAGTTAAATTTCGTACAATACAAGCCGCATATTGCAAACATCAACTCTATAGTACAGTTGTGCTGTAAAAGCTAAAACACCATTCGAAAATATATTATATATCCATATCATATTTTATTTTAAGTTGAGGTTCATCGAATTTTGAAAATTTGAGATTCGTGGGAGAATCGTCATCGATAAGTTTGTCGTCATAAGAGTTGCGTCGTTACAACAGGAAATTACGTAGTTATAAAATTGGGATTCTCTTTAACTTCAAATTATTTATTGCTGCCAAGTTCTAAAATAATGATTTATATTGTTCCCTTGTTTCTGTGCGTCTCAATTCCAAACGTAGTGTCAGTTTCGATTGGTGAATACTTTCTGAATATTGATAACCCGGGAACTTTACACTTTATATTTGCATCTGACGACACACCTAAGAAAATTGATTTTGATCAAGCATCAAAACATTACGTTACCATGATCGCAAAGAATAACCGTTCTCCACTGCTAATTCAGAGAATACTCAATCACACCGAGATAATTAATGACACGGAAATATTTCACCCTAAAAGAAGCAATCGCGGGTTATTTTCACACATTCAGTACACAATTTTGCAAGTTGACTGGACAAATACGAGGTTTTCCCATGTCGAAAAAATACTACTTGACCACGTTTCGTCTAATTTTAACCCAAAATACATATTTTTAATCTCAAATTACCCCATATCCCTAAATTACTACGGTTACTACGTGATTTTGAGGGGAAGTTCTACACTAATAATTCTAAACGAGACAATGACCGATGTCCAGTTATTTATTCCATGCATCATTTGTCCTGATCTTCCACCTAACGAGAAAAACATGAACGAATTAACCGTTACGCAAATAAAGCACATTTGGAAATCCAGGAATACGAATATGCAAAGAAAGCCGGTCGCTTTCGCGACATCTTATCCTGTCCGACAGATGAAGAAATGTGGCCCGAATTTACCCACCTCAGATTTCTACAGAGAATGCACCATTTCTGTCCTCGCGGAACTTTACAATTTTACACTAATTACCCCCCAGTTTCACCGCCACCAATTAAGTAAGAACAAGTTCGTGGGAAGTATCGGTTTCAGCCATTATCTCGACAAAGATTTCATTTCCGGTTTTCAGATTCAAAAGCCACTCATCTACAAGACAACATTTTCCCCAGTTACGTTTCTCATTGTGACCGATCATCCCACTTTGATGAACAATTTTGCCGTATTTCTGCATCCTTTTGATGCATCCACGTGGACCTTAATTTTTACGAGTGCGATTGCAATTACAATCGTGGTACGGTTGGCGGGGTACAGAAACTCCTTGTTTTCAGACTTTTTACGAATTGCCTCCCTTTTGCTAGGTCAAGTTGGGGGTAACATGCTGCAATTATTTAAATCCAGGGGCATCGCATCGCATCTCGTGCTGACCCTGTGGTTCTGGGCGTGCTACATTTTAATGTTTAATCTCTACCAGGGATCGATTTTCTCCTATTTATCAGTCACCGTTCCACCCAGAGTGCCCAGAACAATGGGAGAATTGCTTGACTCTGAGTTTAAAGTGGTAACCCGGTCTTCCTTGGAATTGTGGAACGCGGAAAATAAGACAGTTACCGACTGGTCGTTACTTCTTCAGGAGGTATTAACCTTCAAAGAAGTTTTGTGGAGGAACGAATCAATCGAAAAGTATGACCGACTTGAGAAAAGAATTAAATTTTGTCGAGTTAACGAAATCGATTCGTTAACTCTGGCAAGAAGTTTGTCCTTCTCGGTTCAAGAGTACGCTGGATTTAGACAAGAACCAATCGTGCTAATGGATGTGGACTTCGCAATATCGGATTTGGCCGTGCTACTTGAAGCACTGGGGGGTCGATACGTCATAAAAGGGCGGGATACCACGCCGTTCGATCAAATTGCGATGTCGGTTGGACAGAGAAATTTTCTCGCGCCGTACATTTCGGAAACGATCGATAACTTGGAGGAATTTGGAATTAGCGGGAGGTGGGAAGAGCAGAGGCTTTTGCAGCATAAGTTGAAAGCTATGGTGAAATTGGGAGGAGCTAATTATAGCGGGTTGTTACGAAAAGAAATGGCGGATGGGAGTGAGCCCTTCGTTTTTCATGAGGCGGCCCCAGTGTCGCTTAAAGTTATGAAGTTTGTATTTTTCCTGTGTAGCGGATTTGTTTTGTTAGCTGGTGGTGTTTTTGGGTGGGAGTGCAGGAAAGATTGATCATAAAAGTTTTTGGGGGTTTAGAGTATATTTTTATTGTGTTAAGCTATTTGTTCTGTTGTGTCGTGGTTTGAGTGCTAATTTTTATCCGTGTCGTAGAACTTAACGGAAATGCTTTAAAATTTGTTTGCATTGATCTTTATTTTTTACATGGTCATGTGTAATAAATATCTATGTACATGCTCTTAGATTTCTGTTGCGGGTCACCTAATTTGTGTGTGGGTGTGAACTATGACCCCCAATATTTTTCTTCAAAGGGGATAATTAACGGAATGAAAAGTGCCATATGATTCCAAATTTTTAGCTTGATATCTCGATACATATATCTCGTTAGTCCATCCCGGTGCATCTTGAAAAAATGTTCCATTGTAAGTCAATATTAGTAACCGCGTGTTCATAAATAAGTTCCGACCGGAAATTTATGGATTGCTTGCTTCTTCTTTGAGGCATTATTGTTTGACCGTTAATTTTAGTTGTAACAATTGCTTAAAAAATTTATTCGGGTTTCCATAACTTAGTTCAACATATGGATCATTAATTCATTTATATTGTATTGACATTGTTGAATTAAATCTTATCTAGTAATATATCATATAAAGCATTCATCTAATTAATATCGTATAATATAATGCATTGTACATTTTTAATAGGACAATAAAGATTAAGTCATAAGCTGGCCCCAGACTCCATGATTTACTCATGCCTTGCTTATCACCGTAACCATAACGTTCTCGTACGATAATTTATCGCATCTATACTTGCTTTCCTCATGCCTTCATCGTCACCACGAAAGCATTCCCATCTTCTCTAGAAATTCATTCATAAATTGTATATCTATTAAAAATGCCCTCGGTAAATCGTGAGCTGGCACTGAAGATTCTTCTTCTTCGACGAATTCGACGCCGCTTGAAGCGTAAACCTCGTCAACTCTACATGAGGAAAATGTTTGAGCAGCGACTCGATCATGGAGATGGATTTCTCGCTAAACAACTTCGGGACGATCCTCAATACCACCAACTATATTTTAGGTATGAATTGTTTTAATTAATATCTTCTCAGATTAATGGTTTAACAAATTGTTTAAATTATTGTTGAATGCTTCAACTATTGGATTGTTTTTAGAATGAATAAGGAAAATTACGACGAAATTTACAATCTCATATGCAGTGAAATTCAAGGAAAGAATACCCATCTGCGGCCCATTTCTGCTCATCAGAAGCTTGCAATTACGTTGAGGTGATGTCAACTTTTCAGAATCCTTTGTTAATATTTATTCTAATCATATATTTATTATTAAGATACTTGGCGACTGGGAATACGCAAATGGAGATGGCGTTTTCGTATAGAGTCTCACCACAATCTGTGTCCGTTATTTTGCGAGAGGTCATGATGTCCATCTGCACAAAACTTGGGCCACTACATTTGAAGAAACCGATGGAAGAAAACTGGAAAGATAACGAAGCTGGATTCCGGGAATTGTGGGATTATCCAAACGCATGCGGAGCGATGGACGGAAAACATATTAGGATCCGATCCCCTGCACATTCCGGCTCCACCAATTATAATTATAAGAAAATGGTCAACTCGCATTCAAATAAAGGTTACATACATAATTGAATTAGTCTAATGAGGTTAAAAATCAAAGATTATCTTGAAGTAAGCAAAATAGATAAAACTGAGAATAAGCATAATTGAACTTCAAAGCGAAGACAATGACATGGTCATAATTATAAAACACGCTAAATTGAAATACATTTACATTTCTGAACAACTTGACTTATCCAATCCGAAACCGGCTATTTTGACCATTTTGTTCTTGGCTATTTATTCAATCCACAATACTTAACACCAATTATATAATTCATATGAATTCCTAATTCGTACACAATATAACGCATTTACATATTAAGAACAAAATATTTATCCCGATAAAAGTGACCTCATTTCAGCTTCGTGAACAAGAGAGTTGATACTGTATTGTAGTTCTAAAAATCTTTTTCGGTCTGAATTTCCTAATAGTCGAAATTTCTCGGCAAGTGTTTTGCAATATGTATCATATTCATCTTGGCCGTTTTTTAGCATTCCCAACAGCTCTTTGTCGAATTCATCAAGTTTCCTCTAAAATAATAACCAGCAACAAATTATTGGCAAATTACTGATTATTACGAGAAGAAACGAACATTTATAAATGTAGCTCACCTTTCCAAACTTGGCGTGTGACCGTCCTGGGGGTACCTCTTTGTTCCGAGGTATAATTGTTGACTCAATCTGGCTGACGGAGCCCATGCTTGATAATTCTATCGCAATTTCATCATTGATCATCTGAGAATTTTCCTCGTCATCATCAAGATTAGAAAAATTTCTGAAATAAAATCATAAAATATTGAATTTTATCAATGAAATTTGTCAATTTCTTGATTACTCCTCATCTGGTTCTACAGTCCCCTTCAAGAAAAGCATGGCATCTTCGTGGCGGAAAAATGCTCGCCCTCCACCACTTCCTGTTGGTTTTACGAGTCGCCGTAAAAACGAAACAAACTGACTCCTCAAGTTACCCCAAAGTGACTTCTGCTTTGTCGCAAAGCATACAATTCTAGATTTTAAGTAATCTAAATTGGACTAAAATCATTGAAATATCTAAAAACTCACCTTCTTTTCCCAGCAATTTCCCCACCTCCAGCCACGCAGCTTCTTTTTTAATCAAATTTTTGAAATCGGGATGAAGTTTGTTCCAAAGGCAAGGACGGTCGCGCACTGCATCAATCAATTGCACCTCTTCTTGCAGTGAATTTTGTCCTTTTTTTGGTGGCATAATTATTTTTGTAACGTTTATTGGAGCCAAACAAGAAATGAGGAATCGTTTTGCAGTCATCCAATTTTGCCTGACTTTAACAACTAACTTCCCCTAGATTTTGTAATAAAATGTTCCTAAGCTACAAAAGGTCAAGCAATCGTGGCAGTCATCCATACTTTTTTTTCTGAGGTGATGAGCACAGCAAGAGGAAGTATGGATGCTGTGTAAATGTTGTCGAGGTGATAAGCAAGGCATGAGTAAATCATGGAGTCTGGGGCCAGCTATAGTTACGAAATTCATAACACTCGAACACGCATATATGTAATAACGAAACAAATTTATAAAATTGATTGCATGTGAAAATAAGTATCAAACATCCACACGGTTTGAAGTCCTACCGAAAAGCTTCCGGCGCTTCTAACAAAAAATTGAAAGATTACCCAAATCTAACGTTACTCTCATATGCAGTTCCATTTGCGTAGAAATCCTGTCTTATAAAGCGATTCATGTACACCTTAAAGTTCCCACAAACGCCAACGATTTGCACAACGACTGACTTGAATCCTACGGGAATCACAAAACTACCAGTTCCAGTTCCGTCTTGCCCAGTGACGAACCTAAAAATTGAATACCAACCGTTCTGCGATGACGTGGGCAAGGCTGACGAAAATTTGTTAGCCAGCCGAACTGTTTGCCTATGTGACAAAATTTTGTAGATAGGTACGCCTTCACCGTAACCGATCTCCTTTCCGTTTGGGGAATCAGTTTCTTTCCTTTTTTGAGAAGTAGTGAGGGATTTCACGTCAAGTTCGTAACCTACGAAACTGCGTTAGGTTTGTAAGTTTACACACTCTTGACGTGAGTTGACTTTGTAAACATTTTCGTAAACATTTTTTAGTAAAAAAAATATCGCATATAAAACGTCATCAAAATGTTGCTACCCAACTTTATCCTAGCGTACACCAAATGACATGTAATTTTTTTGAATTTTTTTGCCTGAAATATCAGTTTTTCAGGAATTACACAGCCATTTCTTATGTCACAAAATTCTATAATATACCAAAATGATCGTATGATCAAGACCGATCGATTGATACCCCTCTGGATGAAGTGTGTCAATTTAGCCCAGATTTGACATTTGGGGGCTGGTCGGATAGCGACCAATATTTTCGGCTAGCAGCAATCTTTTGTTAAATAATTAAATTAATTTGCATGTCGGGACGAGATCACATAAAAATGTACAATAGACAATTCGTCTCTAAGACAATTTCAACCGAAAATTCAGATCTCAAACACTCGAATTATTTACGAACTTTTGTTTACGAACCAAAAGCATGCTTTTGAAGTGCGTAAGTTTCGTAAAAGTTCGTAAGTCAATTTTCCTTAGAAATGTGTGTAAAAGTTCGTAAAAGTTTGTAAGCTTACAAACCTTACGCAGTTACGAAGGTTACAAACTGTGACGTGAGTTCCCTCAGTGTTATTTTGCTCGTAAAGAACTCCGGATCGATGACTGTAAGAGGCTGGAATGGGGTGTGGACCTTTCGTGTTGTCGATGGACAGTAGCGTCACCTCCTTCTCGATTGGGGTGCAAGTCTCAATTTCATGGTCCAAGACCAAGCTGAAAACCAAACAATTTTGGATTAATTAATGAGCAAAATGCCACTAAAACTGGATTAAGTTTACTTCGTGGTCGAAAAAAATAGCGTGGGTTGGATTTAAAACGGGAAAGTTTCCGGGATTTTCTTCCGGTGAAAAGTATTGGACTGAAACATGATATGAGTCCATGTTTCAGTTCAATACTTTTCTCTGAGATTTATTATGGAATTTATGCAACATGGCAATTGTAAAGCACAAACTTGGGAATTTATTGCCACCAAAACGAAATCAATCCATTTTGTATTAGCTGCAAATTAGAAGTTTTAGTCGAAATTTTTCTCCTTTTCTGGTTCGCGATGCCCCGTTTGGAGAGTGGGAACGGTCACTCTCAAAACCCAAAGCAACTTTTTACATGCAACTGCCTGCATTGTTTACATGAAAATCAGCTGCTCTCTTCGCCCCGCCCCCCCTCATTAGCAAAAAATCTCTCGGCACACAAGGAGACGCAACCGTCGTCTCTGTCTTTTAGTTATGAGATTTTTTCAACGTATATGCATTCTTAATGAAAATAGTTACATACAAAAATTTAAACCATTTCGTAGAAGGTGCACGACTTATTTGGTCCTTTGTAAATATGTACATACATACAAACTATTGAAAATTGAGCCCAGATGTTGACATTTTAGTTTATGACAAGTTATGGTTTATGAGATGAGCAGCATTTTGTACTTCTTATCGAATGTAGTGGTATAAACCACCCATACCGCACCAATTTTTTCAACAGTACGGCCACACCGAACTTGACCGAACACATTCCGGACCATGGTGCGGTACGGATTCTTTTCGCACCATTGTTGTACCGTACCACAAACTAGCAAGAGTGCCCAAGTTTTTGAACTAAGCTAGTACTAAACTCTGTTTCATTTCTGGCGATATCAGCGGGAAAGTCACGTGCCCATGTTAAGTAAATGTGCACATGACTTTCCCGCTGATATCACCAGAAATGAAACAGAGTTTAGTATGTGTATACTTCACTAGATAAATATTAGTTTAGTTGAAACTCAATATGTATGTCTGGATCATCAATTATTCACCAACGAAACAATGAATTCTGGCACCTGTGTCAGTTTATGTGTGTATAAATACATACATATCTATGCATACATGCAAATAATTTGAACAGATGGTTTGATTCATTTTCATATTTTGCAATTTCATATCATTTAACTTTCTTATGCATTGTAGACAAATATTGTCGCAAAAATCTCAATGTCCAAAAGGTAAAACTATCTGTAGTTAAACAACTTGTGCATATGTAACTGTACACATTCATTCACAATTAAATATTAAAAAAACATTCAAAAATTAATGGTGTGATAGTCTACAGTTCTGTGTTCATAACTGAATTATCTTATAACACGGAATTATGCATATTCCCTCTAAGAATTCGCAATACGGTGGTATTATTGCAGGGATATTAATTCTATCAAAAGTTATACACGGGGCAAGGATCATGTTCTATTTTGCGTAAGTAAATAATTTACGAAGAATATTTATATATATATATTTTGGGGGAAATTTAAAATGACCCTGTTTCAGACTAACTTCGTACTCTCATCGAATCAGTGTATGGCCCCTCGTTGAAAATTTAGCAGCAAGAAATCATTCAATCACATTCGTGTCGCCATATCGGTCAAAAACTGGTCTCCCTGCCGGAGTTGAAGACTACGTGCCAATGGCCCTGCACAATTTTATTTCAGAAATTTCAAAACTATCAAATCCTTACAAAACCAGAGTGGAGGGAACATCAACTATGCAAACGTTCAAAGTTCCGTTCATGGGCTTCGTCCTGTGCGAGTTTCTTTTGAACGATGCAGAATTTCTGGAGTACGTCAAAACGAACAAGTTTGACCTGGTGGTGGTGGATTCGTTTGGAAATGAGTGTGCTTATGGGTGGACATTTTTGCATGGTGCGAAACTCATTTTGTATTCGAGCGGGAATCCGAGAGAGTGGTGAAGAGAATTAATTACATATCGTAGAATTATTCCGACATGTCACGAATGCGAATACTGAGATTTATGTATGCAAATGAAATGACCGATTACTTTGGACAGGAAGTACATAATTTGATATTTCTCCAATAGGCACGTCGATACGGTGGGTTATCACGATGAGGGGTCTTGGATTCCGGATAAAATATTCCATCCCGACCCTCCACTAACTTTTTGGGACAGATCCATAGGATTGTTCGTACCACTTGTGTATCACTTCGTTCGGGAATACCTCCTCTTCCCTAATCTGGAAGATATCATTCGAGCCAAACTTTGCCCGAATTTCCTTTCGGGATCGGATTTTGAGAGGAATAATACCAACTTGGTTTTAGTAAATGGTCATTATGGAGAAGATTTTGGGAGACCACTTCCCCCAAATGTGGTTTCCGTGGGGGGCATGCAGTGCAATAGGAGTAGGAACGAGCGTTTGCCAAGGGTGACAAGTTTATCTGAATATCTATTACTGAATAATGAGGCATTTAAATTCATACAGTCCTTGGTACAGAACATTGTAAAATTCCGTAGTTTCACAAATTTTTAGAAATATTTTGGAGAAAAATTAGCTTACAAATTTCTGTAAACCTACTCAAGTCAAGAGCATCTTTGTATTTTGTAATTGTTTGTAAAATTACCTATTTTCCACAAGACTTGCGGATTTTACAGAGTTACCAAGGTCTATGTGGATTGCCTCACGAAGTAAAATCTAATGCATTTGTACTTTATTTAGGAGATCGCCGAGTTTTTGGAAGGAGCCAATAACGGTTTTATTTACACGAGCTTCGGAAGTTTCCTTCAAGTCGACAGTTTACCAAAGGAACGAGTTGAAATGATTATGAGAACACTGAAAAGAGTGAATAATTCAAAGATTTTGTTGAAAATGGAGAAATCTCAAGCAAGGCGCTATAACTTACCAAATAGTAACATTTATACAATGGATTGGACGCCGCAGAGAGAAATTTTGGGTATAATTATGAGATATTAATTCATTGGACATACTCATGCATGACAACCTTCTGACAAGTTTTGTAAACTGAGTATTAGGCATTATTTAATTTTGCAATGATGTTTACCAAAATATTCGCAAAATATTTTTGACGCAATGCGCATGCAATTTAATGCAATGCCGTGAGTATGCCCAATGCATATATGTAGTTAAATAATTGTGATTACCCTAATAATTCTGGAGTAACGAATCTTTCAGCTCATCCCAAAATCCGAGCGTTTATTTCACACGCTGGATTACTCGGAATCCATGAAGCCATTTGCTATGCCGTCCCTTTACTGACATTTCCCATGTTTGGAGACCAGGATTCCAATGCGGATAAGGTTGCTGGCAGGAAAATTGGGCTAAAGTTGGAAATCACTACAATTACGGGAAACCAATTTATGGCAGCTATAAAAGAAGTTTTAACGAATAAATTGTAAGAAAAATATCGCCACGGAGATTAAAGCTCAAAGGAATTAAATCTTAATTCTAAGAACCTTTATTAATGCCTCATTCCAATTTTTTGCAGATATGCAGAAAACATGGCGCGACAATCCGCAATTTTCCGAGACCGCCCTTCCCACCCTGTCGACACGGCTGTTTGGTGGACTGAATACGTCTTACGACACAGTGACACTTCACACCTTCGCCCACTCTCTGTACATCAGCCGTGGTGGATGAAGCGACACGTGGATGTTTGGTTTTGCATCTTTTCTTCAATATCAATCAGCCTAACGGTGTCCGTTTTGATTTTTAAAATAATTATGAAAGCTTTATACATTAGATACACGCGGAGGAGAGATATCAAAGAATCTCCTAAATTGAAGGAATCATAATAATAAATCCATGAACGTACTCACGCCAATCTTCGCATAATTATTTGGCATATCTCGAAAATTGAACTACTACTTGTGAAGTTTTGAGAAATTTGTGACATTTCGCAAAACTTTTGCTGGAAAGTTTTCACTAGTTTACTTAGTAAATAGGTATGTTTTTATTTCGCAAAGTTATTTCGTAACCTCTTCCTCACGATCATCAGCAAGAGAAACTATAGAACTTCATGGAAACAATCTTAAAATAGGTGTTCTAACAATTAGTAGATTTTTGAGATTTGCGAACTCATATTTTGAGAATTCCCTCACAACACAAATTTCGTGAGCTTCGCAAGTTTGCTAAATAAGTTATGATGCGAAATAAGACATTGTTGTGAGTACGATCAATATTAAATCGTGTTTATGGATACTAGGTGGCCCACTGAAACTGTAAGTGAAATGAAACCCTGTGGCTTCAACAGTTTTTATGTTACGAATTTCGAGTTAATTTTAACCGAAAGCCAGTTAATTTCTGAGTAGAAAACAATTTTTAGTTTTCGAAATTTCCTCCCCTGCCATTAATGCAGCGCTGAGGAAACCGCCTACAGTTCTCCGCTGAAGCACGCACTAATTCCTGGGCAAAGTGTTCCATTCCGTGGTCAAAAATTTTTTTCCGATCTCTACACTTCTACGAGGCTTAGAACACACATTTGCCCCTAACTTTGACCATTTTTCATAATCCGGAGATTCAAATCCAGAAAGTAGAATTACCATTTCCGAGAGGAGGAAAAGTTCGGAATTTTGTTTTTTACTCACGCTTGGGTCATTTTTTGCACTATAAGCTGATTCCTAGTCCTACTGCAAGGTCCAGTCGACTTCAATGAATTGGATCTCACTTAGGGGATGTACCGCGGACTCGAAAACGTATTTTAAGAAATTTGATCCCCCCACCTTCCCCCCATTTTCAACAAAATGTAGAGAAATTGCCCCAATTAGCTCCCACCTGCCAAAATCATCACAAAGCTTGGATAATGTGGCTTTCTGACCTTTTGTCTATATTGGGGGATGTCTCTGACAGATTTGGCGTAGATAAGGCCAACTCGCTTGTTAAAATATTTTTCCTATGTGAAAATCTCCTCATCTGTAAATAGAATCCTCGTCACTTTTTCTGAGCGTACCGCTTGAAGTCACTCCTGGGTTTCTTTAATCTGGTTTCCCTTTGGGGGATGGTCAGCATGTGGCAAGTACCACATTTCAAAGTCCTAAGTCTAAGGTTCAATTTAAGCACTCATTGAATAATCTGCTTCTACACTGGCAGCTGTGAGGTTGGTTTCCGTTGGAATTTCGTGAATTTCTTCGGATTCCATCCTTCAGCGCCTTCATGATGGGTGTGGTCCTTGTAGGATTTCAAAAATTTTTTCTTCGACTGTTCTTAGTCCACCCCGTCCCCATGAACGTCTTTATAGTCTGTTGGGCTAAATTATACGGCTCGTTCGATTCCTGCCACACTTTTAAAATTCGCCATTTCTCTCCCCATTTTTGTAATGAAAAATTTTCGCCGCCCGCTTCCATTCAACATTTTCCATGCGAATTTGCATTGCAAATAGTAAAAAACTGATTTATGGTACTTATGCAAAATCGCACGGGGAATCCAATGCAATCATCAGATTTTCATTATCTCTGTCGGTTTCGAAGAAAACAGCCACTTACAGTTACAGTGGGCCCAGTATGTATAATGTTTGATATAATGACACAGATACAGACAGATTGGTTTTTCGGTATTCAAGTTGCTACTGCCTGGTATTAAAATTACAATATGCATATAGAAATTTCCTACCGATATGGGAAAACTTTAATACCGACCTACATATTACTCTACGGTATTACTCCCACTTTGGTAGAATTACATATGGACACCGCTAACACCGCTTTGTAGTATTTTAATACTGTACTACTGAAAGATGTTTGTATTGTAAGTTTGGAATAAAAACAAACCGAAGGAATTAAATAACGGGGATTTATTCCTATTCTAGTTTATGTGGTACGAACAACCATTGGACTATTTTCTGACCGTTATGCCTCTTTCTAAATTGGTCTGCTCATAGATAATTGGACAAAGCTGCTGCATGATTTAGCTTGATTATTAGTTTCAAATGATGTAACCACAAATAAAATATTACTGTCATATTTATTAATATCGCGGCACAATTATGCAAGTGATTCCATCATAGACATACAAATTACCGAAAACAATTACACAATTAATTATTAGACCATTCATGCATTACGAGAACTGTGCGAGTTAAGGGGTTGCTGAGTGTAGTGTAATGTTAAAATTTACCAAAAGTAAATATTAAAATTTTTTAAGAAGGGTACGATTTGCACATTTATTTTATAAATTCATGCGTAAAAATGATTAAGGAATGAATAGATTAAACTCCAATAAAAGTAGGACTAGTATATAATTGATTATTCACGTTGAAATACATAAATGCGACTGCTTAACATATATCTACAAGTGCAGTTCTAAATTAATGCATTAAGTGCAAAAATAAAAAATTCTGATTTATATTTACTCTTCAAAATGGTAACATCATTTATTAGAGTGTGGCACAGAAGCCCATGGAATATGCTATGGGTTTAAGTTTTAATCATGCATGTAATAACTCCCTAATTACATGGGCGGGCATGGACATAAAAAAAGAACTATAACCAAAAATACGCCTAATTTGCAACATAACATGTGCATACGCCAATGTACGATTTGGCTGTGAATATATATAAATATAAATGATATAATGGCTGTGAATATATAAATTTGACACACCGATGTGTATATAAGTAAACAGACCAAGAGCTAATTACGTAACTCCTCACACAATTTTCTGACACCGTATATTCCACACACTGCAGCATTTTCTCCCAATTTTAACATGTTCAGTCCAAAAGTTCTCCGAATTATCCGATCCGTCATTAAATTTTTGGAGAAAACCCGTCTATTCCCGTTTGCTTGGGATGACGCTAGAAATAAAATGACCGTTATACGGTCAAAGGCTACCATTATCTACTCGACAATTTATTGTTGGCATTACCCATTCTACATTTGTTTTACGCTGGTCCAGTTATTGCATTCGATTCAGTCAAGCACCCAGAAGGGCATAACAGACACGTACTGGCTTATCATGATGACGGTTGGGTTTAGACTTATCAGCGTAACGATGTACGGACCACTGTTAAAGAGAAATTTGCAAGTGGCTTACTTCAACCAAATTGTCGGCTTGGACGAAATGATAACTAGTAAGTAAATCAATTTTAGTGGAAAATTTCGCATTTATAAAAACCTACAGTGCAGACTCCATATAGCCCGAGTCAGGGACAGAGTCAGTGACTCGATAAGTCCGATTCCTCTTCTAAATTCTTGTCCGAATCGACCAACTTACTAAAGCTGCATATAGTCCAGAAGTGGTTTTTGGTCTTCAGACCAAATTTCAGACGAAAATAACAAATTTTTAAAACGGTATGGGTCCCCCAGGGTCACTCTGGTTGCATTTGGCAAACTTTGAACTTCATATTATTTCATGAGAAGCCATTAAGTATCGTTGTGCCGGATTTCATCTTTTTAAACCAATTTCTAAAAATCGGTCACCCCATATGGTCGCTCCAGATAAAAATTTTACCAATTTCATTTCATATTCTTCCATTAAGCCCCACACACAACCCGTGTACCAAATTTCAGCTCGATATGACGATTTTTAAAAATCAGCATAGGTCACCCCATAGGGTCTCTCAAGATGAAATTTTTTTCAACTTGAATCTATTTTTATCTATTAGGAGCCATTAGCAACCTCTGTACCAAATTTCAGCTCTCTACAACAATTTTGAAATTTTGGTGCATAATACCCCACCCACTCCGATGACCCCCACCGGTCATCCACTGTACCGATTTCGCCTATTTTCGAACTCCTTTCCTAACTTTGTCCAATACTGATCTGGTAAAAATTTCAAGTCAGTCGGTTCAGCCGTTTTGGCTCTATTGTGCCGGACAGACGGACAGAAGCCCTGACTCGGTCGGGCTAAAAATTGTAGTGTGTTTATACATATTTAGCACAGGGTTCGCCACCCCGGGTTTTTGAGGGTTGGGGTTTTTGTGGGTTTTTGGGGTATCAAATCTCCGGAAAAACCCTAATGCTTAATGGGGTTTTTGCGGGTTTTTGTGGGTTTTTGTGGGTTTTTCCGGGGTTTTTGTAGGATTTTGAGGCAGATTGAAACAAAATCCCTTAAACTACAACTTAGATCAATGCTAAATAATTAAATTTTCTCATTCATCATGAAGTTTTGAGAATTTTCTTGTGCGACTTGAATTTCCAAATATTATGGCATATTTCCAGGTTTACATGTTAAACATGAATTTTCGATGTAACAGTCCAAGTCAATGATAACGGTTAAAATTGCATGCTGAATTCGTATATTAGATTAGTTTTTCTCTAATATATAATTTTACTCAATCTACCCCAAAATCTACAAAAACCCACAAAAACCCAAAAACCCACAAAAACCCCAAAAACCCCGGAAAAACTCATGGGGTTGGGTTTTTCTACAAAAACCCCGGGGTTTTCCGAACCCTGATTTAGCACACTGTTTTGTGCCACCTCTAAAAAAATGCAGGCTTAAGTTCGAATCTTGTCAGATTGCAATTATTGAAAATTTTCTGGGAATATTTTTAATTTGTAGAAATTTTCAAGTGTGTTCATGGGGCACTGTTTTGTGCTACCCCTGCAAAAATGCAGGCGTGAGTTCGAATTTTATTATATTTCATTTTTTTTACATTGATTCGATGAACAGCGCATACTTAATATCTATGATTCCTTATTTTACAGAACTTTCCATCCCAGGAAGCTCTCGGATTATGCAAAAGTCAGCAAAATGGGTGGAACTTGTCATTAAGACAAATGTTCTCGCAGCGCTGACATCTTCAATTTTCATGAATGGCATATTCCTACTCAAACCCAGCGCGCCCCAATACATTTACAGCGTCTGGCCGTACAAAACTTCAACCTGTGCTTTCCTGATATTTACTGGATTTGAATTCTACACCAAAACTATCAACCTGATTGCTACCATGTTATTTCAAGCGTGGTTCCTTTGTGCGATTATGTTCGAGTACACGGCCCTCTGCATCATAAGGTACGTACGTACACTTCATCCATGAAAATTTGAGCCATTGCTAAATCTAGCTCCATATGAAACCCCCGTTTTTAACATTGCTCAGTATTTAGCCACGGCTCAAGGTGCATGGATACCTGCATGTATACACCTTTAGAAATTCAGTGCTAAAATAATATGTATCAAGCGGTATTCATTGATGAAGATACCAAAGTGGTATTGGTACATAAGTAATACGTTGTATTCTGTAATAGTTCGGTATTAAACTTTTATCATATCGGTAGCAAATTTTCATGGATTGCCATAATTTTGATACGTACCAAGCGGTAGCAACTTTAATATACAGAGAAATCAATACATGTGTGCTACACCAAATTTTTAACAATTAATCTTTCTAATTACTAATCTAACAACTAACTACTCTACTTACTAAATATTTTTAATTTACAGGAAATCAAAAGATCCCGTGTCCACCAGGATCACATACTACAAATGCGTTAACCTCGTCAACACCTTGCATAATGAATCTTATCCGACTCACATGCTGCCAGAACGGATCGCATTTTTCGGCTTTTTGGCTGTTACCTCTGCGTTCGTCGTTGTCCGGCTGCTTCACAATTTTCAAATCGTGGAACAGGTCCTTGTCCTACAATTCCTCGCAACAATGTTGATAATTCCCTCCGTTATTCTTAGCTTATCGGGACAAATAGTGAAGTTAAGTGGAAATCTGAAAAAGGAACTTGAGCAGAGCATCGTTAACGGGAAAAATTTTAAATTACATGCAAAAATGGTGAAATCCTTAAGACCTTTCGGCGTACGAATTGCACCAATTCAAACCGTGCACAGTTACGGATTTCCAGTATATTTGGGATACGTGGTTAGTAATTTTACCACAGTATTGGTGAATTATGCACATTTGGAGTAAGATGTGTATTGCTATTTAGACGGGTTGACAAATAAATATGCAAAGACAAATATATAACCGGCAATCATGTACTTATATTGTGTTGGAATTTTTATTTTTTCCTGAGATTTTCACTGTTTGAATAAACCGTTTTGAAAATACGATTGACTAATCCGAAATATATTGACGAAATCCTATTCGTTGCATATTTATTGGTCGCTTACATATTCGTTGGGTTACACATTTGTTGGGTAGCATAGATGTAGTTTACATAAATGTCGGTTACATATTTGTCGTATCACCTTTAAATTAAATTAATATAATTAAATGTGCATGTACCATGAAATGAATAGATTACAATTTAAACCTGCTAAATTGTTATTAATCGTAATCCATATAATATTTAGAACATGACATCAAAAGCACATCAAAAGGTTTCAATTGAAAAAAAATATATTTAGTTTTGTTTTATATACCTGTCGCCGAAACGCAAATTCTTTGCAACTACATATATGTCTATTATCTCTACAGAAATGTGTACATTTAATTGCGGAGTAATATCTGAAATGGGAAAACAAATTATGAAGTTCCAATAATTTCGTATGTAAATAAGTAAATTTAACACGTTATAAGATTATTTATAAATGGAACTACCCTATCCTTCCTGCTGAAATGGCGTCCTCCCCCCAGCGCCCAGCGGTACTCCACCTCTTCCAACTCGATTTTGTCACTAGGGAGGAATGAAAAAAAATCAGGAAAACATTTTATGGCAACAAGTCCAAATTAAATTTCAGCAATGTTCAATATTCTAATGGATAAACGATTTAATTATGTATGTAGGTGGGTCTAAAATCGATCTTCATTAATCGAGAATTCAATGCTCCGAAACCGAAGGGACATCGAGTACAATGAAAGCGTAGCATTTTCTGCAGTTAGGAAATTATTAAAATTTCTCCACTTTCATGTGTTTCAATGCTGCATAATTAGGCAATTCAGGCAGTCATTGGTACCTTGTAAAGTCAGCAAGTTTTGTAAAATAACTTTACAAACTATACATTAATATCATTTAATTACACATCTCGAAATCGAGAAAAACATACACCTATCTATGTTGCTTATGTATTCATACATTCTGCTGTAATTTATATTAAACAAAATAATGAATCACTTTGTCTCCATCATATTTGAGCAATTGTTTTAACGAGGTGCTATTACACACATATTTATAACATTCATGGGTAATAAATTGATTATTCATCTGCCCTTAAATATAATTACATATGCCCCAAACAACAATTACAGATGCATATGTACATAAACCGAAAAAAACGATGCATAAGTTTTTAAATAATTGATTGGGCCAACTCTCTGAGCATGCATTATTCTAGGGAACGTTTGATGTGTACGCAGAAAATAACTATTGTTTCATTATATGTACATATCGTCGTAGATACTAATTCTAAAAGCAGCTAAGTGTAGTCGATGCTTAATTTTAGGTGCAGCTAAGTGCAGTCAATGAACATGTCGTAAAAACAGCTACATAAGCGCATGATAAAAATTCGTAAAACGACTGCAATTCTAAATTATAGAGAGTTAAACAATTTATGGAAAATCGCACTCTAAACTGAAATATGAGTATTTTGGCCGGATGAGGCTAGTCCTCGAAATTTCGAATTCACGCCCACGGTGGGTGTGGTTCTCGGTGCCCATACGCAAATCATGGCATACGAGATGTAACTTTTCTCGGCCCGCTAAGGCAATCCCCGCAAAATATTCGAAATAAAAAAAATCCTGAGGGGTATGACCTCATCCGGCCAAAATACTCATATTTCAGTTTTGAGTACAATTTTCCATATATTGTTTAACTCTCTATAATTTTAGAGTTGCAGTTAGCTCTTTTTACGAGTTTTTATCATGCACTTAGCTATTCTTAAAACGAAACATTGACTGCACTTAGCTGCATTGGCATAAAATTAAGCATCGACTGCAGTTATGTAGCTGCTTTTAGAGTTAGTACGAGAATATGCAAACTTGAATAATAATGTGCATTTGTACTATTCTAAAAACATGACAATAAATTCCCAGCATTTTGTGTGCGCACTCATGAAAATAATGTTACCGTATTGATAAGGAAATGCAGTCTCAATTCTATATTAAGTAAACTTTACTAAATCCAGAGAAACGTTAAGCCTGGTACTCAGGACGGATTTAGTGTCTGAATTTATTCCGTGTTTTCGCTAAACTTTTTTACAAATTTGCCACATGTAAGTACTAGACATAAGTTTGATAAGGAGTAAAGTTTACTGCCTAAGCTAAGTATTCACCAACAGAGTTGTAAATAAACCTATTCACCTCATGTTTTTCTCGTGAAAAGACACTTTTCGAGCGAAAAATTTCGCCCCCATTTCAACTCACGGTATTCACCTCGGAAGATATTTCGGGTGAAAACTTGGGACGGTTTTTCGCCCGACCGAAATTTAGTTGATTTTTTCGGCTGAAGTGAGCCGAAACAGTTTTCGCCTGGAAACCTGTTTCGGCTGAAAATTGAAGAGTCAAGTTCAAATTTGTACACCATTTATCTTTTGTAGATTCAGATTACGCATTTTGTAACTCTTATTTCTTTAAAAAATCTTAAACTTTAATTAAACGTTTTAATTAACCCTTTAAAAAGGGAACTTAGTAACCATAATTTGCATTAAAACGGACGACATTCGAAAGCTTTAGCGTCATGGCGCGGGGGAAAAATAATGCTTTTGTCTTTCATTGAGGGAGAAGAATTTAGTCGACTACGCCCCCAATGCGGGAAGGGTTTTTTATGATTATATGAACAAAAACGATTTTAAACCAACTCATTGATAACAAAACTGCATGTTTTTACTGAAAATTTCAATTTTAACGCTCATAATCAGACATTTTAGACCATATTACACAACTCCCAACTAGCAATACAAAAATTTTGAGCTTGCACATAATAATGAAACAAATATAACTATACAACTCAGACTAAACCCAATAACTAATCTCAAGCATGAATGGATGATTTTACGTCCTAGAAATTTTTTAGAGTGTGATAAATTCGAAAGCATGGGACAATACACAACGCAACTTTGCATATGTCACACTGATATCTTGTTTCTTTACATTTTCCGTTATTCTTTGACTTATTTTGGGAACAAACATGACATATTCTTGATCCGTGTGGTTTTCCCTTAGTTGGGGGGTTGTGGGCAGGGAAATGACGAGCGACTAATCGTTCAAGATCACGGGATGGAGCTGGAATGGTGGTTTCCTTTAATCCATACAAAGCAACTACTTGTCGAATAAAATTCAATTGAAAGTCAAGAAATTTTGCGTGGGGATGAAGAGATTTGTACATTTTGAAGGCGTTGAAGAAGCACATGTCAATGAGCTGGAAGAATAACTTCTTATACCACTTCCTTGTTTTTCTTTTCACGGAGTTGAAATGCATTTGCATATCGCTTTGGTCTATTCCTCGAGCAGAATTGTTGTAGTCCACTAAACTTTTAGGCTTCTTCACAATAGTTCCATCCCTCTTCCGAACATCTACCATTTCATGTGAGTGGGTTGTGGAAATCATCCGGACGATCTTCTTGTCTCGCCAGAATTCATTCATGACTGAATTAGACGAGAACACCTCAACATCTCCTCTTCTCATTCGACTAGGTGGAATTGCAGCATTTTTTCTTCCTTTTCTCAAAGTTCCACATAAATAGGTTTTTTGTTGTAGCAAATAAATTGCCAAATTAGGGGAAGTGAAGAAGTTGTCGCAATAGATATGATGAAAATTATTCAGATAAGGGCGTGCCAATTCTAAAACTATCGCCCCACCATAACCATATTCTTTTGTTGAATACTGAAGATCTTGATTTTTTTCCGAATAAATTATTGAATTCAGAATAAATCCCGTTTCTTCATCAACAATAGAGAAAGTCTTGATGCCAAACCGGGATCTTTTATTGGGGATAAATTGATGAAAGTATAATCTCCCTTTGTGTAGAATTAGGGACTCATCAATGCTGATTTTCTTGTGAGGATTTAAAAGGGATGAAAAGTTGGCAGTGCACGTCTCCCAAAGAGTTCGGGTCTTGAAGACCCTGTCTCCTTGAACATAGTCATTGTTGTCAGAAAAATGAAGATATTTCTGAATCTCAAAGAATCGATCCTGGGGCAAGATTTTGCTAATGATTGGGAAATGAAACATGGCATCTCTTGACCAATACTTCGTCATGTCTGGTTTCTTATTAATTCCCATCAACATTCGAATAGCTAAAAACTTCGTTAGATCTTGGTGGTTGAGATCCATCCATTTACTCCATCGCTTGGTTGTACAGTCCCCTGTCTGGTCAGCGTACTTGTTTGTTTCGGTGATGCAAATATTTCTGCAATCCTCGCTGAAGAGAAGGAGAAACATTTCAAGTTCGGTCTCTTGAGATGATAAGTGACGCGTCCATCCAGAAGTTAAGTTATTGAACGGTTCGACGGGGGCATTGTGGTTAGGAGATGAAATCCAATCCCAGTCAACGTTGGAGGAAGCCTGGGTGGGGGTGGGAGCTGGAGCGGATGCAACTATGCACATTTTCATAAAATTATATATGAATACATTCATTGAGTTATTATTTAAATAAATTGGCTCACTAAAACTGGCCAAATCAAGAGCATCATCAGGTGAGGGACCATCCTCTTCTGGTTCTGAGTCTGAGTCTGAACTAGAGTCGGTCTCAATATCGGATCCATTCAAATCATCCTAAAGTATTGCGTAATATATAATTGTATGCCCCCAATTCAGCCAACTTATGATGTAACTCACAAAATTCACTTCCTCCCCAAAGATAAACTCCTCAAAGTCTTCAGACTCCATCTCAATCCGTAGGAGAGGTTCGTGTGAAATCCGCAGGAAATTGGGTGGAATTTTAGTGCAGATAATATTTATTTACTCGAGAATTACAAATTTTGCGTGAAATAAGGTGGGACTATGCTCAGAAAAAAATAAAGCTAGGTGATGATGCGAGTGAAAATGACCCGGAGAAAAAAAAAGACTTTTGTCCTCTTCCCGGATTGTGGCAAAGGTCATTGACAAAGACAAAAGTCTTCTTCCCGAGTTATGGAAATGAAAACGACACGACAAAAGTCTTACTCCCGTGCCATGGCAAATATTTTTCGAAAGACAATAGTCGTTCTCCCGCATTATAGCTTTTTTACGAAAAGGACTATTGTCTTATTTACATTTTAAAGGGTTAATATTTTTATAATTAAAATATCTCAGTGGTTTAATTCCCAGCTGAGATCGTGTCTGCCGAAAATTTCTGACAGGTGAATACCGTGGCCTTTTCAGGCAGAAATTATTCAGGAAAATGTTTTGGTTTTCGCACAAATCTTAATTCTGTGGCCGAATTATTCCGGTTGAAATTTTCGCCTAGAATTTTTTCGGCCGAACAAAAACAAGGTGAGTACTAAGCTCTACAGGTTCGTAAGATAAGGATCGTAAAATCGATCGATCGATAGGATCGTAAAATAATTTAAAAAGAAAAAGAAACAAGGGGCAAGGCTTCGTAAAAAGCGTAAAAACGCGATGTTTGACGATAAAATCTTATGACAAAATGTCGTAACTGTCGGAACTTATTTTACGATACGAAGAATACTACAGATACGAATAAATAATGAATAACCTCTTTATGAGCTTGACACATGCAAATTTAAGAAGTGATGTTAACCATAAATAGAGCTGCACAATTCTCAAAGCATCATAATAAATAAGTGCCCCAATTTGTCTGTAGTGTAAATATCTAAATGCCCTGGGAATATACTTCATACAGTTAGCATTGGCCTTATGCGGGCTTAAATTTGAATCAGACATGGAATAACTCCCTAAATGCCCTGGGCATCGACTCTGACTACAAATACTAATTTGTAGCATAATGCATGCTTAGGCCAATACACAACTTCAAGGTAAAGATATCTAAATTTGACTCACTAATATGTATATAAAAAGACGACGAGCTAATTAACTGCTCACACAATAGTTTCACGGCTTATATTCCGCACACTGCAACATTTCCTCTCAATTTTAAGATGTTCTGTTCAAAAGTTCTCCGAATTATCCGATCCGTCATTAAATTTTTGGAAAAAACCCGTCTATTCCCGTTTTCTTGGGATGACACTAGAAATAAAATGACCGTTACAGGGTCAAAGGCTACCATTATTTACTCTACAATTTATTGTTTTCATTACCCATTATACATTTGTTTTACGCTGGTCCAGTTATTGAGTTCGATCCGGTCAAGTACCCAAAAGGGCATAACAGACACTTACTGGCTTATCATGATGACGGTTGGGTTTAGACTTATCAGCGTGACCATGTACGGACCCCTGTTAAAGAGAAATTTGCAAGTGGCTTACTTCAACCAAATTGTCGGCTTGGACGAAATGATAACTAGTAAGTAAATACATAAATTTTAGCAGGAAACTAAAAAATGCACACTTGAGTTTGAATCTTCTATATTAATTCAGACCAGAGTTAAGTCGATAATTTGACTTTCGAGAAAAAAAATATTTATCTGAATCATTCGGGCCGGAAATGTTTACATCCGAAAAATTCGGATTCGGCTCGGATAGACAAGGGAACTTAAATTGAGACTTCTATTTTCCTAATACAGATAATGAACAATAGATAATCTAATATTTCTCATTCTTTGTTATGTAGAGATTCCTATCCCAGGAAGCTCTCGGATTATCCAAATGTCAGAAAAGTGGGCGGAACTCGTCATTAAGATTAATATACTCGCGGCGCTGACTTCGTCAATCTTTATGAATGGCATGTTCCTTCTAAAACCCAGCGCGCCCCAATACATTTACAGCATCTGGCCGTACAAAACTTCAACCTGTGCTTTCCTGCTGTTTCTTGGGTTTGAATTCTACACCAAAACTATCGACCTGATTGCTTCCATGTTATTTCATGCGTGGTTCCTTTGCGCGATTATGTTCGAACATACGGCCCTCTGCATTATAAGGTACATATTTGGAAGCTCTCTGAACTTACAAAAATGCATTGAATTTATGAAATTCCATGCAAAATTTTATCAGCTTCTACTCTTTCTCATTTACAGAAAATCCAAGGATCCAGTCCGCACAAGGATGTCGTACTACAGATGTGTTAACCTCGTCAACACCTTGCATAATGAATCCTATCCGACTCACATGCTGCCAGAACGGATCGCGTTTTTTGGCTTTTTGGCCGTCACCTCTGCATTCGTCATCGTCCGGCTGCGTCACAATTTTCAAATCGTGGAACAGGTCCTTGTTCTACAATTCCTCGCAACAATGTTAATCATTCCCTCCGTTATTCTTGGCTTATCGGGACAAATAGTGAAGGGAAGTGCGAAACTGAAAAAGGAACTTGAGCTGAACATCAGTAGCAAAAAGAATTTTAAATTCAAGTTACATGCAAAAATGTTGAAATCCTTGAGACCTTTCGGCGTACGAATTGCACCAATCCAAACCGTGCACAGCTACGGATTTCCAGTATATTTGGGACACGTGGTTAGTAATTTTACCACAGTTTTGGTGAATTATTCACACTTGGAGTAAGATTATATAGGTTTGTTGGTTAAATCGTGTTTATTAAATATTCTTTGAGTAAAGTATGCAGAGGTTAACACAAATTATGGGAAATCTCGGAGAGCAAACGCTGGGAGACCACCACTGTTGATCGATAAGAAGAGTCTTACAATCCGAAGTCATACCCTTATCTAAAGACAGGACTTAATTTAACAATGTTTAAATTAACTTACTATTCTAATTACATAAAATGTAAACATATACATACGTACATATGCCATGAATTGAATAGATTATAATTTAGACCACCAAAATTGTTGTTAATGGAAATCCATAAAATATTTAGAACATACTCCTAACATCAAAAGCACATCCAAAATTTTCAGCTCAAAAACAATATTTAGTTTAGTTTTATATACCAGTCGCCGAAACACAATTTGTAGATATGTATATAGATATTGTTTTCAACTGTATATACTTTACAGAAATTAGTAATTTAATTGAGGAGCAAAATCTGAAATGGGAAAAAATCTATGAAGTTACAATAATTTCCTATGTAAATACGTAAATTTAACATGTTCGAATATGAATGACCTATGAACCTTGTCAATCCTTCCTGTTGAAATGGTGTCATTCCCCCATACTTTGTGAGATTTCCCCCAGCAGTATTTGTGAGATTTGCGGAGTCGTATTTTGCGAACCTTCTCTCGACACAAATTGTTTGGCCTTAGCAAATTTGCTAAATGAGTTATCTTTGAATCGAGATGCGAAATAAGACATATGTAGGCTTAATATTAAATCTTGCATAATATGGCGTATGTAATACTAATTTGTACAGGGTTGGAAATCAGGTATAGGTACTCAGGTATTGATTTCTCGGTACATGTATGTATTAGAGTTGCTACCGCTTGGAGTATACTGCCGAAATGGTAATACTTTAGTACCGTCCTACATGATATCTATTTCTGCACGGTCTTACTTCTCTGTCCCACTTTGATAGAGTCACATACATATTTATGAATACCGCATGCGGTATTTTAATACTGTAAATTTCAAAAAATGTTTGTTAAGAATAAAATAAATTGTAGGAATCGAATTTTACGTGGTAAATAAAGATATTTCACTCCGTCGTATTCGTATGTACCTACATATCACATATGTAGTATAAAAATACCAATGTTTCAAATGTTACATATGTTGGTTTTTGGAACAAAATTAGTCTCTCCATAATTGGTGGACAAAGCCGCTGTATGCTTTAGCTAAATTATTAGTTTCAAATAAATGATGTAACCACAAATAAAATATTACTGGCATATTTATTACGTAACATCGCGACACAAATTGAGTAATTTCATCGTATTTAGACATATGTACAAATTACTGTTAAACAATTATTGTAACATAATTATTGGGTCATTCATGCATTACTGTGTGAACAAAGTAGTTACCTATGGTTTACTGATCTTAATGTTAAAATTTAACAAAATTCAATTTTACAATTTTTAAAGAAGGATAAGGTTTACACATTTATTTTCAAATTCATGCCCAAAAATTAGCAAGTAATAAATAAATCAAACAACAAGGTAGGACTATGTAATACCTACTTAGCACGTTTATTCACATCGAAATTAATAAATTCTACCGTTCAATAAATATACATACAGCGCTTAATTAGCATATTAAGTAAGCGCAAAAATAAAAAAAACTCTGGCTTTGAATCCACCTCACAAATAGTAAATATGATTATGATTTCGTCAATCCAGTTTTGACATAATGCTTGAATGACCAAATATGTGATGTTAATTACTCATTCGAAAGAATTAGCGAAAGTCTGGGGAAGTGAAAATTGTACACCTTCGCTTCTATACAATGTCAAAGTGTTTAATTTCTCATAAATTATGCTGCTTGTAAAACACATAAATATGTACTAATCCATATGTATACTTATAGATAATTGGATCATTATTAAGTCTGTAACGGAAAGATTGTTAGTTCGACATATGTACATACATATGTACATATGTATGCAAACTTGAATAATGATGGGTACCATGAATAAATTTGTACTATTTTCAAATTGAGAATTCCCGATATTTTGTGTAACCACTCTTAAAAATAATGTGCCCATTTTAAAAAGTAAATGCAGTCTCAATTTTATAGTAAGTAAATTTTACTAAATCCAGAGGAATGTTAAGCCCAGGACGGATTCTTCACGCGAAACGGCAGGTACTTTGCTTTGTACTAAATTACTCCTTCACTGGAATTACTTGAATTTCACTACAAAGTTCATCAGATGGGGGCGTC